AGTCGGTATTACCCTATCCTTATCGATTAGATGACTAATTTCATATGAAGCTGGTCTTAGGGTCGAACAAGTAAGATGGAAATGTTCTAAAGCACACAAATAATCAAAAGGTGGTTTCAACATAAGAGCAATACAATATATCCAGATAAATCAGTAGTAGATTCTAGATCACAGAAAACAGTATGTTGTACACTTTCATGATACTGCAAGTTCACTTGTCAAAGATTACTTGATTCAACTGACGAAATTGTCTCGAATTGATCATTTGGAGTTACCCATCCCTACAAATGCAACGCAACTATCACGGGACAAAGAGATTCTTTGTGATCGGGATTTCCAATGAAAAAAGCTTCTGAAAAGTTTTTACGTCGACGTTTTCCGAAAAGAAGTGACGATTAGTCGCTTCATCATACTATCATGAGATAACAAATAAGTTCGTTTCAAGAATCAAAAGGTAAAGATTAGTCTCAAACAGATACAAGCAAAATCGAAAATCGACCAGTAAAGCAACTCGATACTCTATTTGTTGTTCAAAATCAGAACCGTATGTAGTTCTACTGATAGTAAGATACAGGAATAGTCGTAAGTGTGCGAATAATGCTTTTTTATTTTGTAAAGTCAACAATACAATTTTCCTTTATAGTAAAAAATAGGTCAAATTCGTACTTTTATGACGAAAACTATAATTAATATTCCATGTACCACTCAGTAATACAGTATAACTTTCAATTGTTGTTGTTGTTGTTGTTTACAATTCCAAGTAACTAAAACAATGACACTTTTCCGCTCATGCCAACAACGAAGAAAACAGTAAAAGATAGAAGCAGGAATCATTCTCTTTGTAGAATTGATGACTATGCCATACTGCACTAGGCTTGGGCTCATATTTGTTGTTGTTGCTGTTCTGGTTGAATTTCAAGTAGTAACGAACGGTTTGATTTTGCTGTGATAATCGAAAAATGTTTTAGGTTCGTGTCAATGTATTTGCAAACTACTTTGTTCGTCTGCGTATGCTTTCTAGGAATTGTATACCAAAAGCTGGACTTTATCGTCAGAGTCAAACCAAAAACTCTAGTCGGACACGATTATATCAATGTGTGCACTTGTGTAATCTTGTTGACGTTCTCCCAATCCTTCGTGAGTTTCTTTTAGAGTTACTTTGTATACTATCCAAACGCAAGCTGTTTGCACAAAATGTGAAGTTTCCTTTTCACTTTTTGACAGCTACAACTACCACTACTTTCAACAGCATGACTTTCAGTGTGTTGAAGTGAAAAAAAGATCAGCAGCACTCTTGACACGGCAAATACTGTTTAACACAAGTCGCCTTGTTTCCCATTCACACCGTACTACTACTGTTACCCTCCTCTTCAACTATATAAGGACCAAAGACGATTTGCAATAGATGCCTTTCAGAAACAGCAGCAATACTGGCTTCAACACTATCACTCTTACGACTTACATATTCTTTAGACAAAACTTAACTTTTGGTAAACCCAGTAATTCATAAAAACAAAGGCGTTTCTCAAAACGGACTAGTAGCTACAGTCGCTATCGTCAAAACATTTTACCAGGTGGACACAACCATGACTTTCAGCAGTGCTCTTTTGCTTGCTTTATTTCATGGTTCCCAACAAGTTGAGTATATTTTGAACTAAAAACTGTTCCCTTGCTTTCAAAATACAAGTTTATTCAGCTTTCGTTATCTAAAGCCCTCTATCCGTAATATTTCAAAAGACATACTCGTATCAATAGAGAATTGATCTAAAAGCACAACAATACAAACAATCATTGAAAATAAGCAATGGTGGACTCGAGACTTTCCTATGCTATCCTGAGAAATGCCTGTTGCAGAGTTACAGACCGATTTCTCCATCGTGAAAAGAGTCATATAGAAGACAAGGAAAACTAGTATACGGAATATAATTCTGTGTACTGAACAAAACACTCAACGGAGTGTCTAACTGCTTTCTTGCAGAATATCTTTGAAATATCAACCCCAAGACTGAATCTCAACAATCGACTACAAGACTAGACTATCAACTGCTAATAAATACGCAAAACTGCTCTGAAACAATTATCGATAAAAAAACAAACTTGTGAGGCAACTAGTTGACTAAAGTACCAACACTCAACGACAGCTTAAACTCTTTTGTCTTTGTTCTCTTCTCGACAACGCTAATCTCAAATTTCCATGCAAAACCAGAAGTGAAATAACAACAAGTGTTGCACAAAGTACATAAACTCCAAAGAGATGATAAAAGTTGTAAATACTAAAAAGAAACTACAATCTACATGGAACTCGGAGCTCAGGACTCGATGGATTGTCATAAAAAGAAACATTTCCAGGGCTTAAAAAGAAACGTAGATAATAGAAATTCACTTGTCCAACTAAAACGAACGAAGAATTCGTTTTAGAAATTAAAGTCTGAAAAGTTTCACTAGCAAATTTGAATCAGGTCCACAGACTTGACAACACTCACTGACCCTTCCTTTCCATCCAATTTTGTATTGCAGAAATGCTTAAATAATTCCAGTGTTCTTGTTCTGTCTCAATAAGGGTTGAATATTTGAGAGAACATGAGTAGTTTCTTCAGTGCTTCTAATTTTCAAAACTAGTTTTTCCTAGTGAGTGCTTCTTCAGACTTTATTTAAGGACCAATAAGTTTATTGTAGTAAACATTATAGAAAGTCCAGTAAATACTTTGGACGAAATATTGGTCTCAAAAGGATGCACATTCTTGAGCTATTTGTGATTAGTGAAAAATATGAAATAAACAAGCCTGTGAAGGAAACAAAAAACCTAAAACTCCAAGGATTCACTTTTCAATTCTGAGATTTTCTGATTGAAAGGACTAAAAGTTTTCAAAACAGACCCTCATCAACCTGAGACCCGACGTGTTGGTAGAGCCCTAAAACAACAGTAACCAAAACAAAACATATGAAAGTTTATATCTATACATGTTAGAGGTAGATCGAGCCTTCAGTTGCGTTAGGTTTGATAAAACCACAAATTGACAGACAAGAGATAAAAGATTACACCATAATAACTTTTCTTTGAGATTTTCAAAGACCGAAGGGGATGCAACTTTGTTGAATCATTTAGAGGCTGCTTTGTCAGTCATACTTATGGAACAAGAAAAAAGTTTCTAGGAGTGATACTCTTTCAAGTAGCCGCACCTTCTTATGTTGCGGGTGAATCCTTTTAAAGACATTGAAGAATATCCTAGTACTTCATCTTATAGACAGCCGTTGAAAAACAGGTAATCGCCTTTCGATAACCACAAGATAGATAAATAGAATCACTAAAGAGGAAGACTGGACTACAATGTCTTTCTAAATCAATGGAATTCAAGCACTCATAGGCAAAGTGAAACGCATTGTCCAACCTCCTACTATCACAATGATGACAATGTGAAAGTTTGTTAGGTGGTATCTTTCTGGTCGTACAACGAAATTCAAGAGCATTTACTGTTTCGAAGATAGTAGATTTCCTAACTTTCTTAGATGCCAAATTGTGCTTTTGAATTGTCAGCTTGAAATTGTTTCCAAGTTACTTTACAATTATTTTATATGAAGCTACTATCTTGTAAATGGTGTATAGATACGACTTTTGGACTCTATTCCAAGGCTATTTAAGCTGAAAACATTGATTAGGATGATGAGTTTGAGATTGGTTGTTGTAAATCAATGATGAAGTTTAATCATAAGTATTATTGTTCCGTGAGGCTCTAAACCCTTGTCCTTATCTTCTCTTGGTCATATTCCCGGCGCTCTCATAGCCAAGGCAATATTCTTTGAACTCGTACTCATAAACACTTGCTTTTTCTGCTTATTAACAGTTCTTCATTCTAATTCCTCTCAAGTTATACATTCCATTATTTCAGGCATTTCTATGAATTCTTTTGAACAGAATAATTCCCATCTCCAGAAGAAACGACATTATATTATGATATATCATTCTTGACGGATGTCTCTATTTCATTTGCAATTGCCTGTTTCAGAAAGCTCATGGCCATTTACGATTCACAATCTGGCCTCGTTTCAAAATAGAATCTTTACTCTGTTTCCTTCATTACTGCTCTTGAGCCAGTGCTATAATGTCACATTGCTTTTCAAATTCTTGAGTTGATAAGGTCTTTCTTCTGTCCTACATTTGTTGTGTTCCCAGATATGACCAGAATTTTTGCCAAACTAAGTATCTATTTTGTCTTATTTTTTTGGACATTAGAAAATTGCTCGCTAATTGGATGATACAATTTCCTCATCTTTTGCTTTCATTCCTGATTCCAAGAGTTTATTTATTTGAGACCTTACAAATAATGCTTTCCTAAGCCTCATGATTGTTTGAATATGAAATATCTTCATTTCTTTCAAATTCAAAGTCAACCGTAAAGAGCCTATCCAAAATATCTAAAATTTCTTTTCCATGCACGAATTCCCTTTCTTTTCCAATCTTAGATTGTAGTTTAACTTCTTCTTTGTTCAGACTTTTCGATTTCTCCAAACCTCTCTAATTATCCATTCTTTGCACGATGTTGTTGGCTGATTGGCTATTTTAGATATTCAGAATAGAAATAATAAATTTGTATAAGAGATCTCCCAAGAATATAGCTACATGGAATGAGCACATGTAATCATAGCCAATTTACAAAATATAAAAAGGGAAAGGAAGCTTTTTCATTGGATAGTTCTAAAGTGTATATAAAAAATTCAACTCTCGTTGACAGGAAATGATATCATTTCAAGATAAGAATTGACATGAAGGACAGCAAGAAGAACAAGAATGGCTGATACGGATAAATTTGAATAGCCTGAAGTTGAGTTCATCTCTTTTAGGTAAGGAAAGCAGTAAGCGAAGTTAAACATATGCCCTTTCAATATGTTCGATTCATAATGCCGAAAGCCAATTTCAAATTGTTCATGCAGATACGATCGCTTCGTGAGGATGAACTAGATGATTGGTTTCTTTTTATAACGAATGCTTTCCAAAGGAAGGAGAACCCACCTACAAAGGAGTACTTCGAAAGACACTATTTTTCAGATCCTTGGAGGTATGTATTATTGAAAACTGATAATATTGTTGAAAACGTGAAGAGAATGTGGAGGAATTTTTGTTGCGGTTGACGACGGCGAACTGGTCGGTACTGTAAGAAACTTTACTCGAAAAATATACTGCTGCAGGTTTGTACTGTTGCGCATATAGATATATATCGTTTTCTAAAGCAGTCCAGTTGTGAAACGAGTACTTGCGGTGTCGGCGAAGTTTGCACTCATGAGAACTTTCGTAGAAGAGGAATAGCCCGTATGTTGTTAGAGCGAAGTTTGTCCTATATGTCAGAAAATCGGTTTGCATTGTCTGTTTTGCACACAGGGACTGCTAGCAAGCTTTATGAAGGACTTGGTTGGACTCCAGTCACTCGTGAGTTTTTTACTAGGAGAATTCCTTTTGATCTCTACTCTAGCTGGAACGTGGCCTCTCCGATTGAAGTGTGCCCTTGTGAATCAGAGATTTTTGAGGAAGAATGCCTTGAGAGGCTTATGACTGTCTATAACAGAACAAGCGTGAAATACAATGGTCCTATCGTACGTGACCATGAAGATTACTGGAAGAAATGGGTGCAAAATGAGTCTGGGAAGATATGTTGGCGTGACGAGCGACGCACTCCAAGGAAGTTTGCTTTGCGTATTCAAGGTAGCTTAGCTGGTTTTGTTGTCCTACAGTTTGGTAGTGAGGTATTTTCAATTTTTTTATATTTTCATTGGGTTGACTTTATGCAACTAGTCCATTAGAGTACGGGAGTGGTCTTTTCTCGGTGATCAAATATCGAAGAAGTTTGATATCGTAGACTTTGTCCTTAGCCAGATATGCAAGTTGTATGGCGAAAGAGAAATGAGTTTTACATTTCCAGCACCCATTTCTGACATGAAACGGCATGATGTACAAGTTTCTGATAATACAACTATGTACAAAGTAATCTGTCCTCGTTTGCTTCCAAAGAAGAATTCAACAATCGCTGATCTCTTTTGTCTAAATGAATTGCAAAATTCATCAGTGAATTCTCACGTGTTTTGGGACACCGACCGGTTTTAGTTTCGTTTTATAAGCAATAATCGTACTTTTTATAAAATTGTTCAGTGGATAGCATCTTTTTATGTTCACTGCATTACGGAGACTCTGCCACAACTCGAAAATAGTTCTTGAGAAGCCAAGTTTGGTTGTGTTCCTTGGGGCTCCAGGTGTCGGGAAGGGTACTTATGCATCAAGAGTGGCTCCCTTGTTAGATTTCTCCCACGTCAGTTTAGGAGAAGAATTTCGAACGGAAAGCAAACACAATGTATGGCTGCGTTCTCTTCTCGAGGAAGGTATTAATATTTGAGTACAACTTGTAGGAGACTGACAAGGCTGCCAGGAAAGCTGGTACCAGATGATTTTGTTCTCAATCGTGTTTTGAGCATTATTCGAAATTTGTCGTCTAAATGGTATATTGTCAACAAAGCTTTTTGTAATTGCCCTTTTCACGTTGCCAAGCCAAGGTATTATTCTGGATGGCTTTCCAAGAACCCGTGAGCAGGCTGTATCTCTGAATAGAGTTTATGAAGTGGATGCTGTCTATCGCTTGACGTTGCGTGAAGACATTTTAGTTCATAAAATGAGTTTCCGTCGCGTGTGCCATACTTGTGGAAAGGTGTGGTCTTTTTCAGTTACTAAAAGCTCTTTCAAATGACACTAGGAACTTTTCTTTGTAGACTTTTAACCTTGCGAACATAACAGAGCCAGGATATGAAATGCCACCTTTACTTCCTCCTTCTAGTTGCCAGGGACCTTGTGAGTTGGTACAAAGGGATGATGATAAGGAAGAAGTGGTTCGTTCAAGACTGAAAATATATCGTGAAATGGAGGCACCGATTGAGCAGTTCTATAATGAACGTGGTATACTATATACTTTTGAGCTCAAAGGAGGTGTGTCGAAGATGCTTCCAGAGTTGGTTTCCTTCATGTCGAAAACACTGCCAAATCATTGCTCCCTAAGACGAATTTCTGGTTGAACATTAGTCAGCAGGATATATATATATATATATTAGTTTTCTGAAATCGTAATTTTGTAGTTTTAAAAGCTCATTTCTTGACCCGAGTTTAGACTTTGCACTGAAAAAAACTATGCACAATGAAAAACATTTTGAAATATCCTCTCAATCCTTTCCCGCACATTGTATTTCATATTTAGTTTTGTTTAGAGTAACATGACTTTGAGACATCGTAAATACCTAACAGAGATGAACCAACTTTACTGGCAAACATTTATCCAATAAAGACTTAATATCTAAGAAACTTGGTCAAACGTGGCGATCGAAAGAACTTAGAAAAGTTGGGTAAACTACATAGGAAGGATCAGGAATGCGGCGATCAACTATCCCAGCTTCACATAAAGCCTGTGCAATAGTTTGAACAGTTGAGACGGACACAAGGCCATCTCTAGAAAACCGAACGCTTTCTAACCAAGACTTCGCATCTTGTGGCTTGAATGAGAATTGGGATACTATCTTATCGACAGAAGTTGCAAACTGTTCAGTATTCACGTTCGACACATTCCCTCGAAATTCACAAGCAGTTTCTCGTATTGAACAGAGTGCACTAAAAAGTTCTCCTTTGAAGTTATTTATAACATTCTTCTTTGTAAGAAAACACACGCTTGGCCATGGAGTCGGCACATTCCCTATGAATTTTAAAAGACCTTCTTCAACGTAAGGCTTTGTCATAAACCACTCCCACATAGAGAAATCTGCGGTTCCAGAAAGAACAGCCTGGCGTAAACCTGCAAAGTTGTTACAGACAACAAACTCTGGAAGATTCCTCCACGATTCTTGCTTTGCCATTATTAGAGGCATCAAGTGGGATCCTGATCCGTAGCGAGAAATGCCCACTCTTACTGGTGAGCTTCCAAGATCTGTAATATTATGAAACTTTTCTTGTTGTGCTGAAGTGATTACCGCCCAGTTAAGTGAGGAATCAACGTAGCTCCCTACAATTTGCAGAGAAGAATCCTAAGCAAAGTTGATGCCCTGTTAAATACGCAAAAATGAAGGTTACCTTCAAAGCTGCTGCCACAGCACACTCTGTCAGGGCAGTAACCACATGAAAGCTTCCATCGTGCAAACCTTCTATCTGAGAATGAGTAAGTTCCGAATCAAAAAAAAAAGGCTCGGAACTTACCAATGCTGCTGTTCCTTCAAGTACCTTTCTCCAGAGTACTTTGTCGATTCCACCGTTCCGCAAGTAGTTCTATCAAACTTTGAAACAATAAAAGAAAACTTGACTCTTTGGACATACTTTTTCATTTACTAAGTCTAACGGAAGATTAAAAGGCTCAGGAACACCACCAACAGTTAAGTAACCCATCTATATAACCCAAAAGTGCTGTTCAACTACTGAAAATGAATTCGCCAATTCGGAGAAATGTTAAATCGACATGTTTGGCGACATTTAAAACGAGTATGCAGACCCATGTGTAGATATGCGAATACAGCAGCCTCAGAGTTTCGAACTTGTGTAGTTGGTAGTGGTCCTGCTGCAATGTATACCACTGAGTGCCTATTACGATTTCAAGCAGCGAACCCTTTTATTTCAAATAGACTTGTGATAGATGTTCTGGAGCGACTTCCCACTCCTTTCGGACTTTTACGGTATGGAGTAGCACCGGATCATCCAGAAGTTAGAAAAGTCGAGGTAAAATTTCAAGACCTTCTCTCCCACCCTCAAGTGCGTTTTTTTGGAAATGTCGAAATTGGCAAAGATGTTTTGGTTTCTGAACTGAAGAACTTGTATGACGCAGTAATTCTGGCTGCAGGTTGTCAAGAAGAGCGCAAACTTGGAATTCCTGGAGAGGTAGGTGTAATTGTGTTTATTGGCTGTATTTTTATATTCTGCAGAATACTCTCTCAGGAATTTACTCCGCAAGAGATTTCGTTGCTTGGTATTGTGGACATCCGGACTATTCTCAGCTCTGGTTTGACTTTGCTTCTACAAAAGACGTCGTTATCATTGGTCAAGGTAATGTCGCACTTGACTTAGCTAGGATAATAGGAAAGCAGGTAGAATCCCTCCGGACGACAGACATCTCCTCCATAGCTCTGGTATGTCATCATCTAGTGACCTAAGTAATAGTTTGAAAGAAAAAAAGGAATGTCTAGCGAATAGCTCTGTACAAAATATTCACGTTATCGGGAGAAGAGGTCCAGTTCAGGCATCCTGGACTGCGAAAGAACTTCGTGAATGTCTGTTTTCGGTCAAAAGTCTTCAGCCCTGTTTCGAAACGCAAGAGGTTTGTTTTAAGCGACTATCATTGAATCGCTTTCTTAGTTTAATATCTTATTTTAGCTTGTTATATCGGACGTAGATAGAGAGGAACTCAACACTTCTAGAACTACCAGGCGTTGTTACGACTTGTTAACGAAGTGTTTTGCTGAGAGGAGCGTCTCGCAACAAGAAGTTTTCTCGAGAAAACTACATTTACGATTTCTATGGACTCCCATATCTTTTCAAAGTCTCGACGAGAACTCTGAACTTGACTATGCGTTTGGAAAAGCATTACGTTTTACTGAGTTGAGACGAAACCGTCTTACAGGTTCAAGTGGAAAGCAGAAAGCTGTTTTGTTGGAAGATTCAGTTGGCGACGTTAACTGGAAACAACAGTGTGAGTTAGCGTTTAGAAGCATAGGTTACAAAGGCAAATCTTTTGAAGGAGTTCCTTTTGACGAAAAAGCTGGAGTTGTTCCGAACAAATTGGGTCGTGTTGTAAGCAGGGTTGAAGAGAGTTTGAACTCATGTGAGGAACCAGCATCCTATGAAACCGGATTATACGTAGTTGGTTGGCTGAAACGGGGACCGACAGGAATTATTGGTTCAAACAAGTGGGATGCTGAAGAAACTGTAAAGGCTGTTGTCGACGATTTTTTGTCAAAACTGAAGACTAAACGGTGTGAAGTCGCCTCCAAAGAAGATATGCTGACCTTGCTCCTATCCAGAAACGTTGCCTTTGTAGACTTCAAAGGTTGGAAAAGAATCGACGAAGAAGAACGAAAAAGAGGACAACGTAGAGGGATAGAACGCGAGAAAATACTAACTTGGGAGGAACTGCTAGAATTGGGTGCAGTTCGCACAACAAGCAAAGCATATGGGAAGGAACCCGAGCTTCTTTCAAAGAAGTAGTTAACAATCACCCTTTTCGAACCATACGCTGCTATAATAACGTTGAAAGAGTATACGTGGAGCAAAGAGTTGGGACCTTGATAATAGGTCGCCGTTTGGTAGGAAATATCCACAACAGAACAGTTGGAACTTTCATTCGTTTGAAAAACTACGTGCAAACAACAACTTCAGACGTCCGTTTCACGTTTCTTAAAGTATTCGTCCTGGGAAAATACTTAAATTGATTGGAAAGGTTAAAACAGCACACAGTACCATCTCCTCATCTAGTTTTGCTTTCTCTCGTTCTCGTTTCATTTTCTCGATTTCAAGCTTGACTTCCTCCTTGTCTCTCCCTTCTTTCTCAGCCTGATAAAGCATTATTTCTGCGTCTAACTGCTCTTGAGTCTTTCCTCGCTTTTCCCTCTTTAAGGTTCCTCTTCGCTTGAAGTTTCCGTTTGGTTTACTTTTTCCTTTCCAAACGTTCAATTTTGATGAATTTAGCGTTTACAAGAAATAGTGCTTACTTTTTCGGATCCTTCCTCGAAAAACGGCTCTCGGCATGCCAACTGTCTAAGAACACGAGAATAATATCATTTTCAACTTAGATTTATTGGACGATGAAAATGCGCCACTCCAACCTTCAGTCCTCTAGGCGAACAAAACCTTCAAAAAAGAATAGTGATAGAGCAGATAGTATCAACTCGTTTTCTGTACTAAGTGAGAACTCGCTGCAATACCTATTTGAGCTGCACAGCCTATTTCTGGTGGAGCTGGAGAAACAAGAGAAACGGATGTTTTCATTACCCAACAACTCTAGTTTTACAGCTACAGTTGCTGAAGAAGATGATATTGACGACAACCTTAAGTTACTCAAAAAAAGGTTCTTCATGGAAATAAGTGGAAAAGAGCTATCTTGCCTCTGTGATATTAGGACAGCTCAGATTTGGGAAACGATACTAACTCAGTTCAACTTGGAAGACTTTTCTCTTTTATTGTCTCGACGTTGTTTTGTTGTCACAGAAAACATCCATTCTATACTATTCAACAAAGCTGGAAGCAGAATTTTTGAACAGTTGATTATTCGTTGTCTTTTTCTCTGTCACCAAATTGGAAACCCGACCAAACAGATTGAGCCGGATTTGTCTCGAAACGAAAAACTTGCAGGGCTTGATAAGTTTTGGAAAGAATTCGTTAAAAGTATATGTTCGGATTCTTCGCACTTTATGACTATCCTTTGTAACTGTAATGCAAGTCACGTCCTACGAAGTTTTCTTTTAGGTGCTGTGGGTTTTATGAAAGAGGGGAGCGTTGTTGACGAAAATGAGATTCTAAGAGGTGTCCAACGTTTGGAAAATGTAAACAGATATTTTGCTTCTCTAGTAGAATGCTTCTGGGACACTGTAGACAACTTGTATCAGAAAATTGCGCATATTACACATCTGTCCGATGTTTACGCGTCTTTGGTACTTCAATCTCTTTTGTTTTCCAAACTATTAGTGCCAACTAGACAGTCGTGTTTCTTGCATCAACTTTTTAGTTTGATTGCAAATAGGAAAGGCACTAAGAAGAACAATTTTCTTAAGATGGCATGCCATGCAGTAACTAGTCATTTACTACAAGCCTTTTTTTATATCTTAGAGTATGATTTATTCCAAGAGCTGTTTGATAATCATCTTCGAAATCAGATTCCTTATCTGCTAAATGACAAATACGGTAATCATGTTTTACAACAAATTATAAGAAAACAGAAAGACATTCCGAAAGTTTTGGATATTTATGACAAGTTGGAGCCACATATTGATGACCTTGTATCCATTGGACATTTTGGAATCCTCGCAGCCTTGGCGGAAGGTTTGGTATCCTGTGAGGTTGGAGCTCAAAAGACTTATGTGAGAAAAGTCGCAAAGGCATTGAATTGTGCTGGAAAAACTAGTTGTGAGTTGGTGAGAAACCTTTTGTATCCCACAGAAACAACTAGAGCGAATTTTATGCATATAGCTGAGCAGATTCCTGGAAATTTCGAAATATCACAAAACAACACTTTGGATGAGCTCCAAAAAAAGGTGCCCAAGTGCTCACCAGTTGGTTCGTTGCTCATACAACACTTTCTTAAGTATTCCGCATCAGGGCGACAGCTTGTGGAAGAGTCATTTGTCCGATTTGAAAAGGCTCAGTTGCTTTTCATTGCTCTAGATCCTTCAGGCTCACGTGCAGTCGAAAGTTTTTTATCTTCATGTGGAAATTTCTCCCTCTTGAATAGATTCATCGATAAGTTCACTGGCGTTTATTCTATTTTAGCGAAAAATTGTAATGGCTTTCATGTTCTTTTGAAAATGTTCACCGTGATTGATGTGAAGGGGAAAAGAAAGCTTGTTCAAGAACTTGCTGCAACTCGTTTATGGCTGGCTTACTTTCCGTACGGAAACCAAACTTTGACTCGCTTGAAAGTAAACGAGTTCGTTAGACGTCAAGAACAATGGAGTCAAAAGGAAACTACAATTGAGAATAGGAAACGTTTATTCAAAGACATTTTGGACGCCGATATTTCAGAATATGAAAATTATCCAATCTCCAATCCAGATATGCAAGCGAAAATGAAGTACAAAAGGGATTTCTCTGGGGACAGAAAGGACCATCGAGCTGTGAAAAACAACGAAGATAAGTCTGAAGACAGCAGCACACAACTAGAATTGATATTAGAATGTATTAGAAATGTGTCAACTTGAAAATTGCTTTAGAATTATATTATGATGAAGGATATTTATATTTCCCAAGATTGTAATGATTCATCCATATGGTCAACTGAACATTTTAATACGTAATTATCAAGATGACTCTTTTAGTAACCATGGTATCTTCCAAACTATCTGCTGATAATAACAACTCGTAACAGATATCGTCATCATGAAAGAAAAGCCACGTTTGTATTCAAAAAGTTGTTCTATTTGTTACGTGAAAATCCCAAATAACTGTAATGACGCATTTCAGATTTTTCAATTGATTCTTTATCGAATTTTCAATCCAAATAATGGTGCTGACCTCACAAAGTTTTTCAAGCAAGTTTCCACCCTCTGTTAGAAGTCATTTGACGCAAGTTTACTGGACACTTTTAGTTTCCATACTTTTCATGTCTGTTGGCTTATCAATGCACCTCTACTTTTCAATTGGGTATTCGACAGTTCCTCAACTTTTGGTGCCCCTTCTCACCTTACTAAACGTCTTTTACCCGCGGAACCCCCAGACAGAGAAGACTCGAAAATACCTCCTCTATTCTTTGTGTACTGCTATAGGGTGTGAAATGGGTCCTCTCATTGAAGTGGCTCTCGAAACAGATCCCAGTATCTTTCTTACTGCGGTTTCGGGTACTGCAGTAGTCTTTCTATGTTTTAGTGGAGCGGCTATTGTTGCCGAGCGCAAAAGCTACCTGTTTCTTGGGGGATTTCTTTCTTCATCGCTTTCTGTACTTGTATGGTTTTCCTTATTGTCCTTCTTGGTCTCTCTGAAAGTTGAACAATTTGTTCAGTTGTATGTGGGCCTCTTTGTCTTTACTGGATATGTTTTATATGACACCCAACTGATAATCGAGAAAGCATATCACGGTAGTTCTGATGTCGTGACAGATGCAGTTATGTTATTCTTTGACGTTTTAGCAATATTTGTTCGTATTCTTATCATACTCATGAAAAATTTCCAAAAGAATGAAGAAAAAGAGAGACGTAAACATGAGTGAGTGAAACAGCTGTTGTTGTCAATAAAGGAACGCACCCTCAATTAGATGTGATCACCACAAAAACCCAGCCATGCCAAAAATCACCGTTGATTATGGAATCTGAGCAAGTTGTTCCGGAGCTTGGGGAGGAAGCTAACAGAGTAGAAGGAAGCTTTGAAGGGCTTCATTCTTCCTCACATAGACACGTCAAGTTTTCACAAGATGCTGTATTCGAATTGCTTGGTAGCCAGCTTACCCTAAGGTCTCCATCTTCTGGCACCTTTTGTCCGTTGTTTCGAAAGAAGCCTCCCAGTGGGAAGAGATGTGCCGAAGCAAACTCAGTTGCTCCATTTAACGACAATGTCTATGAAAGTAGTGCCAGTATAAAGCAGCGAGAATTTTTTCAGCCACAATGTACCTCTCGACTTCAAGACGAAGTTTCGGAAATTAGTTCTCGTGATCCCGTGCTGAAGAGAAGGAAGACAGAATTGAATGAAGACGAATTATCGCGTTCCTGGGAGAATGTAATTTCGGAAAATCATAAAGCACTTAGTTTTCCCGCACCGTCCCCAGTGTCCAGGTACAAGTCGCCACTTAGGCAAGGAAACTGGCACGAAAGTTGGGAGTCAGCTCGAAGCCTTGGAGCGGACTCGGTACCTTCTCAGAAGTCTTATATGGTAATATCCAGAGTGAAACATATTATCTCCATGATCGTTCAAAGGAGTACTTGTCTTTCTCTCACCACGTTAGATAAGTGGCTTACGTTGATGTGTAACTTTATCGAGTTCAACGCAGATGAATATGTTCTTTTTCTCATAATGGTTAAGAAATATCTAGTATCTGATGGTCAGCTATTAAGTTTGCACGATTGCACTAGACCACAAAAGTGGGAGCGAGTTCTGGCTGTCTGTGCTTACTTTGTCGTTTTCTTGTCAGAAGAGTTTACTGGTCGCATTCGTAGAGATTTAGAAGATTTGATGGGCCCCGCATTCCATTTTGGGAAAGAACAACAGTCGTTTCTATCCGTTGTTGATTGGAAAGTAAATGTAGCCTATAAGGAGTTTGAGAAGGTTCACCAATTTTTATTGCTTGAAGGAAACGAATATAAATTGCAAGTTTGGCAATGGCTTGGATTTTCGTTGAATGAACTTGATTCATGTGGTGATTTAGCTCCTTCAGTCGCATTGAAAAATACTCAAAGGAGCAGAGCTTCCTTAGTTCGTGCGAACGAGTGCGTGACACTTTCAAGTGGAAATAACAAACCCTGTACAGAATCAACACAAGAGAAGAAAGTTCCAAAGATAGAGGCTAACGATGGAAATTGTTTCGGAAGCAGTGAATCAATAACGAACAGTTTCATTTCGCAAGAGAGTGAAGAATATCAAACAGTGCCTTGTTAGTTTGCTATACCTGAATAATAAAAGTATAATTTCAAAAAATTCTTTTAACACACTTGTCATGGGAGCCATGCGGACTTGCAGTTGATGCGGAGGAGAGCATCTCACAGAGTCTTTCTGAGAGAAGCAGATACGATAATTTGAACTGGCTCAATATAAATAGTTTAAACGGTTTAGAGATTTGTCATGTTTCACATAGTGAAGCATCCTTTTTTATTTATGGTGCTCGTAACTATGTCACTAAGATTTTCGGTTATTGTGTATTGTGCGCAACTATTAGAGATACATAACATTATTGCTGTTCAAGATGAGTTTGGCAACAATGTTTCAAAGTCTGGAGTGAGCGGTTGTAGCCAAATACTAGTTGAGTGGTTGGAAAACGATACAGTTACTGGAAGACTCGAAAACATAGGATTGAAGTTGGGCTGGCTAGTGCCGCTGGAGAGAAGTATCTGCGACGTAGCGTTGTCTAGCTTTCTCATCTCAGTTATAGCTGAGAAGTTGTACACTGAAAACGTGATCCTAATGAGAGAAACTCCAGTCTATGTTAAGCAAGGCACTCTATATCGAGTTGCAAGGAAAAATCGTATGATTACTTCTTTGCGAAAATTGTTGGGTAGAAGGCTGCTTATAGATGGCGAGAGAAACAAGACTGTTGCCATTCCTTTTCTATTAAGATCATATGAAGCTGTTGAATGCTTACAGTTCTTGGAGAAGCCTTCCCAACAACCTTCCACTTGGTTCAAAAATAAGTCGTCATATGCCATCGCACAGAAAGAAAACTGGGTACATTTAGTGTTACTCGACTTCTTGTTTGGTATACAAAGAAGGGAACGTGAATACTGCTTTCGACTTGGTGACTTTCAACGTCCTATTTTTATTGTTCCACTACGGAAGACGGGAATATTTGGTTGTTCAGACATTTTAATAGACATACTTGGTGAAAATTTCTTTAGTAGCAGCAAAATATTTCTTCTTCTTTTCAAGTCTGTTTCTCAATACGTGAAAAGAGACTGTTCTGAAGTGATGTCCGAAATCAATAATAGATCAAGTAACTTGGCTTCAATGATAGATGTTGACCAGGAGACTACTGTCATCGAAATACTTAAGAGAAACTTTGCTGTTCTTGCTCACTTGATAGACTCATCCAAAACACTTGAAACCAACTCTAAAGAACAATTCGCATAATTATTTCCAGAATCTGATTCAATCTGTTGGAAAATCTTAGACAAGTGGATGAAAACCATGGGTAGTCTCCTTGAATGTGCTTCATAAAGTTTCTTAACAGACTGCTTCTTTTTTCTTATGGCGAGCCAATACCCAGTCAGTGGTTCAGGACAGTTTACTCACTCAAGTTATGGAGATATTCGTAGCCCTCTCCGAAGAGCTCCGGGTTCTCTCTCGAGAAAGGAACGAGTGGAAGGAGTTGAATGGGCTGGTGTTCGAAAGCCGAGAGATGGTTCTACAGGAAAGTTTTCTTCAAACACACCACCAGTACTACAGACGCAGAGAAGGAGTGGAAATTATTTAACACTTGAACAGCCAACTGTGGACTTGTCGACTTTGCAAAGAAACTTTGCTGACGGATCTACAGGTACGGTATAAAGTATCTGCGTTCTTCCTTTGCTCAATTTTTATGGACAAGAATGTTATATTTCCGAAGAAGGACCGAACATTCGTACAAACAGAGAGTTTAATACTTTTGCGCCAAGAAAAAGTGATCGTAGTCAAGAACGTGGTGGAGAGAGCCTTCATCGTACCTTGAAATCAGGATTCGTAACTCAACAAGAAGATGTTGTACAGCCGTATTCAAATGTTGCAGCAGCGTTGAAACAGAGCTCCGAAGCTCACCAGTCATCTGTCAATTTTTCGCAAAAGAATGCAGCCTACAATAGAGCAGCTAGCTATAGGAATGCAAACTTGGATAACTTTGCTCCTGGAGTCAATAACAATTGTGTGAAACCCTTGGGAAGAAAACCTTTTGTTCGAGAAGGCGGTCCCGCACAAATGGGTCCGCGTTCGAAGCAAGAACTTGACTTTCATAGTGGTTTCTTATCTTCTGGCTATTCCAGAGAACGAGTTGAAGAAAGATTGGATGGCACTCCTTCCCGTCCCGATTTGTATCGCAATTTGTGGAAGGCAGGTTCTTCCACCAGAGGTGCAGGTGAAGCTTCGTCACAGTTTAGTGGAGCAAGAAACGAAAATCAACAGCAAATGGGCTACTCCAACTTCAATCTTGCGGTATTGTAATTTTTATTTGTACTTTCATTTTCTTATCTTTTTTGCAGGACTTGAGAAACTTTAGTTCTCCTCAGCCCCAGAACTCCACGATAACTGCAAACACTTCCTCTCTATATAGCCTTGATCCATATCCACAAAATCAGGATCAGTTGCGTTTCGCAATGCATGGAGTTACTTCCGGGCAAAAGCCTTCTCCTTATATGTCAAGGATAACTCCGAACAATATTAATCATGCAACATCGGATCGAATTCCAACTCAGAGTCATGTTCTCCTCCACCAAAAAGAGGTAAATTATTTGGCAAATTATTTGCTTCGTTCTGATAAGAAGAATTTAGAACTATCACATGAATCAGACTCTCCTGCGTTATATTGAAGAATTTAGACATTGTTTGGATATTATTAGAGAAGTGGATGTCGGAATACCTGAAATCCAATTCTTGCTTGAGATTGGTTCGGTTATTGAGAGAGCATTGGGAGAAGTTATTGCTACGAGAAGTAATCGTTTCGAAGTCGGGTCTCCGTATTTGGAAATGCTTGTAAAGTTTATTGACGTTTTCTTAAACTATGCAAGCTGTAGTGCTCGGACTGGCATGTTTTCGATTATAAATCAACAACGCTTTGAACAAACGAATTCACAAGTAGACACTAATACGAGAACGTCGACAACGAATACTCGTGTTGGTGGTATGTCTACTCCAGGCTTCTCATTTGAAGGGTCGCAAACAAACGAAAGTTCTATCGCTCGTATAAATTCTAATGGAGCTATTTATACAGATACAGAACCTTCGCAACATTCGCAGTACTCGGCTCGTTCACATCGTTCAGCAACTATTCATGATTCCTTACAGAACAGTGGAACAATGGAAAGAAACAAAGTTCGGAATAAAACAAAAGGAGCGAAGCGAAGTGCACCAGAGCAAAGTTCTGAAGATTTTGAAGCACAAAGTGCTGGTATCAAAAGTGCCAGACCACCTTCAGTTAGGACCGATATTATTGACCAACCTGTTGTATCGAATTCCGTTAGCTCTTCTGAAATAGAAAGAAGTACATCGAACACGTTCTCCAAGAGCAAAACCGGAAAAGAGTCGTTGAATTCCCAAGGAGAAGAAGACATTGTTTTGAAGACAAAGGAACAACTTGATATATCAACAGCAAGCTTGAGAAGAAACACTGAACACGCTGAATTGTTTTTGAACAAGGTATATGATATCTTCAATAGTTGACAGTGTTTATGCTAACGTAGCCAAGCTTAAGGAAAGAAATTTACAGTTGCTGCGATTTTCAAGGCTAATAGGAAGAAGAGGTCGGCATACAGATATAAGTGGAACTCGTAGTCATCCCGAGGCTCCAGAAGATAGCTTCAGTAAGTGGAATCGCATTGAGGAAGTAACAGTTGTCTTATATCGTAATAGGAAATACCGTTGAGATTATAAAACTAGAATGTGAAAATTTGAAACATTTTTGTAGGGGTCTTGATGTATATATCTGTGAAACGGACTCCTGTATCCTGGTAAAATGCAAGATATCAGGTGTGCCATTTCGTTTGCCGCATTTGTATATCAAGTTGAATTCTGAGGATCCTGACAACCTATATGGCCATAGCTTTGACTATTGTGGAATTGAATTAGGAGACTTGGGCGCAAGAGTGAAGGAAGAGTTTACAAAGGCGTTAAAGAAATATTCTCAGTATATTAATATTATCACCTTGATACGTGTTTATTGGAAAATTGTGACGGAGGTAACAAGCTCATTGATGACTGATTACAGAAAATAGAAATTTTATGAAACCGTATTTTAATGAAGTTGTAAAGATTCATAATGATTGCCTTTAACTCGGTAGGAATATTTTTTTGTGAAAACAATTACCACTTATTGTTCCATCACAAAGTATATCTACTAAATTTGGTATTGATAATTCTTAAAGGCAACTTTCTTTTACAACTATATGATTACCTTTTACTCTGGGGAATTGCTCATATAGTTATCATTCCACAGTTTTTGCTCAAAGAAATGGGTATCATTTGTTGAGTTTCCACCAAATTGATAAAGCAGTGTACTTGAAAAACATTCGACTGCCCAATAACCTCATCAAGTAGGAACGAGCTAAGAGCATTATGTGAAATTGTCAAAACAAGCACTCAACCTCCATTCATTCATAATATGTCCCATTTACAAAATTTTTGTATGATTGGACAAGTATTTCATGTTTGCGCGTGGCACAAGGATATCTTCATGTCTTATGCATACAGTAACCTTAGGGTCACGTAGTCTCTTAGCGAAGAGTTCAATCACACGGGTTTCTGGAAGGATATGGCGTACTTTAGAGGTGAGTATTTCTTCGACAAAGAAACTCCAAAGTAAAGAATGATTGCACCAGGCACTGCAGCTAAAGAAATCTTTTTCAGAAACTGTTGACGAGACTCGGAGACCTTCTGTTTTTGATCCTAGTAAACAATCTGCGTTTTTGAACTTGACAGGAGGTTTGTTTCACTCCTTGGAACTCCTCAGAAGTGGCTTCTCAGTTATTCCAAGGAAATCTCAGTGAAGAAAAGAGAGGAAGAAAAGCCGTGGAAATTGCAAACTCTATCGCCAAACTAAATATGACTTCAAATGAGAAGGTTCGATAATTCTTTCAACTTCGAGTTTTCATATTTACCTTTGTTTCCTGGGAAAGTTGTCAAGCGAAGATGTAGTTTGGATAGACGAGAAAATATGCCTAGTTGGTATTGGCCGTAAGTACGTCTAACCTTGTGTTTCTTCTGACTTTTTCAGTTCGTACAAACTATGATGGCTTTACCAAAGCCTTGTACAGCGGAATTTTCAATTCGAAACGTGTTGCAGCTGTCAGGTATTTGTGTCTTTGCGGGTTTAGCTACAATTGAACTTATGTTCAAAAGAGATATATTTGATCGGTCTATCTCGCATGCTACTCTAAGCAGCTGTATCAAAGTAGTCTCTGATGATATTGTTGTGGTTTTAGATAGCGTGCAAGTAAGCAAACTCACTTTTTGATTGTTATTCTTAGAATGGCTTTAGAATCCTTTAAAGAGACGACTGGTCAATCTCTACTTTGAAACGGAAAAGTAAGTAGAGTAGAAAAGATTTGTATGACTTTATGTTGAACATGCAACTGAAGGTTTCATTTCTCCTTGGAAAGACATGACTTGGATTTCACTGAATTTTTGCATGAAGCTGGCTTGCGCGTTGTTCCAGTTTCAACCGAAGTATGAATTTGTTTTTCGGTTATTCTGCCTTTGACTGTAAAATGCAGAGTGAAGTAGTTGCATTTCGTCGGGAAGATGTTCCTGTCCAACAAAGCACAAACCATGTTCTTATGGTAGGTAATGTTGAAATTCGAAGCAGTTAATAATGGAAAATATAAAAGGTTGCACCTACTGCCTTTGCGCCGAACGTATATACTGCTGAGGATAATTTTTTTATGGATTCTGCTCGCAGTCAAGATGTCGCAGACCTACAACAGAAAGTACGTATTCTTATGGTTTCATATGTTATTCTTTCTCTCTCTCCTTATTCTTCAATAGGCACTTTGTGAATATGCATCACTATACAACCTTGTTACCGCTAAAGATGCTGCTGGTCTTCGAGTGCATTTATTTACTCATGAGCCCTATCACGACACCCCTGATGCTGTATATCCAAATAACTGGTTCAGTACTCACACTGGTAACTTTGAAAAAAGGCATTGGAAGAAATTCCGTAACCATTTTTTGTAGATCTTGAAGTTGGAGAATGTACACTGGTATTGTATCCTATGAAGGCTCCCAATAGACGAAAAGAGAGGCGACCAGAATTTCTTCATCGACTCTTTATGTTTCGTAGATATACAAATGTCTTTGACTTGACAAGACATGAAGAAGCACTGGAACCCAGATTTTTAGAAGGAACAGGAAGTCTCGTTCTTGATAGGGTTAACCGGTACTTTTTTTTGATCTCATTTTTATGATCAATATACTAACTAACTCTTCAAACAGAGTGGCATATTGTTGTCTGTCGGAACGAACAGACCTTACTCTTGCCAGAACCTGGGCAAGAGTTATGGGTTACAGTTTAGAACCTTTCACGGCATGGGATGCATCGGGAAGGTGAGCTTTAAATGAAGACTATTGTATTTGATGAACTCACTTTATTTAGACCAATTTATCATACAAATGTTATGATGAGTATTGGAACCCGAGTTGCGGTAATTTGTTCGAGCAGTATACAAGATAAAGAAGAGAGAAGAAGAGTCTGCACTCGTCTGATGGTCGGTTTTTTAGAGAAACTGTATCACGTGGCTGATGATGGTTTATATTAGGACTCTCATGAAGTTGTTGATATTTCTTTAAGTCAGGTTAATAGTTTTTGTGGAAATGTTTTAGAAGTTGAAAATTTTTATGGCAAGCCAGTCATGTTGATGAGTAGTACTGCAGTGAGTGTAGTTGGTTGTGGTTTGTTCAGTTTTAAAATTTTGGTAGTATCACGCATTCGACAGTAAGCAGTTGGAACTGTTGCAAAAACACCAACACGTAAGAGTGTTTTTGTTGCTTATCATTCTTGATGATAATTCTATAGGACTTGCTTCATGTTGATATTTCGACTATCGAACGTGTTGGTGGAGGCGGTGTTCGATGCTCTATTGGCGAGCTTTTCTAAATATTTTTCTAAACTTTTCACGACTCACTTAGTACAGGAAACGTACGAATTCTATTTGATAGACATGACGACAAAAAATGGCACCGAATTATGCCTACTTATTGGTAAATAGAAAGTCACTTGACAGTCTTCTTCGAATAAAGTCTCGAATACTAAAAAGTCTATTTTGTCGATAGAGTTTCTCATGAGAAAATGCTTCAAGTCGCATAACAGCTTGTATACGATTGTTCAAAACACGGAACTAGAAAACTAGGCTTCAGATTCAGACAGACTCCATCTATGGGAGGAGCAATGAAAGTTTCTTGTCTCAAGACCAATACGGCAATATTGGAATTCTTTAGAAGTGTTTCAGAGTTCAGAATGTTTTGCATACAAGGTTCGGTGAGCTCTCCTCAGTAACCACAGCTATATTGAAGTAATTTTGATAGCGACACATACATCCAATAATTATAATAATAGTTAATAAAAGTAACAAGCCATAAGCTTCTTGCATCAAATGAGATGCTTGCGTTGAACTATGGAAATAAATTTTCATGCTTTTGATAATGTCACACTAATGCAACACCTAAATAAGTTGAGAAGACTGATTACATCTAAAGAAGAAAATTACCTAGCGCTCCAAATACTGAGGTGATAAATTGATTACAGTTATGAAATGTACCTACAAGGTTTCCAGTCATACATGCGGCCACAAGTGCCGCTCTGAACTAGCTTGAACCTTGTCTATTGGACAACATGTGGATGTTGAATCACTATGAACAGAATCCAAACGTGACATGGACATTGGAAATGAAATGCTGTCGCGAGCTGAACATAACATTTTTAGAGTATTGCTTATTTATATCTTTAACCTACCTGATGTTCCAGCAGAGTAGACCTGATCAGTTTGCTGCTTTTCTTTCGAAGAACATTTGGTAGATTCCTTCGAAGTTTCGTGTGTTCCTATGTTTCCCAACTTGTGGAAACTCTGAATGTAGAAAATGATATATTTGGGCAACCAGTCAGAATCCGTTCCAAAGGAAGTACTAACAAGACAATCTAAAATTTCGTTTCGAAGTGAGCGTAGTCTGAATGTGCTCTTTCTCTTCAGGATTCCTTTGCGAAGACTGCATAACGTCTTCAAAGGTTCCACAAACCACCCATTATCTACAAAGATAACATGCAACGAAGAAGGGTCACTAAGAAGCTAGCGCACTTTGAAAAGTAGACCCGTGAACCTTATAAAGAGACTTTACCTCTATCAACGTTTGTCTAGTGGTGCCAAACAAATCACAGCACTCGCCATTTACGTATAAGATTTTATGCCACGAATCATCCAAAGACACACTCATTTTCAGAGTCGCAATAGGAACTGACTCTAAAAACAAATCTTGCTGGTCATTAGATAAAACTGGGGACTTGGGAGGTAGTAAAGAAACCATTCTTTGGGCAAAATGTTCACTTGAACTATCCAAAGACTGAATTGCAGCATTTAATGCAAAGAGGCTGCAATAAGGAGAGTCCTGCACATTCGAAGAGAAAAACTGAACCTGGAGAGAGTTAAAGAAAAATTCATCGTATGTTGGACACACATACATATCTCTCAATACTTTTAGCCACAAAGTAAAATAATACTTCAGATTTGGCCAAATCTAAAATTTGTTCATCCTCTACATTTTCAACTTTATGCTGTAATTCCTTAATATATGTAAGGTACGAATTTTTCAAAATAGGTCAACATATACCTGATCCCAAGAAACCATGATATCCCAAATCCTTCCTGTGACAAAGATGAGACCTTCTTTCTTAGAAAGTGAGTATATAAGATCCGAGTAATTTTCCTCATCACTGCAGTGGTCACTATTTGTACTTAACAGATTTTCTGAATTCATAAAAGGAAAACAATCTTCATCAACTGTCTCCTTACTTGATCCATAAGAGTAGAGCGGTCTCCAGTGAACAAGTGTGTCACTACCAGAAGCTTCTTCAAGAATAGTCCTATTTGAAACCTGTTCGCAATCTAAGTTTACAGATGTTATAGGCTTTCCTCTAGTCAAACAATCTACAGGGATAAATAAAGTTGAAACCCTCTCTTCAGCTATAGAGCTTTGAAACCAACGAGCTTCCAAATCTTGTCCAGGGGAAGTACCTCCTTCTATTTGTATCGTTTCGGAAAAATCAACGTGATTGAAAGAAGAACAACTAGTCTCGTGTTCGAGACTTGGGCAGGAGTGATCGAAGTAAGTTTCGTTTTGCCGGTCATTCTGGTCAGAGTCTGGTTCGAAAACAGAATTACTCCCTTTTCTCTGAAATATTGAATGTATATTTGAGACCTGAAAAGAGCTAGTTGGTTTTCGACAACGACGTGGCCTTGAAGACGGTGCATCGACGCAGGTAGCTTGAAGACCAAGTCTCACACACCTCCTGCAAGGGCGAAAGTCATCACAGGCTTGCTTCGCTTGCCTACAATGCGTGCAGCTGATACTAACTACTCTCAAAACTCTTCTTCGCTTTTTGTGTTGCGAAACTGTGGTCTTAACTTCTTTTTCAACGGAAACTCCTGAACGAGAACAACCTCCGCATAGTGGCTTAATATCAGTGGAAAGTACTTGGTCACTCGAAGCGCTCACATCCTCGTTCCTTACAAGACGTTGCTTGCCATCTTGCGGGTCTTCCAAAAGGAAACCATCGATGTTTGTACCTTTTGGGTTCATCAAAATCAGCTTTCGATATAAAATCTCATTAACGGTCTGCAATCGATGGCCTTTATGCAGTTGGAAGAAAAGATAAGCTGTGCAGTTTCAGCTGTTATTGGCAAGGAGTTCAAGGCAAGTATTGGTCCTTCCGTCGGTGGCGGTTGTGTTAGCGATACAAGAGTTATTCTTAGCAAAGATTCTGGTATTTATATCCAAGTGCCGTTTTCTGATTTACTCTCAACTGTTGCTTTTAGACGGCTTGAAGTTTTTCGCTAAAATTGGCATTCCTTCTGAAGTAAGTATGCTAGCTGCAGAATATTACGGTGTTTTGGAAATGTACAACACAAAGACTATAAGATTGCCCAAACCCATTTGCTACGACTCTACGGACCGCTTTAGTTTCTTGATTCTTGAAAACCTAAATATGACAAATAGAGCAGGAAAAAGGGAATATGGATTGTTAGGAAAACAGTATGAGACGTTTCTGTAGTGTTGAGCAAAAGTTTCTTTAACGTTACTGTGCTAGACTTGCGATGATGCACCGCTGCACCAGTGACAGAGGATTTGGGTGGCATAGGGGCAATACAATAGGTATTTTTTCTGAATGGAATGTAAGATTACCTTTACTCATGCTTCAATTAAAGGTCCAACTCCTCAGTTGAACCCCTGGACTAGCAACTGGACAGAGTTCTTTGTAAACTATCGACTTCACTATCAGATAGAGCTGGCAAAGCGAAATAATTTAAGACTCGAAGATGAGGCAACATTATTGCAAAAAGTGGAAAAGCTTCTTAACCAAAAGCAAAATGTCATTCCCTCATTAGTTCATGGAGATCTATGGTCGGGTAATATTGGTTTTCTCAACACCGGAGAACCTGTTATCTTCGATCCAGCTACCTATTACGGTGATCGAGAAGTTGACATTGCAATGACGGAGCTATTCGGAAGGTTGCCAGAGGATTTTTACACGGCATATAATGATGAATTTCCTTTAGAAGAAGGATATGAACAAAGGAGGACTATATACAACCTTTATCATGTTTTGAATCACTTTGTATGTATAGCTTTTCTGATGTATATTCTCTGATATTTTCTTAGAATCTCTTTGGAGGAATGTATGGTCGTCAAGCAAAGGGCATGATGCAAGAGATAATGGAGTTTATCTAAACATTCCTATGAAGTGGTCAATTTATACGTCCTCTAGGTTTTTTTGGAATCTTGGTCTGTTGGTGACACTCAGAAATCCATGCAAATTGAAAACTTGTTCTTCAAGTCATTCAGACCTGGCTTTAGACATTGAAAGACTTGATTAAATATTATTTTGGATAGTAGCGTGTTGGACAGAATAAAGAGACAGATATTCTCCGTTTTAACGAAAATGCAAGTTGTCCAGTAACTTTCACACTTTTGAAGTTCTCAGAAAGCCCTTTAAGTTTACTGACCCCTCAAAAGCCTATATGAAGAGAAAGAAAGGACGTGCCTAGAAAGTCACAAGCTACATTTAAGCCTGCTTCAAAGGACCATTCCAATTGAACCAAGATGGGCTTGAGAGAATGAGCCAACTGTTTGCACAAACACTGGAAGAGAAACTTTAGATATCCATTGAAAACTCGAAGAGCCTTAACGCGTAAGACAGAGAATCGTTGAATGGATTTAAATCTATACGATAAATAGAATTTTGGCGCCAATCTGAATTTATTCCGTCTTCGAAATAGCAAGTTATGGTAGTAGCCAAGTCTGAACAAGACACTGATAATAGTGAAGAGAAGGGAATCGAACATAATCTATTTATTCTACAGAATGCTTTGTCAACGGAAAACTGGGAACTTTTCCATCAACTGTTTCTTCAAAGTTCTAGTTTTCTAACTGCTCTACAGGAGTCTATGCTTTCACAGGAATTTCCTGACGAATATTTTGGCATAACGAAGAAACTTTTTTCCTCATTATCTAATAGTCTAAGTTTAAATTCTGAACGCGTAGGATTTGGCTTGCAATCTTCAGTTTCTGGTACTAATCTCGTTGTCTTAGGGAGAATTAATAGTGTTCCAGTTACATCTTGCTCTTATTTTCTTGAAACTTGAATTCCACCAGCCAAAGTGGTATTCTCTGAGAAAACAGTTAGAGTTCACCTTTTCTAGTGTCACTGATGCTTTGCTTAGTAATTCAGCCGCAATCAAACGTATTCTGGCACTTGGAAACGTTTTGCAAAGTCAGAAGCAGTGTGAATTTTGTGAATCTGTTGCTTGTATTTCTCGAGTTTACCATCTTGTGCATATTTTGCTAACTCAAATCCTTGATCTTTTGAACGAAGTTGTATCTTCAGGATTCGCGCAACCACCAATTTATCAAAAGCTATTAACATTTGCTTACTTTGGATTGGACACCAAGATGCAATCCATTGCTTCTAGTTCTCGAGCTCTTATTACAATTCTTTTTGAAGTTTTACCTTTATCTCAGAGTGAGATTATGTGGAGAACAGTATATTCCTTTTTTGAGACTGTAGAGCTGCTACAATTTGGGCAACAGAATAAACCTCAATTGGCTTCGGTACATGTCAGAGAAGAGATTACGAATGTATTGCGCCTCCTGAATACGAGTGGATGTTATGCATGTAATCTGCAGAAAGGAAACCAAATCTACGAAGCACGACGAGGATGTTGCCTCCAAAAGGCTAAACCAATAATTCCCAAGGAAACAGCAGAGGATGTTTTCTATACAGAGTTTGCATCTAAATGCGATATTTTAGTCGCATATGTCCAAGAAGTTATGAAGAAAACACACTCTTTTTCAAAGAAGAGAGCCATTCTAAGCTTTGTTGATTCTATTTTGACGGTTTTTCCTGATTTGTTATTTCCTAGCGCATTCTTTGTAGTTGCATCTCTCTTTCAATTGTGTCTGGAGGGGCTAAAGACTTGTAACGGTAAGAGCATTATGCAGAAATGTATCTAGCTGATCCAATCTTTCCAGATAACTCTCAAATGCGACTTATCGCTATTGAAATACTTACGAAGATATCTGTTCGTTTGCTAGAAGTACAAATGGAACATAGAGAGTGTAAAATATGTGCAATGATCACAGAACACGATCAAACCTTTGTGTTGTTTGATTCAAATACATTTCATTTGGAACAACTTGCTCCACATTCGTTAGGTTGTTGGGTTACAGTATTAAGTCGTATTTCAAAGAAGGTAAATATTATCTTCGAAGAAACAAAGAAACATCAAGGCGTGAATCTTTCGAAAGCAGTTCAACTCTCCTTAAATGAAGTTGTCCAATGCTCAGCGGCATCATGTTCTTTAACAAAAACAGGACCACTTCAGACTGTCGAAGCGCTCTTTTCTGCATTTTCTGTAGCTAGTCAACAGGAAAGACAAAAGTTGATTCAAAGCATCAAGCTGTTGTTAAGAGCAGACCCGAAATTCTTTGTTGAATTGGGTTGGGTGGAAAATGCTTTAATTCTTTTATCGCGTAATCCTTCTGCTTCAGTTCGTGCAGTATCTGTCGAACTTGGCTTGCAGTTCACCAGTGTTAATGTGCATCAACTTTCACAGAGAAAGTCGGATTTCTCCACATCTTTAGCCTCTTGGACGGATGTTGTTGTCGAACGCTTGCGTGACAGCAGCCCTTCCGTGAGAAAGGTCGCAGTATGTTTTGCAAAAGTGTTGCTGATCTTCTATACAACAACGAGTGCTTCTTCCAGCACCATTGTGCCGAGGAAAAAGATACTGAGGCACGTTATCAGTCGCCTTGAAGATGAAGAAGAAGCAGTCAAGGAGATTTGCATGGACTGTCTGGAAGAATATCTTCAGTATGCCCAAAGAAAGTTATCTGTTCAAGTTGGATCTTCATATGAGCTTGTGCAGTTCTATCATGAAATATTTGAATTACAGAGCGCTTTGAAGTCAATTTGTTCTAGGAAAGCTTTTTTTGATGTTGCTTCCGAAGTCAATGTTGCTGGCGTAGACTTACTGGTATGTTTAAAAACTTAGTGACTTGATTGAACTAACAGTCTATAGGAGAACCTTGTTAAGTGCGCTATGAGTATTGTTGCAAAAACATTTCAGAATGTATATCAGAATATCGAGCGTTCCAGTGCTCAGGTTGATGAACATTATCATTTAGCCACTCTTTTTTTAGAAACAGCTTGCGAGTGGGATCCAGAGTATTTGGCGCCATATGAACGCTACCTTTTGTCCTGTCTCGAGTTTTGTTTGAATTCAAGAGATATCGGAGTTCATGTCGTTTCCAATATTATCTGCTTGCTGAGTTCATTATATGAATCAGCACCAGCAGGTCTTGAGGGAGCAAGGAAATTCTTTTGTTACGTAGAACAAATTCTCACTTGCAACCTCTGTCCTGTTCTTGGAAATGCAGTTATGAAGGTATAGGTTTCCGTCTTCAACAGTTCAAACAAGTTTAAAATTTTGTAGAGTCTTCGCAAACTATGTAGAATTCCGACCTTTCAGATGGAAGTTGAAGAGTTGTTACACGAGCTCTTAGCTGTTGCAAAAAGACAGACATTTGATTGGCAGGCTATACCTATCACATCTAACGCTCAGGAAAACACTTGGAAAGTCGTTTCTACCATTTTTGTCCGAATCGCATCGCTAAGTGCTTATGCCACATCGAAGAGTATTCATGAGTCTATAAGAACAGCATTATTTTGGTTTTTTGACAAAATTTTTGATTTTTTGAAATGTCGTCTCCAGAGTGACATTTCTTTTGATGAAACTTGGTTTTCTACGGCGATGGAGGCCGCTCTTATTTATTCAAAGTTTGACTGTTCTTATATGTCTTCTCTCATAGAGTCTATTACTTTGATACTGCAATCCAGTATCGTTGCGGAAAATCAAAAACTATCCTTGTTATTCAACTTACAGAATATTCTCTCTGAAAGTATAAAGGATCTTCAAAGCAATGCTAACGAAAGTCACAGTTATAATACAGGAGCCAGTGTGGAATTTTTGAGAAATGTGGAGCATTCGTTTGTAGATTCAGGTTCTGTCCTTGTACAGCATCTTCTTAAAGTCTTTGATCATTTGGTCTTCTCTCGGAATGCCACAATTCGGAGACATGTTTGCAGCATCATTTGCCAGTCTGTGTGGTCCGGGTGTGTTTTATTTCAAATGTTTTTTGCAAGTTCTTTTTCTGAAGTTACATTTTAGTATTGTGGTTCCCATTGAAGTGCTTTCATCCCTTTTTTGTTTCATCTTTGAAGACGATGGTCAACATGATGTTCGAGAACGGGTTTTCACCACCTTGAAATTTATCTCTCAGAGTCAACAAGATATGATAGGTTCGAGGCTTATGGAGGGCCTACACTACGCTTGGAATTTTTGGAAAGTGACGATGGAGTCAGATTGGTTAGTTTGCAACTTTTTAACGTGTAAATCTTATGGTCTTGAAGGAACTGTCTTATTGAGAAGGGCCCCGATACTCGTCTTCGTTCGCGTTTTGCAGGGGTTTTTACGTTACTGTCTTCGACACAACTATTTGCTTTCGTTCGTACACTTCTCGATGAAATTATCTCAAACGAGGAATGTTGGTTATTTTGCGTATTCTGTACAGTTCCTCTTTTGCTTTTGGATCCATCCTGTATTCTATCGTTCAAGAGTCAAAGGAGGAAATCATCAAATGTACTAGAAGAAGTAAGAGTTTTTGTTGGTCTTTGATAGATTCTTAGTTCGTTTAGATGAAACTAACGACAGAAAAATGTATGCAACTTGTTGCTACAATGGGCGTTGATTGGTTACAGGGTTACGAACCAACCGAGGGTTGCACAAAGCACTGTTCCAGTGCAATTCGTCTTTACTTGGTTACTTTAGTCCACGAAAAATTTCAACATTTAATACAAGCCTGGAACAGAGTTGATGATAAGGGTGATGACGCTCTTATGATGAAACATGGCAAATATTGGAATGAGCTCATAACACTTGAAAACCACACGTCACATCATCGTGTCCGTAAGCGTATTTTTGAGTTGATTGGAGTGAGTGTGTATTACCTTGAAATGAGTTTTGTTGACAATTTCAAAATGTAGGATGGCGACGAGGTTTTCAGTGATGTCAGTACCAGCGTTGCAGTCAAAAATTTTGATAAAGAGAAATATCCTGTGTTTTCTCAGGAACGAAAAGACTCTTTCTTGAGTGCTGAAGCGACATGAAAAGTCAATTGAACAACCTGATTCGTTTGTTCATACTACGGTCACGAGCAACTCGACATTTTTTGGGAATAAAGCATTTTGTATTACTTTCACATGGAAGATCAAGCATGTTGAAAGTAATTCGAAAGCTGTACGTTTTATGGGACTATTTTCTTATACATTAGCTAAAAGTATCGTAGCTACTGTAAACGTTTCGAAAAGTATAAACATGGCTACGTTCATTTCCGTCACTGTAATTTTCAGGCAAAAGCGTCAAATCCTCCGAAGAATCTCGTAATCCTACAACTACTACTTTAAAAGGATGTAGAAAAAGTGACCACAAAGTGTCGAACGTTGAGCTTTGCGTATTCACCTCACCAGAATACGAATAAAGTATACGCTTCAAAAGAGGAGGACCCAACTTTGTTGCAAATTTCGTGCAAACTAATATACAAGTGAAAGAAATGACAATCAACACTGTTGCGGCTGTTATGGAGCCAGTCAACAAGAAACGTCCACATAGCAGCAAGTGCGAAAGAATTGTGCAAAACAATAGACGTCGAACAACAGAACGCGGCAGTCTGCCGTCGATTGCACTGCGAGGATGAACCTGAAAAATGTTCAAAGACGAGGGAATACTTGTACAACAGTTAACTTACAAAGTTCAGATTATAAGCGTCTGTTAAGTGTTTTGCAATAAAAAACAGCAAAGTCACCGGCCATAAGATTGGAACGACCAACCCCAGACATAGATATATTGCCAGTATTTTCAGAGTAGTTGCGTAATGTAGTGGAAAGTCAAACAACTCGTTGCATTTGCACTCGGTTAGTTCCAAAGGGTTGAACGAAAAAACATTACGAAAGAAAGAGAACAGTGTAGGAAAGAGTCGAGAAAGACTCAAAGAGTTACTCGTAAAAGTAAGTTGAATAATAAAATTCAAATAGAAGTACGAATTGCTCCCAGTAAACACACGTTCTGAAATAGATGCAATAAAATCCTTCGGATTCCACGAAGATTCACTTCTGGAAAGCAACTGCTCCAAAATCTCTGCTGCAGTATTTAAAGCCAACAAGGGCAATAGTACCTAAACCGCCTAAGAATACGGAACGCTAAAATAAGCATACTGACTGTATTAAATAAATAATAGAGAAACAGTTTCCGAAAAATGGACTGCTCTTCTTCTGATCTGCTAAGATAGCCTTCCAAGGCAGACTCCCGTCTAAAAAATGTAGGCATCAAAGCATTGATACAAGAAAGTAAAAAAACTGGGGCATAATCTATTACAAAAGGTCCGATAATTGAGCTGCGTGAAATTTTCTCCGCGAGTTCGGAGACAGTGTTAGACGTAAATACATCAAGCCCCTCTATTCCTAGAAACGGAGTTCTTTCTGCAGCATAAAAAACAATAATTCTAAGAGTGGACAAAATAGTAAAGGGTGAAGTAAATAATAAAAGGAAGAAGCCAGTCACGCTATTTAGAATCACCTCACGCCAAAACCGTTCACTTGCAGGAATCCCAACATTGTTCCAAATAATATCTCGAGGGTTGGGAGCAATGTCTGCTTGAACATTCTCTCCTAAGCGGGAAAGCGCTAAAGAAACTAGGAGTGCTTCCTTATCAGACTGTGGCCGTCGAACAAAAGATTGCATAGAAGACCTAGAAACCTTGAGTTTTCTTATTGGAAAATCTTGCAGACAAAGAAATGCTGTTCTTTGCGAATGAAATAAAACAAATGCACAGCCCGAAGAATCTGAAGCAAAATGTGAATGAGGAACTTCCAACTGTTGCTCAATTTTCCTAACTTCTCTTTGACAACTTATCAATGACCATCTCAATAAAAGCTTTCCAAAAGAATAGTTTAGCAAGTTCTTCTTCCAACCAAGAGAGTCCAAAATTTCTCGAGTACCGTTCAATAAAGAGTCATCAGAGCAGCAGTTGAAAAGTTGGATATAAAAATATTCTCTTCTTTGTGCTCTATGCAACATTCTGATAAGCTTACTCCTACAAGCTCTTCGACGATACAGAATCTCTACATGGGCGATTTCTGACGGGTAAAGAGTGTCAAGTAATTCAAAAATTTCTGATCTATCCGTGATATTTCGCGATACGTTGGATAACAACAGCATTCTTGGACACTGTTGTTCCGAGCGCTTACTGGGAGAGAATCCAAACATTTGCTCCGAAAGATACGAACATACAAGTTGTTGTCGATGTGGCGCTTCCGTCCAAGTAAAAGTCTGTGACTCGTAGTCTATCACTCTTCCTGCTACTGAAATACAAATGAAAATGTACATTACATACACAGAAAAAGCAAGAACAATCAATATCAGCAAAAGGTTTAGCATTGAGTTATCAAGAAACGCAATTTCTGAGAGGACAGCGGTCACTGAGCTAGTTCTGGATATCCAAAAGTAACAGGGTAACAGTAGAAGATAGCAGAGACTTCCGTGAAATAGAATTAAGATGATGCAAAGTCTCTGGAACAGCAAATAAACTCTTGCATCTTTTGAAAGCAACGAGAAATCGCTCGTAAGGAAGTTCCAAAGGCCGTTCCAACTTGCTGGAGGAGGAGATGGAACATACTATGGACACAAATAAGAATGAAAGGTGTGCTGGTATAGTTCGACTTACTGAGTCAAGCGGAGTAAAGTCCGAAAGAGATCTTACGGAAGGAAACTCTCGCAGCAGAGATTGTTCAGATGCTGTTAAGGGCTTCTTCCTCTGACGGATGAAATAAAAAATGGACCCGAGAAATGCCTAGCCGTGGTTTCGTTGAAACGTAACCAAAAAGCAAAAGAACTTACACAAGTGACTATGTTTACATAGAGCACAAAAGTTGTATGTCCTTGTACAGAAGAACCTTCAATATTAACCATGTTGGTTCAAGTGACATGCATCCAACTCTACCCCATTCATTCCCTTAAGAAACCCTTACCAAGAAAACATCATTTTTCATTGTATGTTTGAGCTTACTGACTCTGTTTTTAGAGTACAGCATTAAAAGGATGTTAGTAGTGCTATGTTTTTCTCATTTTAGAAAGCTGTTCAAAAGATATCAAGTTGGGATAAAAAATGAAACAATCCATCATTTAGCCTTTCTATTCTGAATATTATTATTCAATGGTGTAAGCTCATCAAAATAGAGACTTTATAATCCTTATATGATACTTTGATTTCATTTTGATAACAATATCAAGAACCAGGAGTTTGCATATCCAAAACTCATTATTCATAGGACATCTGCGGCTCTATTCAAAAAAATCTGATAAAACTAGGTATGACACGAAAAAGGACCGGGATAGTTGTCCTATCCAAAAATTCTTGTTAAAACTCTCTCTCTCTCTCTCTCTCTTATATATATATATATATATATATAAAATAAACGGCCTCCGAATGGTTCATACTCCATACTATCACATTCGTAGACTCCTTCCAACCCATCAGCAGAAAAAGCATAAAAATGAATACATGAGGAAAAACCAAATGACTCTCTTCAATCGGGGATTGAAAAGTGAACGGAGCATATATTACATGTTGCGACAAGTACTCAAGTCTCCTCGTGAGAATTAAAAAATAACGATATTAACATTGTCAACAATACCACACTGCCAAAAGTTAGTTTCATCTTGCCAAGATTATAGTCATATATGCAAGTTTAGCTGCTTCAAAAATCAATTTCAAAGGTATACATAGTGATTCCATTCCAAATAGTACTGAGGCTAGTTTTTAAAAAGTAAAGTGAGGTCTTCAACCGTTATTTGTTTTCTATCTTTAGTAGAACCGGTCGATCCCAACATAGAATCGGCAATCAGTTTCTTTCTCTCTTGGACTAGTAGTAGATTTTCTTCAATGGTCTGAGCTATGATAAGTCTTTTTACTATCACAGTTCTAGTCTGTCCAATCCTATGGACTCTATCAATAGCTTGTTCTTCAACCTAATTGTATATATCAAATATATATTGTTACAATATCTTCATGCTCTAACTTACTGCAGGATTCCACCAGGGATCTATAAGAAATACCTGACTTGCGGCGGTAAGATTCAAACCAACACCACCAGCTTTCAGAGAAACAAGCAAAATATTCGCACACTTTATGGCGTCTGAGGGCTCCGATCGAAAGCTAGCTAAAACCTTTGACCTTTCCTGGGAACTTAACTTTCCATCCAGTCGCATATAAAGCAGACCATTATCTCGTAATGCTGCTTCTACGATATCCAAACATCTTGTCCATTGAGAAAATACAACTGTTTTTCCAACAGTTGTGAGTCCTTCATAGTAACCAAGTCCTATTCGACAACGTTCAATCGCTTTCAATTCCTTCACTAAAGCCACCAATTTGGAGCTTCTTTGCCAGGCACAAAGATCTTGGTGAACATCTGTGGATGAACTGTTCTTCATTGGCAAAGGAATAATAACATTTTTTGTCACGGGAACACGACACAAAGGACAAGGAATAGTATTTCTTCGTTGCAACATCTGAACTTTTGTGAGCGCATTTGAGACTACAAAAGAAATAAACTTACTGCAAGAACACATTCCTTGCAAGTTACATGACCACAAGAACAAAACATCACACCGTCATCAACCATATCCAAACAAATAGGACACTCTAAATTATCTCCCTTTGAGAATGTTTCTTTGAGACGTTCAACAACTGTAGAAAGATATTCTGAGCTTTGAGATGAATTTGCATTGTCTGAATGAAAGAAAATGCGCTGTATCGTATCTGCAAATTTATCTGCACTGCTCAAGTCCACTAAACGTACAGTCGAGGAGTTTAATACAAGATCTGGATGATCACAACACTGTCTCAATCGTAATACAAGTTCGAGTACTGTTGCAAAATTTGCCAAAAGGCGATTCTCTATAATATTCGAAATAAACTCAGTTTCAATAACTATAAAGTTTCTTACCTGATACAAGCATCTCAAAGGTTGACTTGGAATGTGCATAAAGAGATAAATATATATTCCTCTCTTCCTCAAAAGGCTCTAGTCGCATAATTTCCACTCTGCGTTCGGGAAGTGACACTATAGGCATTCCATCCTCTCCAGGTGTTCTTTTCGTTCGCCGAAGAAGAAAAGACTAATAAAAAAATTTTCAATCCTTTGAAAATAAAAATAAAAACAACCCACATGAATAAGAGAATGAATGGCATATTCTGCCCTTTTACGTTCCAAACTGTTTGGTTTGTAAGAATGTGGCTTCAAAATATGTCGAACCCAGAACTTGTATTCTGCATAAGGATATACCTACGAAATTTAAGAATGTTGAATGAAATCTTATTCTTAATACCTTTAAGAAATGAACAAATGAAAAAAAGTCATCCAACGAATTTTGAATAGGAGTTCCTGTCAGAAGCCAACGACGTTCTGAATTCAAAGCAAAACAAGCTTTAGCTGTTTGAGTATTTCGATCTTTGATAATATGCGCTTCGTCAAGAATGACTCGATACCATTCACAGCTAGTAAAAACATTCTTAGCAAGAAGAAATTAGACTTTAGCCATCTTACGTATACAGAGGACTTGTGAATCTCTTTTTCTCTCTAAATTCAGCACAAAGAGTCCCGTATGTTGTTAGTACGATGTCATACTTTACAATATTGCACTGAAATTGGCTTTTTGTAGATCCATAAAAGGTTAAAATTTCAAAAGTGTTCTCTTCCATGTGAGTATATAGTTCCTCCAACCACTGATTCAAAAGACTCAATGGCACTACAATCAGTGTTCCATTTATTCCTTGCCTAAGTATCGTTAGTATTCATAAAACAGACGGAATATGATACCTTCTCCGTTCCTCATCGATAGGTGAACTTTCAGCGATCAAAGCTAAAGATTCCACAGTTTTTCCTAAACCCATTTCATCAGCAAGAATGCCACCACGAACTATGGAATCGGAAGTTGGTTTGGTAAGAGAAACACGTGAAAGCGTTCTATTCATAAAGAAACTAAAACCTTCTCCAGTTTCAACTTGTTCCCACATAGGGTCCGAAAAAGCTTGCTGTGAATCTGAACTCTCTCTATTCATCATCCACTTCTAATATGCGATATTACTAATTCTAACTACATATCAACTAAAAGCAACTCACCACAGCAAATTCCTGATACGGTCGTAACTGAGTTATCCATCCTTTCCTATGACGAGAAGATGACGTGAGGGTCTCAAGTTTGGGGTGATTGGAAACATTCAAACCAAGAGACCCTTCCAATGAGTAAAGTCTTAATGTAAACAATAGCTCAATAAGACATTGGTGTAAATCTGCACTCTCTTTTGTTTGATGGTCTTCAAAAGCCGCCCGATGGACATATATAGAAGTCCGTATCATCAGATGTTCATTTCGTCTTAAAGAAGTTGGCAAGCTTAAAACGCGTCCACAAACACGAATAAACCCTGCAGCAAGTAAAGGAGCCAAATAACTAGAAATCTCGCCCAAGACGCGTCCAATTTCCAAATCTCTAAAATAAATACGTACAATAGCTCTTCCTTTATCGTGGAGATGAAGTAATTTTCCATTACCCGTTGAGAAGCTTCCAAGTACAGGTAACTTTGCTCCAAAGCTAACGAAACTACCAATAGAAAGCGTGGTATTGCAATTTATGGTAAGAAACCCGTTTATAGTTAATTCTCCCAACCTCTTTGGCCAAGCGTCAACAATAACGACTTCGTCATCTGAACTATCACTATCTGATACCAAAAACTCACGGTTGGAATTCTCTGGGTAAGAGTTGAGGTTTTGGGAATATTCAAAGTCTAAAGAAGACTTCATGCCAACTTCTTTCAAGGAATCGACTTGGGTAGACGTGGCAACTTCAACTTGATTATCCAACAGCAAATTTATGGCAACATTTTCGTCCAAATTAGCTCTTAAAAGAGCTTCTTGTATTATAGACCTTGTAAAAGTACACCCAAGCACGCGTGACATTCTCTCTACTGCTGCAAACATGATAGGTTCTAACGACCAACCAACCACCCGGCAATGCCCTATTTGAATAGGATGAATAGGATTGATTTCTTGTTGTATTTCTTCAACGGAAGAAAGCTTCGACTATACATTTCATGAACATAAGCTCAAGTGATTACAACTCTCCACTAGAAATTGAATTGTTTGTCAATAGATACTTTTATGTAAGAGAAGCAGTCATTCAAATACAAAACCAAATCAATCATTGCTTGTTTTGAATTTTTTCATTCAGTCTTAGTATTCTGATTCATTGGGAAATAATTGTCAAAAGACTAGGGTTTTCACTTGTTGTTATCCACTCTTTGGCATCTCATAGTGTATTGCAAACTGTGAAGATTGACTTTACAGTATTTGTAACGAGTGAAATTCGGAGAAATTTTTTGAATAGTTACTGAGAACAATGAACAAAAATTTTCCTAAACAATCAATTGATTTATGAATGTAGCTCGGAAGCTGCTTTGCGAAAACTTTTGACTTTAACTCGTCGCTTGAACAAGTTTCTCTCGAAGTGCCACTGATACATACTCGTGTTGCTCCTGTTTACTTGATAGTAACTGCTGTAGTTTCTCAACTTCCTTTTTTACCGATGACAATCGCCTTTTGAGGTAATCTTCCGCCTTTTCCAGTGAGCTTTTGACATAATAGCCTGTTCCAACGTCAACAAGAACGTTCTTTGTATCCTTCAAACTTCCGGGGACATAAAGGGAACTGGTAAGTGGGACCATCACTTGAGAACCTTCAGATTTGTAAGAAAGAGAGTCTAAACATTGCAGACTGCGTTGTAAACGGCTAACTGCCACGTTGAGAGTGCGTAGACTATTCCTCAAATGTTCCAGTTCTTGTTCCATTCTATCATACAAAATCTGAAGTTGCTCCTTTGTCAGTTCAGAGATAGGAATTTGTCTCTAAATACTATGATAAAACAAATAACCGCTATCGCATTACCTCACTTACCTCCATATCCACCAATGACGACAAGACGAAATTTCGTTTCCATTTGAAGAAGAGTAGTTTACCCTTCAAACGATAGGAAACAATATCTATTGATTGAAAAGACTGATAAGAATAACAAACAGAGAACAAAGGGATTTGTTAGAACTTTCTAAGAAACCATTTTGAAATACTGAACACTGGCGTTTAAAATTTTTATACAAGAAGATGAGAGGTACTGCAAGATTTTTTTGAGAGAGGAGAACGATATTCGGTTGGTCTACTAAACGAAACAATATTTCTGTCAAAAAATAAAGCAAAAATGTTAAACACTTACTTCTAAAACGATCATCTTTTTGTTTCTTTTCTTTCATGCGAGTCAAATGCATCAACTATAATTGACCTTTATTCTCTTCAATAATTCTGTCATGTTTTGTAGGTCAACGCTTATGGCTAGACGCAGTTTTGCGACGTGGATGAAACCAAAGTTGAGAAAGAAAATTTTCGCAAAGCCAGAGAAGCCTCCAGTAGAAGAAACTCTTAGTATTTCTAGTGTTGATACAGAAAATGAGGCCAAACCCGACTCGTTTCTTTCCTTGTTTAAGAAGAGTGCCTTTTGCAAGCCTATCCACGAAGGCGCTGTAATAAAGGGTAATATTGTTGGTTCCAACTATGACTTGTTGGGACCGGATCGAGTGAGAACCGTAGACTTTGGTTTAAAGGGTGAAACTCCTTTGACTATCGAAGAGATTCCCGGAAACTCCCTCGTTGGAAGCACCATCTATGTGCCTCTTATCAGGATGGAGAATGAATTTGCTGAACCGGAAGTAGACTATTCAGGTCTGGTTACTTTTCCAAAATCCTTGGCAGACCGCTGCCAGTTGCTCTTATATCCTGGTTCAGACTCCGATTCCAAGAAATCTTTGCGTCTTGCGTTTGGTAGAGTTTCAAAGATATCCTCGGGTAGTATTTCAGTGAGAGTTCTCGGTTTTGACTTCAATGTGTCACAGGCCCATTTTATTTCATTTGAAAAACCTTCAGTAGGTTCTCAGATCCCCTTAATGATATACAACTTGTCGGCTCGAACTTTATTTTCGAATACAAGTAATGTGAATGACTTGAATCTATTGCCAGAAGATATTCATTTGGAATTGACTGGTCGAGCATCACCATATGCTGCACATGTTCTTCTTTTATCTTATCTTGCATATCCTGGAGCATTTAGTCACTTTTCAAAGGAAGGATTTCAGATATCTCCCAAGGAAAGGTTTGTTTATCTAAGACAGCTATCAAGAATATTAGAAGGATCATCTTCTCCTTTGAATCGTTCTTCAAGAAGCCCAAGAGGTTCAACATTCTTTTGAAGAGTTTCTGGATAAGAAATGAGTTGACGCTCGATCCACTTCTTAAACCCCTTTCTTTTAGTTGTGATAATAATAATAATAACAATGAATAATCAAAGTATCTTTTCGAGGCTGTTCTCTTTTATATTCGCTCAATGGTGAAACTTTTCTTGTAGTTGTGACAATTTTTTCTGGTAGAATATGTAATGAGAGCAGACTATATCAAGTTACTTGCAGAGGTGCTTCAAATAAAGGGTACGTAGTAGCAACTTGGTTACTTATCGTGCATTGAGTTGTTAAGCAAGAGAGAATCTTGCCAAAGGAAATAAAACAATATTGGACAATTCAACCGGATAAACTACGCAACTTTATGTAAAGGCAAAGTTCAAAAAACGTCACAAACACAGGAACTTAAACGACAGTTTGGCTCCTTTTCGGTAATATATGATCATAAAGACGAGTGTATAAAAGTTACTTACTGCAAAGCTTCCTGTTCTCTGGCGATAAGCTGGTGAAATTTGTCCGACTTTGCAACCCAAATCTGAATGCGAGCCTTTGGAATAGCCCAACGACGTTCACCAGGTCTCTCCTCCAACGAGGTACGTATTTCTATTCACAGTTATTCACTTTCACTGCTCAATGCGGGTGGTGTACTAAGACCTACTTTTGATAACCACGTATTCTCTGTTTTTCAGAATTTCTGCGACTGTTACGGCGGGGGTGACAGCTGTTTGCGCGAAGTTAATACATATCTGTAAGACGTCAACCTTACTCACCCAAACCCAAACCACTCAACTCCACTTCATCTTCAGCTTGTAAAAATTTCTTCGTAAGGTTTACAAAGAAGCTGACAGATTTGGCTTCCCTTGACACTTGAATTCTATTTTTGGGCCTGTTTTCAGTGTCAAGTGTTGCAGGAATACCGTTATCTGTAGGTCTACGCATGTTCAATTTTCCGTCGTTCGATATAAGAAAATCCACTTAATGGCCGTTGGATGACGTAAAATTTCTCAAGTCTTCCAAACCATTGTCATATGTTGATGATGTACAAACTCGAGAGTCAAAAGTTTGTTTTAAAAGAAGAATGGATTCTTTGAAGAGTGTTTAATAAGTAACAAATATCAGGAACAAAAACTATTTCTTTCCCTTCAAATGATAGTCATTAATAAGGGTTTGTCATATCAAACGGAATCGAATAGAAACCCTAAAATCCCATTTCCCTTTTTGTATCATCATGTCCTGCTATCATCATTATTGGAGTTCAATACACTTGCATCGTCACTTGCCTGCGACTTGCTTTGTTGACTCTTGGAGTTTCTCCCACAAGAAAACCAAAGAAAGTATATTCAGAAGGAAGCAAAAGTTTCTTGGGGTAGGATTTTATAACTTGTTCTATTCTAGAGTATGTCACTGGAAAAATGGTCTCGTTCACACTGGAAGGAAAGAGAATAACTTCCCGGGGATTCTTTACAACAACTCGCAACACTATCGTAAAACAAATATGATGACTGAAACTTTCATTCAATGTCCCGAATGTGGAACTATATATTCTGTTCAAGTCGAAGAACTGGAGTCACAAAGGGCGGTCAGATGTGGAGATTGTTTGCATGAATGGCTAGCGACAGAAGACGATTTACTGGAAATAGATCCTGTTTACGTAAACTCTCTTCTCCTTGAACGTGAAGAACAAATCAAGGAAAACGGTTCTTTTGGGAAGTGGCAAGTTGAGAAGGACTCGAAAGTTTTGAGCTCGCTTCAAGACGCGGATAGTACAGAAGCTTTACAAGGCGAAGACTTGAAAAAAAAAGCAGCACAAAGCCGAAAAAGAGAAGGAGAAAAAGTTCTTTTTGTGGGTAACTTGAGTTACAAGGCTTCGGAGAAAGATCTATTCAGGGTTTTCTCATCCTGTGGCCAGGTTTTTGACGTACGCATTCCCCGAAACCATTCAAAAGTCCATCGAGGTTTTGCGTTTATTAGAATGAATCTCACAGGAGCCTCGACAGCCTTACAAAGTCTTCAAGGTGCCAACATCGTTGGTCGTCCGATAGTTCTTAGTGAGAGCATTACACAAGAGAAAACAAGTCAACAAGAAGAAGAAAATGAGGAAAGCAACCATGAAAGGACTGAAACCAGTCTAGACGACGAAGTTCTAGAGGAAGACTGGGACACGGACTTTGGACCTGATGAACAACTATTAGGACAAGAAGCATACTCCAATGGGTTGAGGTTTTATCTCAGAGGAAGCACTCCAAGGAAAAGTCCAAACGGAAAAAATTAAGTATTTTATGTCTATGTTGTACGAAGGCGCCAATTGGCAGTCCCACCAAAGTCTGCAGAAGTTTTCAACTGAATGACTCTACTGTCCTCCAAGAGTGCTCCTGTTCGATAAAACTAATAACACAGAATATCAACAGAAAATTATCCACGAACGGAACTAGAGTTTGCCTGACTTTGGGTTTCAACTTTTTTCTTCTTTCTCAACTTTGCCGTATCTGTGGGATCAATAAATAGAGTGACTTTTTTCTTTGGATCTAGAGATAACCACGCCATCTTTGAAGTAATGGTGGAGCCGTCGGGAAACACTATTTTTACCAAGTTGCAAGCGGGCAAAAAACCTCGCCAGACCCTTTTCATTTCGTCGTCACAACGGAAATTACAAAAAGTTGACTTTGGCTATGTGGAGTGGTCGATTTACAGCAGAGCCACATGAGTTGGTAGGTAGAAACTTCCTTATGAAGATTTAATAAACTGTTTTTTTAGCTTACAAAATTTTCAGAGTCAGTATCATTCGACTGGAGACTTTATCGTCATGACATAGCTGCTAGCATAGCACACGCCAGGATGTTGGGAAAGCAAGGGATCGTTCCCAAAGAAGAAGTTGAACAGATAGAGGAAGGACTGGAGAATATTAGAAAACGCATAGATGAAGGAAGCTTTGAGTTCTCAACAAAATTAGAAGATATCCATATGAACATTGAGAAGGCTCTTACTGATTTGATCGGAGAAGCTGGTGCTCGGTTACATTCTGGAAGAAGTCGAAATGACCAAATTGCTACCGACATTCGTTTATTCGTAAGAGAGGAGATTGACCAAATAAGTTTGTTGGTGGAAGGGGTACAGAAAGAACTGGTAAAGCTTTCTGCCGAACATACGGAAACTATATTTCCAGGATATACTCACTTGCAACATGCCCAACCTGTCATTTTTGCTCATCATCTTTTGGCGTATGTTGAAATGTTTGAAAGAGACAAAGAGAGACTTTCCGATTGTAAGAAGAGACTCAATATTTTGCCGCTTGGTTCGGCTGCCCTCGCTGGAACTACTTTGCCTTTAGACAGAGAATATGTTGCCAAGATTTTGGGCTTTGATGATATTTCTAGAAACAGTATGGACGCCGTGAGTGACAGAGACTTTATATTGGAGTTTTTGTCGTGCATCGGTATCATGTCTATGCACATTTCGAGATTCTCAGAGGATGTTATATTTTGGTTCTCACAGGAAGTGTCATTTATTGAAATTGGTTAGTTGAAGTATCTTCAATACTCATGCAAAGATGAATATATATATATGTAAATTAACTTGAACAATAATTTTAGGAGACCAGTTTTGTACAGGCAGTAGTCTAATGCCTCAAAAGAAGAACCCTGACATCTTGGAATTGGCAAGAGGAAGATCTGGACAGATAATCGGAAGTCTAGTCTCACTTTTAGTCGTCATGAAAGGACTTCCTCTGTGTTATAATCGCGATATTCAAGAAGATAAGATACCTTTGATGAATTCTATCGACGTTATAAAGGGAGTATTAGCAGTTGTGGCTCCAATGATTTCTTCCATCACTGCTAACCAATCCAAGTAAGTTTAGGTCTTATATTTAGGAAATTACTAATTTTGCTGTGAAAGGATGCTTGCTGCAGCCAGTGATCCTGCATTAATGGCAACCGATTTGGCTGAGTGGCTTGTGAGAAGGAATGTTCCATTTCGTCTTGCACATCATCGGGTTGGAAAATTGGTTGGTTATTGTAGGGAACGCAACATTCCGTTGAACCAATGTTCTTTCGAAGAACTAAAGTCATGTATTCCTGAGGCAGATGTGAGCTGCACATTTTTTTGTCATTCCGCAATTGACAATATTTTTTTAGGAGACTTGTTTGGAACTTTGGGATCCGAAGAAAAGTGTTTCATCCAGGGATATCTTTGGTGGAACTGCGCCCAATCGCATACGGCAACAGTTAGAATTTTGGAATTCAAAGGAGTTCATGAGGGAACATTGAACACTTCGTATGGTCATAAACAGACAAGCCATTCTCTACAAAATTTACAAGTCAAATAAGCTAGTCAAATAAGTATACGTGTCATACGCTTCTTCCAAGACAAAGTCCACCAATTCAGGGTCTATCTCTTTCCAACTGTCTGTCATCTTAATAGAGTTGAAGTTACGAAGAATATGACTTGCCAGATAAGTCTTGAGGTTCTTACACGCATAGTGATGAGCAATAGCCAGTACATAAGCCACGTCATTAGGAGCTGCCAAAGCACGCTTCCTTAGCTGTTCTTCACAAAGATAACTAAAGCCTTCTGGTATATCATAAAAACGCGAACATTCCAAAGCTTGAATACAGTTGTTGTTATCAATGTATGCCTAGGAAGCAAAAAGGCAGTAGAAAGCCATAAATCAATCTATTGAAATACTACCTTATCCGTGTAAATATATCGCAAACATTCCCTAAAAACACTCCACGGAAACTCTGTGGGAATATGGACGGTCGTGTTTTTCGAATCTTTCATCTGAGACTGAAAAAGTGCACGGAAATGTCCACTCCTAGCAGATAAGACAAACTTATGTGATGGTATTTCAATTGTTTCGTTGCAGCTATTTGAATCATCTAGAACCAGCAATGAGATGTCGCTACGTTCAGAAGACATGAACAAACTTTCAACATCTTGGAAGCCTAAAGCAGATTCAAAACTTGAAATTGGTTGCTGCAACTGAAATCTTGAGGACATTCTCTTTCGATATCGCTCTCGAAGGATGTCGTATTTGGAAGGAATCACTAGATTTCCAAAGCGAACATCTGCTACCGCTTCTTTACTATATTGGACAGAATCTGTTGAGCTCTCCTTCCTCTTTATTACATAAAGCTTATCTCCGATGGGACAGATCATTAGGCCTCCTGGCTGCAACAACTTTACAATATCATTTAAATAGGCTACTGGACACGTCGCACCACAATATACTCGATTATATGCGTTAGTGTGGATTTCTTCCTCAAGAAAGAACACATTCGACACTATGATTTCTATTTCTGCCGCGTTCTGTGCAAACTCAGGACGGGAAAACCTTGCAAGCTCAACATTCTTTCTGCAATGTTCTGCAATCTCGCGAGATAGCTCAATACCACGTACAAGACCAGAACCACCAGCCATAAAAGCCAACTAAGATTCCTAGGATTCAGCATTACTTTTCTATCAAAAGGCAATTCTTACCAAACAAGTTAGATGACCAGAACCACAACCAATATCCAATATTCTATCACCTTCTTCAATCTTCAAGTGTTCAAGTGCAACAGCATACATCTATTCAGACTCTGTTAGGACTTTCTCAAAACAACAGTAGAGGTCCTTTACCTCGGGAGCTGAAATATTGAAGCCAAGTTCCTCGACTCGCAGGGGATAATTGTCAAAAGCTTGGCTTTTTTGGTTCTCAGGCACAAACAAATCTCTTGGAAGTACTTGAAAAGCATGTTCTACCTTCTTTGACGATATGCTACCGTTCCTCTTCAAATACTGAACGAGTTCTTCGTTGCTTTGGGGACTTTCACCTCCTAAAAAGGCCCTTAAAACATTCGGGTTATTATTAGTCACTAATGTTAGCAAATGCCTCAAGGAAATTCTCTCCGGAAACTCAGAGGGTGCATCATCACTTCCTTCACTCTCAGGTGAATGTTGACCCGCGACACTTTCCCCTACAGAACGTTGCGAAAAACTTGCCTCTGAGTTTGTAGCAGATTGCTCTGATCCTTGAAACCTATCTTCGCCCTCACCACTATACTGGTGGTCCATAATAAAGTGTCCACCTCAACAGTCTCTCTTGTGTAAAAATGAACAATTTAGACAATATGACGAATTGTCACTGTTGAAGCGTTTTATGGAGTCCTCCCGAGTCTTGGAAACTTTGAATGGATTCCGTAAACAAGCTGTTACGGAAGAAGACTTTTTGAGTTGTACAAAACATTTTTTGAAGATCTTGGAAGATCCAAAGACAGAAACTTGGCCTGAAGAATCGTCTGTTGTAGTTGTTGAAGCTCTTAAAGTGTGTATAAATAACGACATCTCTGCAGGCGTAGCTGAAGTATTTGCTCTCGAATTGCTGGGACCTTGTTTAAGAATTTTAGCAACACAGCCAAGAACCAGCAAATTGTCTGAGAAGGTGTTTTCTCTCTGTCGTTGTTGCGTCTCACGTGGCAAGCCCAAAGAACTTTTCATAGTTGTTCTTGACGAAGTTGTGAACCTCCAAAATATTGCTAAAAACTTTTTTTCGAGAGTCTTTCCAATTTTTTTACTAGTCTGTATTGACTTTCTACGAGAGTGTCAAGCTATATTTCCTTCGGATATTGAAAGCATCTTGAAGGTGATTGATATTGCATGGAACAATAAGCTTTCCAATGACATTGGTTCAGATCCCCATTTGTTGTATGAAGAAGAAAGAGATTGTAGTCATTTTTTAGAGAATAGCTTTATGAATGTATGCATGTTGTCTTTTTCTGTTCTTAATCTCCTGAAAGATTCCGTCATGAAACCCAAACTCGATAGATTTCGTGTCAGCACAACAGTTAGATGTCAGCTAGTACTTGTTATATTGGATCTCATCAAGTGGGTATCGATTTTCTTCACAGACGTATCAATATTTGGCACTGCAGGGAAAGAGGTAACCATCCCAAGTCAGTTCTAAGCAGGTTGTATTGAACGTCATTGTTTTTAGAACCTTAATCAACAAGAATTATGGAAATATAGTATTTCTCTTGTAACTTTGTTACGAGAATTATCCATTTGTCGTCGTACTCAGATCCTGAGCTTATGCATGCTCCCGGAAGAGACAATCTTTCAAGAAATCTTCAAGCTTCAGTCTAGTTTGGTTTCCACAGGATATATAGCAGAAATGGTTGAAGAATTCAAAGAGAAGCCATGTTCATTTCTTTCCGCAGGTTGTTATTTATTCTTGTCGTTAAAGTCTTCGCCTTTTGAAGACGATTGTTTTCTTGATTCCAAATGCAAGCTAGACTTGTATTTGGCACCTATTGCAGCTTTGTTCGAGTCGAAGTGGTCCGCTCACAAAGTCATGGCCCTATGGCTCTGTAAAGAAACAGTTTCAAACACTGTGATTGGTTTCAGAGGAAATCAAGTGCTACGACTTTTGCAAAAAGCCAAGTATCGTTGTCATCTCAGGTAAGAGAGTAGTTATTTGACTTGGCAGCTTTTATTTAACAGATTTCTTAGTGAGAATATTTCAGTGCACGATTCCTCACTTTTGATGATATTTACTCTTCTTTTGCAGTATCTCGACAAAACAGCTTATCATAACAGAGCTTCATATGAAGTCATAAATACCTGTATTCATTGTTTGCCAGACCCTTTTATAAAGTGGCAAGTTGTGTATTTTTGTCTCATGATGTCGACCACGGTAGGCATAAAAGCACAATTGCTTCATGAAATGAAAGAGGCGATGTTGAAAATGGAAGATGATATTGATGCAACGAGAGCCCTTGTAGCGTCTTCGACTTGTTTCGAGGCTACAGAGAATCAGTACAGGTTGTGGAGCTGGCTGTCAGATTTCTTGTTTGCCAATTTCCTCGCTCCCCGTATGAGTTTTTTGGAAGATTTGCCTTTAGTTTCCAGTGCCATTCATATCTTGGCATTTATCATCTGGAGACTAAAACGACAGGAAAATGTCGCAAAGTGCAAAGAGAATTTGGAATGTAGAGCAAAAGGTGTAAGAATCTTACTCAGTAGGATAGTAGATGAACTTTATGCTCCTAGTAGGAGTCCTAGGCCTGACCTTTCCTTTAACATACCTGAAGAGATGAGGAACCGAATTTGTAATGAAAGTTTGCTTTGTCTCTCCTTGCTCGATCAAGTGTTACTCAGTTAAAGTTTTATAAAGATTTGAAGGAAGAATGTGGGAAACATGATGTCCTGAACTGATTTTTAGCACCTGCAATGTAGGATATTGATTTTTCAATGATGTTTCCTATTCCTTGTAGATCTTCCTGAGTAATACTCAGATTTGCTCTATCACGATAGAAAACTTTCCTTTTCTCATCTAGTACTTTGCATGCTTCAGGATTCATACAAGGAGACTCAGGAAATGGGGTGACATTACGTAGTTGCCATGAGAAATATTTGAGTCCAGAATTGCCTCCTTCACGATACATGTCGTGAGTAAACCGCGGTGGAAAGATTTCTATCAAAACTGCACATGGAGCCATAAAAATGCAATTAGTTAAATGTGCTCCATGTAAACTGATAACAATGGAAGTGGAAGAAAATAATTGTAAATTTTCTTTAACTAAAAGTTGATCTGGCGTAATCGAATAATAAGAATATCCATGTTGCCTTGTCAAGTCCTCAAAAAAATGATTGAGAGTAACTTCACTTGAGTAAGAAAACGACCGACGCCTCCCTTCCCGTTTGATATAAATAAGACTGCGTTGCAATTCACTTGGAGGTTTCATGTGCAGATATTCGTACCATTTTATTCTAAAGTTTATAGCATCTGATGCAGAATAAGTATTCAATGGACACAGCATTGCTACTTACCTTTTGGAACTGCTGGAATAGTTGTTTTTCCAGCACTCGATTTGTCCATAGAAGTTGTTTGTACTGTAGGAGATGAAAAAAACTTGCCTTTAAGTAGTCCCAGAAGGAAAACTTTTTCAAAGCAGATGGTTTTATCCGCCTTTCGGAAACAGTCTGAAGAGTCTTCTACGTAGAATTCTCTTTTTTCGTTATCAATTTGATGCAACTCGGAAGAAACTGTGTATTTAGATGGATAGTCAAACAAATCCTCCGGGAAATCTCTACCGTAAAGAACACTTCCAATTAAATGTTTTTGCCATTTTCGATGATTTTGATAAGATTTGGTTAATAGATTTCGAACTAGCTCTGATTCTCGAATGAAAATGGATGTAAACGAGTTCGTTGGACAGTAAACGTCGGTATTTTCCAGAAAATGAAAGTAAAGCATCAGACGACCTGTGAAATGAGCGATATTTGTACAACTCCTATCAAACACTTGAAAAACTGTAGGTCTCTTAAACCAAGTTACTGCGCCATTAAAGGACTCCTGTTCTAGCCATTGTTTGGAATAGAAGGAAACATTGGGCAGCTTAGACTCTCGCAACAATGTTTCTAAAGAAGCTTTTTTGCCTACCGTCTGTGTTTGCGAAGAGTGTCTTACGTTGATTGGGGAGTCTCCAACGAGGATCCAGTTACCTTTGTGATAGCATAAAGGTTCCACTGCGGCTAGGCTACCTTTGGAAGAGGGAAGTACGAAAATTTCTACTCTAGGATCTCTTTTGAAGGGTTGATATGTTGAAATCTCAAACTCGGAAGAATGTTCTAGGATATCAGGAGCTCTTTGTGCACTCCAAGAACTCCCTCTTTTTAGAAGCCGTTGAGTAGATTTGGAGTAGTCACTCTCACTTCTCTTATGTGTCACTAGTGGGGGACAAATAAAGGACGCCGTTATTGAGAATAATGAAATGAGAATAATGTAGAATTTGTATTTACGAACCAACACACTTCGAGCTGCAAAGCCTTTCCAATTGACCATTCTAAAGAGAATGTCCCATCAAAAGACGCGGGTTTTTTTAATTTGGAATTTTTTGTTTTATTAAAAAAGAAAACTCGTCGATTGTTTCTTACATTTGGAACATACCTACGAATTCTAACAAAAAATGGGAAGGATTTTTGAAGATATTTAAAGTAACTGTATTCACTTTACTATTTTCTCATTCTCTGTCGTAATGAGTGTTGAAACACAAAATTTGGTTATCATCAAGTTGCTCTGCGATCTTATTTTGTAAATTGTGACTCGGAGTTTCTCATGTGATTGCATCTCTTTTCAGAAATGCCGCATTTTGTTCCAAAGTTTTCCTATAGCCTTCTATTAACACATGGAAATCAACCAGGCACACAATTTTAACAAACTGCCTCAACAAAGACTTGTTAAGAAATAAAATTACATCGATCAATGGTCAACTACGAGTGTCTCGATTGTCATACCACAAAAAAAAGTTGCAACGACCCTCTACTCCTTTACCTATCGGCCTTCCACAAACATAAAACTTTCTTCCGAGATTGGCACCCTTCTTCTTAACAGTTCTCAGTAAACATGGTTCGTTATGCCCGGAACAAAGAGGAACTTTTTGAAGATTGTGAAAAAGTTTTCTCCAATCTTCCTTTGCTTTCTGATACTTGGTGACATGAAAGCAATTTTCTGAGCCACTCACGGTGGAAGAATACTCTCTATTTGAAAACGTATCCATCTCGATAGATGTTGACTTTTCAAAATTCCTCTTTGTTGGTAGTCGGATTGTATCATCATACTTGCCCTCTTGGGAATGTCCCTCTTCTGATGTTGATGTGTCACTTTTCATGGTAATACAAGTTCTATTGAAAGCTGTGGCTTCCACAAAGTGAGGTCGCATCTCCACTATTTTGTTAGACTTATCATGTATAGATATTTTCATCATATCCTTCAAACTTTGCTGAGATCCAAGTAGATCAGGAAAGTGTTGACAACAAAATGGTGGTAAACGCTCAACATGTAAAGACTCGGCTGATAAAGAAACTATACTACGAAATTCAATATAAACAGGACAATGATCGCTACCATAAATATCATTAAAAATGTCACAATTGGTGATGAAGTTCTCAACAAAAGCTCTATTGGCCAATATGTAGTCGATTCTCGTTCCAAAATTTGTCTTTCTTGCACCCGTCTGATTGTTCCAACAAGTATATGCATCCAACCTTTCTGGATGGAAGTAGCGAAAAACATCCACCAAAGGACCCTCAGAACTACAAATCACATTGAAAAGTTGTCGACAAGAATCCGATTCAAATAAACTGCCTCGTGGCTTATTCTGGAAGATCCCTTCCGGATCACAGTGATCAATCCTTTCACGTGCACAGTTAAAGTCGCCACAGACAACAACGTTCTTTCCACCTTCAAGCACCATTTTGATTCTTTTCAATAACCTTTCAATAAAAATATACTTATATTCAAAGGTTTCATCGCTACTATCAAAAGGTACGTAAACATTAAAGAGAATAAAGAATGGAAATTCGACTATTACACAGCGGCCTTCCTTGTCTAGTTTCGTTAACAGTTCACTGTTCTCTGTGGTCTCAAAATGGTAACCCACAGAGTATGCGGTTTCTCTCCAAATAGGAATTTCTCTCTGATTACAAAACCAAGAACGACTTGGATTCCAAGCGAGGCATTCTGCAGGGAGAAAGCCACTGATTCCTTCCTCCGCCTTGAGGAGTGGACAATGGGATTGACAAAAGGTAGAAACACCAGAATAACCTTCGTTTGTCTTACAAATTGAAAGAAAGCAGTTCCAATCTCTAGTAGATATACTCCACTGTGCCAATTTTCTCCTAGAAATTTTAGTTTCTTGAAGACAAAGGATATCTAACCACTTCAATATCACTGAAGCTCAATGAAGTTAAGAATTTTACCTGGACTCGTCCGATATACAAAGTCTGCAAAGTAGCCTTTTCTAAATAAGGATTCTAAACCATTTACGTTCCAAGTGCAAAGACGCATAGGAAAGATACATCCAAAAGCACACACTTCAGCTCACAAAATCTTTGGAGCTTTCCAATCGCCCAAAGCCATCTTTTGGCTGCTTTTCTATACAAATGCAGTCCGATATTTGGGATCCTAAAGAAACTCATAATAGGTCAGAGAGTTTTGATCAGAACAAGGATTTTTGCGTAGATGTTCTCTATGGACCTTTGACTAGAGGTATCATTCAACGGATATGTGCTGCAGACACTCCTGAGGTTCCTCGAGAAGCCTCGTCTCAAGACAAGGTGAAAGCTTTCGACAGTTTAGAGCTGTCTGTTTTTTAACAACAAGTTTCTAGATCCGAAGAAAGAGAAAGAATTGTATTCGTTACCGCGATAAACCAGAGCTAAAAAAACGCGCAAGTTGTTCATTAGATACAGGTAGTCAACTACTGATTCTCTAGTTTACTACTCAAAACATGATTCAAGTCACTGAAACAAGAAAAAGTCGCAATTCAAGCTCTACGGGAAAACGTCAGAAGAAGCTTCGGTCGTGGATTCCTATCGAAGCTTTACCAGTGTTGTTGAATTCGGTAATGGAATCTATTCCTCAAGAGGAGAGAGCTGTATATGATCACAACAAAATTCAAGATTTCCTATTGAAAACTGTTTCGGAGTTTGGTCTTGGCAATTCCTCTATTGTTTCCAGTCAGTTATTTGATACTTGTCGTCAATATTTGTTGTCGCATATTTTGGGAAATCCTGCCTTTCACAGTAGTTTCCGACTAGACTTTCGATCACCAGTTTCTATCAGGTCTTACAAGCATTTCTTAATAAACACATCGAATACGAAGGATTTCACAAGTTGGAATATCGAAGGATATCATTGTAACCAGGAAACTGAAGAACGCATTACCGATAGTGCATCTGAACAGGATGTCTTAAATCTTCATCTCGGACCAAGAAGGCTTACCAGAACGTTGTACAACGTCCTAAGAAGTAAAAATGATGGAAGAAATGAACGAGTAAAGGAAACATCCAGAAAAGCCTCTTCATGTAGAAACGAATCGTTCTCTATTGCGAAATTAGATAATGAAGTGGAAGAGAAAGAAGACGAGCAAGATTTAGGCATATCCATTCAAGAGGATAGAGAATCAGCATTTTCATCTTTAGGACAACCGAAAGAATGTCGTCATATATCTCATCCTATTGTGAGATTCCTACCTATCTTGCATAGCTTCTTTCAGTATGATTCTAAAGACCAAAGCCATCATTCTAGTGACAAACAATTTGCCTCTGTTTATAGTAAGGCCTGTTTACTTGAAGTTTTAAACAAACTCCTTGAAAAGGATGCTGTCGTTCCTCGTGAAACTTTAATGAATTTTGACAATAGGAAAAGAATCGAAAGGAATATTCTTGAGCCTCAGTGGAATTTGAAAACCCAAAAGGGTCATTACGAGTCTCAAAAGTCGAACCTAACCTGCCCATATGAACTTGCTCGTAAGGACAGAATCTTACGCAATGAAGAAATTCTTCGTAGAATGACGAGAGATAAGTTGTCTCAGGAAAGCATAAAATGGTCTGAAATACAAGAATATGGTGAATTTTCTGAATATTCTGGAAAAGTTCCTTCTGTTCTTTTAGTAAACGAAGAAATGGAGAAACTACGCAAGTTTTTGCAAGGTTGGGGAATTTTCTGCGAGTTGCCTCTTTGGAACATGTTGACTGCATTCATTCATTTACTTGTGGAAGAACGTGACCAGAAAACATCACATAGTCCAAGTTTTTATGCGACAAGTCGAGACATTCGTCGAATGGAACGAGTTTTGGAATCTTGCTCAGAAAATGGACAGGTCCACGAAGCCGTTCGGAGATACATACGTATTTTACAGTCAACAGAATATAGAGAGAGACGAAATCTATTTACTCTATTCAGAGGTCCGTGGAATGATGAGAACAAAAATGCGATATTCTTTCAAGCGTGGGAGAAGTATGGAAACGGACGAGACGCCAATAAGCTAATTGCGATGGAAATGGGGTCCGACGTACATCCTAATCAAGTTGCCTATATGAAATCTCTTTATCCTGGCTGGCTACTATATAAACAAATGCTCTCTGGGACTTGCGTTGGGACTCAAGGTCAGGAGAACCCCAACTCTTCAGATTACCAACCAATATGTGCATTTTGTTTGGCACCCAACAACGACTTCGAAGATCTTCAAAGTGTTGCCAATTCCGCTTCTAATTCAAGAGAAGAAGACCTGGATTTAGGACCTTTCATAGGACCACTACGTTTCGCTGCCTTCAACTCTGTTATTTCGAGTTCTTGCTCCTCGTTCTCGAGCAACAGCGGCTACTTTGTGCATCGTCTTTGCGCCTTATGGGCTCCAGAAGTATTCGAGGCATATGATGGAACTTTGTTAAATATTGCACAGGCAATACAACGAGCCCGTCAGATCTTTTGTTGTTATTGTCGACGTAAAGGTGCTTCGTTAGGTTGCAAAGAATGCAAACGTTGTTATCATGCTCCCAAATGTGCACTCCTAGCGGGATGCTATTTAGACACAACAACCTTCCAGCTTCTTTGTCCCTTACATGCTCGTGTCGAAGCTGCAGTGGCTAAGAATTCAACCCAACATTTTTCAACATAAATAAATTTTTTATGTTGGCAAATATTGGATCGATGCGCCGTAGATTTTTGTGCTTTGTCGTAATAAAGTTTGTTGGAATACTAGCAACTCTATGAACTTTTTGCCTTTTCATTATGATATCATGTAACGCTATTCTGCGGTTATTGACTCCAATTAAATATAGCTCTTCACTTGAAACAAGTCCTTTATTTAGAATACAAGTGATGAAACTGCGTCCGTACCAGTCTGAAGAGTTCAAAACTGAAGAGTCGCAGTGTGCTGATGTATTCAATCACTTTAGGAACAAGTTCAAGGGCTATGACCTCAAAGAAGAGAGTGGAGTTTTTCGCCTCAGAGGCAAGGATTTGTTGATAACTTTGAATAAAGGTTATTTTTAGAAGCTTAATATGCACAGTTTTATAAGAAACCTCTTAAAGGACTAACATAGTCCATTTCACTGAATGCCTTTGAATGGTGGAGAGTACGAAATATGGTTTATCTACCACTTCAGATCTCGTTCTGTTGAAAGAAGGAGTTTTAGTAATCAGTGGCAGGAGAGCAAAACCTTTGTGGCTTTCTGGCTTACAGTTTCCTTTCCCTGGAAACGGTATTGTTTGTTTTGAAGCCAGAGGAGCATCAGATATTGGAGTATTTTTCTCTTCAACACCAGAGGACGTGCATGAGGATGACCAGGTTTTGACTGTTGAAAGTTCGCAACGTGCTGAATATGAAACTGTAATTGGCAGTTACTGTAATAAAAAAAGTGTCATTCGGAAGCGAGGAGTTGTTAGAGCTCTCAGTAGTATCGGAGTAGGAAGTGGCGTTGAGCAGTCTACAACAACAACAGCTGCTGCTTGGCAAAGTTTCGACAACTCTTGGAACTTTGAAAAATATTGGATATGTATCAAAGACGGTGTAATTGTAGTAGGCAAAGGTTCTGTTGGTTCTTGTGTGTTCCTGAAGTGGGAAGATAGTGAACCAGTACGCAGTTCCTTTCAGATTGGAGTCTCTTCTTGGCATCAGCCTGTAATATTTTGTTTTTTTGAAGTCTTTCCTACTACTGAAGGACTAATACCATCAACTACAAAAGAGAGTTTGTCCTTCATTAGCAACTTTTTCCTAGTTGCAAGAAACTACTTCAATAGATGCTTTCATGATATCTTTTTGGAATCTTCTGATGGTAGTTTGTTTCCTTGTCATGGCTGCGTAGTTGGTCTCTGGAGTAAAAGATTGAGGGAAGCGGTCGATAAAGCTATTCACTCCACTTTAAATTGTAGAAGAGGTAGGATAGTATATCAGACATTTAAAATGAATTCTATTTTGTGGCTTCTTTGAAGGATCTAAGGAGTTGTTTGAATGGCCGATAACACATCAAAGCCAAAAAAGCAGTTGTTGGAATAATGGCTACGGTAAAATTTTCTTAATGAGCACGCCAAGTTGGAACGAGCAAAATATTCAATTGATTGAACGAGTTTCCAAAAATGTTCCAAGAATTCTCATTTGTGCCTCTACACCCGCTACTGCTATGTTTGTTCAGTTGTTGTATGGAATTGGATTGGATAGGAAACAATTCTATAGAATGGAGAGCGATGACATCATTTTAAACTTGTCTGGACGTGATCAACAAACATGGAAAGAATGTAAAGCTCTGATTGAAGAATGGCAAGTTTCTACTTTGGCTCCTATGTTCAAAGATTGGACCTTTTCAGAAGCCGGAAATATTTTCCATTTAGATAGTTTTGATTTCATATCAAATATATCCGAATATTATCCAGAGAGTTTCATGAATGACTTTATTTCTTATTTAAATTACCTCATGGACTCTTCATTTTTATCGGATGTAGAACTGATTTTACCTTTAGAGTAAGTTCAAGATTACCTTTTATCCTTAGATGGATTGACTCATGTGTGTCTGTTTAGAGAGGAACAGACAGTTTCAGTCAGTAATGCCATGTCTACTTATTCAGACCATTTAGAAGGAGATCGTAGTCGTCGGTATGTTTCCTTTCATGTTCATCGACTTGTTTTGGCTTCTAGAAGTAATTATTTTTTAAAAATGTTTTCAAGTGGAATGAGAGAAATGGTACAAGACAAAATTCAAATTTGTAATGTGGATATTCTCTCTTTCCAAAGAATGCTGAATGAAATATATCAGAAACCTGTTTATGGAACGGCTAAACTCGATGAAGATGCAGATTTGTGGTTAGAGTTTGTGAATGACGTTAGAGTTGGTGATATGTTTGATGTTGCCCGTTTTAAAAAGGAAGCGTCCACTTGTCTGAGAAACCTTCTTAATACTTCCAATGTTATACATTTAGCAAATCTATCTCTTGAATGCGAACTCTTTGACTTGTTTCAATGTGCAACAGATTTTATTTGTTCTCATTTTCATGAAGTGTCTCAAGAGACTGAATTTTCTTGCCTTCGTGAAGATTGTTTTCTGCATATTTTGAGTCGCATGGACTTGGAGGTTCAAGATGAAAATGAAGTTGCACTAATAGTTCTCAAATGGCTCGAAGGCAACCATTCTTCTAGTTCAGTTGCGCAAGGTTTGTTCTTCATGGTAAGGCAGAAATTGGTTGAGCCGTCGTTATTAAATAGCATCGGTCAGAAGTATCATCTTCACGAATTTTTTCAATTAGAAGAGACTTCTTCCGGACGAATCCTAGCTTCGGAAGATATAGAATGTCATATTTATGCCAAAAGTGGAGCATCTAGCAATCGAAATGTCGAAAATTTGTCAAATAGCCTATTCACAAATGACAGTGTCGTTTCTGAAGTCTTCGAACAGCCACATTCAATGATTTTTGAATCCTTTCAGTTTGTGAAACTTGAACCTATCAAATGGATCCCGCCACAGTTCACCTTTAAAGTAGACGAAGAAAAGTGGTTATTTCTAAGAAGAGAATGGAATAGAATTTATGGAACCATCCCTCGAATCGCTCCGGGTGAAGTATGGATTCCCTATATACCGAAGTTGCATTCGGTTGGTGTACTTTATTATTTAGGGTGTTTTTATGGTTTGCAACTGGGAGGAACGCGAGTGAATCCTCACAAGTATAACATTGTCAGTATAACTTCTTCATCAGGCAGTCGTTTTGCGAAGCTCGAAAGTCTCGCTGAAAGTTCGGTCAACCGCTCTTGCTTTGCGTTATCAAACTCTAGTTCGTTGGTCTGGTTTGCCCTAGACTTGGGAGCTGAAAGGGTTCTTGCCTGTTCATTCTATACGCTTGCTCATGATGGCTCCGAGTCGAATTTCTTACGAAATTGGTGCCTCGAAGGCAGCAAAGATGGTAAAAGCTGGACTGTATTAAAAGAGCATCAAAATGATGAAACCTTGCAGTCTCCATTGCAAAGAGCAACCTGGAGACTAGAGGAACCCACTTCACAGGTGTTTTACAGATATTTTCGAGTTATTGCGAGGCCTCCTTGTAGAAAGATAAACTTGGGTAGTTTTGAATTTTATGGAAGACTTCGTATGAAAAGTTTGAAATGAGAAGGAGATGCATATTTGTCGTTTGGGTGGAGTTGGAGCAATTCCTTTGTGAAATGGAGCAGCAATGGACGAATGACATGCGTTCGCACTTTATAGAAAACTTTCAACTTGAGTAATTCGTTGTGAAGTTTAATTTATTGTGGAACTCAGTGCCATATCATCGAAAATCATTTGAAAATAGAATAGAATCGTGTTCTGCCTCAGAAAACTATCGAGGTAGTCTTTTACATCGTTGAATATACTTTCTTGAAAGAAGGTTTAATTTCTATGAATATGTTCGTATAAAGATTGGCCATTGTTGCCAGTATTTTAGTGAAACCATACTATCTAGTTTATAAGAAATCTGCTTTACGAGCCTCTAAGACAGGTAAATACTATGACCCACTATCTCAAATATTTGAGCAGGCCACTAAGTCTTTGATACATTCCCTCGTAAGAGAGGAGTAAAGCTCCATCCAGACATTTGTTGTCCCATGGAATAAAAAATGTCAATCTGAACTTTAAAGCAGTGTCTAGTGAAAGCGAATGGTCAAGTAGACGAGTATCCATAAAAGCGGCAACAAAGATAAAATGATCCAAACGTGCCACTTGTTCTTCCTCGTTTGATTTCCAAACTGCTCTGTTAGTCTCAACTGTTTTCCTGTTTGCGACAAATTATTATCAACGACATCAGCTAATTTTTCTAAACGTTCTTGGTCTCGTTTCAACGCTTCATAAACTTCCTCTGAACCACTCTTCAACTTCTCGGTAAGCGAAAGAAGTTCCGCTGTTAAAACTTCATTGCGCTCTTTGATATGATGGGTCACTTCACCTTCACTGGCTTTTACTCCTCGACGTTTCCGAAGCAGTTTTCTATCTTCTATTTCTGCCTTTTTAAGTGCTTGAAGGTTATACTCTTCGGCAGTCTCAGGTAACTGTAAAAAAGACAAATAATTCTTATAAACATCAGATCTTGCTTTTCCAGTGTCTGTATTCACAGGAAAGGATTTCACTACGCTACGAACAACCGTTTCTTCAGCGAGTGGCACAAAAGAAACAGTCCCAAGTAGTGGGGTTTCTTGTAGCATCAGAAAACGTCGCCGTAAAGTGTGAAATTTCTCCAAAGTAACACCTCGCTCTTCAACAGTTCCTAGAGTTGGATCAAGTAAATGTTCTGAAAAATCTCCATCTTCGGAAGACAAACTAGACTCTAGTAACTGCAAGAGACGACACAAAATGACAAATACCACTTTCAGTTGCAAAGAGCCAAGAAGCTTTTTACGTGAGTTTTCCTCTCGATGTATATCTGACGCGAAACTTTCTCCTATATCCAAGAGATTTTCCAAGTAGCATACTTTTTCCACAGTACTCTTGCTTGTAAGGTAGGGTTCAACGCGACTAAGTACCTGAATCATGAATCGGTCGCTTTCACAAGCTTCCATATTTGATGTTTGAAGAAAGGAATATGTTGAAATGATACTCAGGCGATTTGAACTCTTGCGGGATTGTTGAGCTTTCAGCACTTCCTCCTATGACGACTCCCCCTAACCCCAGAAGTATGATGAAAAGTCATTGCATGATATCGATAAGAATGCTTCTTTTCTTTAGAATCGTGACTGTTATTTGATACAGTCTTTTGATCTTGTTAGCACACATACAAGGAAAAAGGCATATTGCGGATTCCGTTATTAGCACTTTCTGGAGGCATAGTAGCATATTGTTTAAGAAGACAGTGATAGTGCGGGAAAGGTAACAGCTCTAAACTCTTGATTTCGTATTCCTTTGCAAGGGCTATTTGCTCTGGTTCATTGATCACTTCTTCTTAGAAATGGGAATAGTCTTCTATTTTTGGAAAATATCCACAAACACAATAGTTTCCTCAAAATTTTTGGCATAGTGGTGAAGCTATAGCGCTTATTTTGTATCAATTCTTTCACGGGTCATTTGGCTCAACTTTATTTGTCTACTCAGAGAATGGTTTTTGCAAAACAGTTAAACAACCAAGGACAGGAGTAACATCAAAACTAGTTACTTCATATCCAAAAACAAGTAAGGAACCAAATTCTCGAGTTCCCAATAGAATCAAGATTCATAAAAATGTGTCTGTTATGGAAAAACCGCTTAGTAACAAGTTTGCATACAACCTCGCTCGCTGTATAAAAATAGAGACATTGATAAAATATTTCGGTGGAAAATTGACTCGCTGAGTTTCATAGAATTTATACAAGATAAAGTTAGCATCTTTCAAAAACTCTATATAGTCTTTCCAGGGATGTTATTTCAATAACATCTCCGTTTGTCGAACAATCCTTGGGAGGGTCGAAGTTATTCCGCAAAGTCTCAAATAGAGCATGTTGTCGTTTTCTGTCGCTAGTCTCTAGAGTAGATAAGTTACGCATGGGTTCTTCAACTGCATCTTCGTTACATTTGGACCAACAAGAAAACAGACAGGAGAGTGAAGTACAAACATCCTCTAGAAAGAATTCCAGGTCATGCCATCTTGTTTCTCCACCAAGACGAAACAAGAACTCGCCAATGAGGTGTTGTTGAAATGAGAATTCTTCGCTTAAACGAGGCATTCTGATCAACGAAAAGTTCGAGAGCTGATTTCCTTCAAAAGTTATGGCAAAGTATTCATGAAGAAGATTGCGGTATTTTGAAAGCACATTACAAACCTCCTTCACTATTTCATAGTGGTGTTCCTGTTGCAGCTCATATTTCTCAATAGGATTGTTTATGTGCCTGAGAACGGATTGAAACACCGATATCTTCGGAATAAAGACAGAATCGAAGCGTTGAATCATTTTCAGGCTCTGACCAAGATATTCAAACATAAATGCTTTGGACTGTGAGTAAGTGAGACTGTAACTAACCTTTTGAAAAAGCATCCGTTTTGATAAATGTGTCAAGTTTAACCAAAACAATTTTGTCTGGTATTGTACTAGGATATGATCTTCGTCAACGCTTCCTATAAAACAAGACTCGTTCAGCATTTTCTTGAGGCCAGCATTACAGTCTTTCTCAAGTAATTCCACGCGTTCTCTTAAAAAGAATACTAAAGATTTTCTGTTCCATTTGTGAAAGACATCCTCGTCAACTGCTAAATCGAGTTCGACATCATTAGAAAAAAAATTATCTGAACTGTTTGACTGTGGAAGAGTAGAGGCATCATTCTGCGTTGGTGACCCTTCCTGAACAACTTTATCTTCACTTGCTAAGTTGGTACCAGAACTAGCTTTCGTAGCCAAAAAAGAGTCAAGACTAGAACTGGACTGGAGGATACTTGTCCGAACCTTTTTATATGGTCGTCTTTCCTTTGAAGGTGTCCCACTCAAACTAGGTTGAACAGCGGCATGCAATTCACTACCAAAATTGGAACCTTCACTTCTACTGCTTTCACCACGCTTTCTTTCGGAGAGACTTTGACAGTCTAAGGTATACTTTTCAAGATGTGACGCAAATGATTCTATGCTTCCACGATAAGACGTGTCCCGCAATGAGACCGTGTAAAAATTTCTTGACGAACTAGTCATTGTCAACTTTGTTTCGATGGAATGCAATAATTTTTCTATAATATATTCTTCGTCTAATATACATATCTGTCGCTTTGCAGGATGAACATTGACATCCAAACGATGCGGGTCGATTGTCACATCAATATAAATAAATGGATGACCACCCTTTGGAAGTAATGAATTATACAAAGAGGATATGGCTTTTTTTAGCGACTGCCATTCTATCAATCTCCCATTAACAAAAAAAAGATATTGTGGTCTTCGCAAAGAGAAATTTGCATTGCTGATGTAACCATGAAATGAAAAACTTGTACAAAGTGGGCCGACTTCGAGTAGCTCTTCTGTCAATTCCTTGCCGTAAACGTTACCAATACTTGCTAGTTCGGAATCGACACTTGGGGTGAAGAAATCGTACTTTGCGTTTTCAAGTCTTCTGCAGCTAAAAGATACAGAAGGATAACGAATACTATATTTCATTAGAAGGTCGATAATAAAACGATACTCTTCCTTCGAGTTACTCAGACTCCTTCTTCGCAAAGGACAGTTATAAAAGAGGTCCTCCACAATAAAAGTGGTGCCTTTGACTCCTGAACACTTTTTGGGATTGGACGCACCAAGTATATCTGACGGAACCAAACGACCATTTTCAAAATATGCTTGGTGTGCAAAGTCACTGTTCTCCTTCATGGTCGTTACTGTGAGGTGGGAGACAAAACTAATACTTGCAAGAGCTTCGCCTCTAAAACCAAACGTACCGATTGACAATAGATCTTCATATTTCGTCATTTTGCTCGTGGCAAACCTTTCACATAAGAGATTCAAGTCATCGGGATGAATTCCTTCGCCGTCATCCTTAAACCTTATCGTCTTTAGACCTCCATCCAGCAAAGAAACTTCAATCCGAGTGGCCTGTGCGTCGATACTATTTTCCAAAAGCTCCTTAACAACTGAAGCAGGCCTCAAAATGACTTCACCGGCTGCAATTCGGTCTGATACGTCCTTATCTAGACGTTTAATGGAACGGTTTGATAATATCTGTTTGGTTGTAACAGTTTGTGTTGAGTCCTCAACACTTGAAAACATTTCAAGCCTTCTCAGGCAGAACCATAGGCAAGTATCCTTTCGTTGCCATTCCACCCACAGAAATTTGGCGCCATTCTCCTTTTCTATCGACTGCTTTCCTAAAGCAACTATATGAAAAGCATCCGTGAAAGAAACGTTCGAGCATGATTCAAAATATGTATGGAAATATTCTACCACATAAGAAAGAGACTGAACATACCAATTTATTGAGTGATACAGCTATCTCATTTTCTGCATATAGTCAAATGGCTTGTCATTCTCGATACTTCAGGAAACTGTGTTAAAGACAAATGATGAGTTTCGAGGGTATTCTCTAGTTAGAGGTAGAAAAATGGAGGCTACATTCGAGAGAAACTGGTTGGAAACTATCAAAAAAGAGAGAGGGATGCATCAATATATCACAACTGTTTGTATAAAGAAAGCAGTAGAATCGAAAGTGTTACTGTCAGTATCAAAGAAAACAGAAGGCTTCTAGTGACTAACTTGTATTTCAAAAAGCATTTTTACATTCATACAAGAATCATTTACAATAAATAAACTCCTGTGAAGGATTTCTTTTGGCATTGAACAGCCCGCTTATTTCAATGTGCAAGTCAAAATAAACAAAACACTGGACATTCTCTGGTAACGCCAACAACGAACGAGAAAGTATAGTATAGAAATTCAACTCGTCAATTAAGGGTTTATTAGGTTTCATTGCATAGCCAGTATTCAAAACTTGTTGCTATACCTTGAAGTTTCAAATCTGAAAAGGGCCATTCCCTTTCTTCTTCTTTGCAAGTAGTTGGAACTCGGTTGTTATTTTGAATACCTTCAAGAGCTGAATAGATAGCTTCGGTTTCAGATGAAGGGAATGACAGAAGTGAAACAGATACGTTAGTGGATGTTATTGTTCCTTTCATTAACGATTAATATTGTTTCAAGTAATCTTTCCAAAGAACTTAAGTATCAGCATATGACCCCAGAGTACCTGAGTAATGACGGAAAACTTTCACTGCAACAAAGCAAAACGTAGCCTTTCTCCTTTAGAAATTTACGATCTTTTGAAAGTAAGATCTTTATTTCTTCAGCAAAGAATACTTCATTCCTATCAAAAATTTTGTGGAATCATAAAAAACCCATGTTGAAGTTGTTTGACATCAGTACTTACGCTTTCAGCCTCAATTTCCCAAACATTCTAAGGAAATCTTTTAAAATACTCAATTTGAACCATTTTTTCTCTTCTATGCCTTGTAACTCATTAGCTAGTTCTCTAAGGAATTTAGCTGCTATCCAATTTGGCCTTGAGGATACTTTGGAGTCATCTAAGTTCCGTTAACGGTAAATGGTACGGCCCGTCAGTAAATCCACTCAAGCCTGTATGTGGACTTGTCCGAGGATAGAAAACTCTTGGTTCATTCCATTTAAAGAACCATGTCGTTATTTGTTCAGCAGAATATTGACTGTATTAAAAAGAAGATAACAAGTCTAGAGAGCTTTAGTGAACCCACTTTGCTCTATCATTCTATATGATTGTTAGAAAGAGGCATATATACTTGCGACTAAGGCTGCAATATTGTCGATCAGGTTCGAACGCATTTCTGCGAAGGAACTCAACACGATTCGAATGGGCATAAGTTGTTATCATTTCTTGTGGACACGAATGATTGCAAGCACGTGCTGTTTCGCTTCATAAAAGTATTCAATTGGAAGTTATGGGGCAACAGGAGACGAAGGAAGTAAAGAATCTGGGGTACCTAGACGCTAGACAGGTCGCAAATCTACTTTTAGGTGAACGTTGGGACCTACCAGAACGTGCAAACACCTCGGGTAAACGAAGCACTTCTGAAAACGATGTCGACTATGCAGACTTGAAGCGTTCACCTTCTGCTTTGCCCATCCACGTAAGAAAAATATGGAAAAAACTAGTCCGAAGAATATTTCCAACTACGGCCAGTCTTGAAGATAATCTTTATCCCTCAGTTCTTCCTTGCACGCTACCTTTGCTGTTCCTTCTAGATACTGAACAACGTGGCTCGTTCTCTGGAAAATGTTGTGTGAAACTTGTCAAGAGGATAAAGGAAGTTTTGAAACAGGTGCACTCAGAATTTAAAGAACTACAAACTCAAGGAGAAAAAGGGGTTCCTATATCAGCAGACGTTGAGCATTTAGAAGTACTCTTGAAGGTTGCTTCATATGGGTTTGCTCCTGTTGACATGCTCACGCTTGCCTCTATAAGATATGCAGTTGCACAAGTTGAACTCGGTCTTTACAAACAAAATTACAAGCAGGACTGGTGTGATGAAAGCAACTACGTTTCGGCGGGATCGACACTTCATTCATCATCATCTTTCAAGTCGCTTGGTTTTCAGATAGAGCATTGGAACAAAAGGCCGAAGATAGATAGCAAGGAAGCTATATGTCTTGCTGTAATTATGCGCGTATCGGAAATTATCATTCAAGAATATACCTGCAAATTCTCGTCGTATTTATCATCAGGTCATAAAGCAAGAATTGAATTTTGTAAATGGCTATGGTGTTTTTTAACTGTTAGGAGGTCAGGTGATAGGCTTTGCCTTCAGCCACTCTCGAATGAAACTTTTACCGATGATTCGATTGATACAGAAGTCACAGACCGGGAACATTTGGAAAAGGAATCGAGTTTTGTTTCTTCAGGTTCTTGGAGTTTCTCTTCTGATGTTTCAGATAGTTTTTCTGTTAATGACTTGTTTACAAATGGATTCAATACTCACTGTGTGCAGGAACATCTTTATATTGACGATATATATCTTCTTTTACTCTTTCTTGCCGGAGACTGCGTTGACTTTGGTTCATTCATGTTTTCCAAGGAAGAGGAAGACTGGAAGAGTGCAAAAGAAAGTTTGTTATCGTTTGCAAGTAAATCCCCACGGCCATTGTGGGAGAAATGGAGTGGACTTTGGAATCAGAGTTCCCTTTTGCGGATAGCAGAAGAGTTAATATTTCATTTTGGACGTTCTTCTGTGGCGCACTGTCTCACAGAAAACGAGTTTTTAGAATTTGCCCAACACATCGCGTTTGTGTATTTGAGTCGCTGTGAAAGATTAGAGTCATTTGGCACTTTTGAATTGAGAAATTGCATTGGAAAAGGATCATTTGGAATTGTAAAGACCGCTCGTGACTTAGTTACAGGAAAGTTTGTTGCTATTAAGAAATGTATTCGTATCAGTAATACGAATGAAAATGAGGAAGCAGAACAGGAATTGGAAGCAAAGATATTACAGGAGCTTCAAGGGCACCCGAATGTATGCCGCCTGATAAATTACTTTTCATCGGATCAGTACTCTTATATTATCCTGGAAATATGTGGAGGAGGATCCTTATTCGAAACTCTTTCTGTGTTACAAGAGGAGCTCTGTGATAGTGGCCAAATCTGTCTCGTCGAGAAAGGTTGCAAAGTGAAATATAAGAGCAGGTTTGTTACTAAAAATATCTAAAATATTTTTGGCTGATTTCCTTGACCTATAGTGTTGGTTTTACTGAGAGCCAAGTGCGACATTGGATAAAACAACTCTTATCACTTCTTGTTTATATGCACGACCGAGCCGTCTGTCATAGAGACATTCGACCGTCCAATCTACTGTTGACAAATGATGGTGAACTTCGTATTGGTGACTTTGGAAGTGCAGCTAGATTTTCAGGTGGTTGGGATCTTTTTGATGGTAATAACGTGGTTGGGTACGCTTTCTTACTTTTTACCGTACATTTGTTTGAAAACTTTATTCAAAAGCTCGTTATATTCTATTGCACCGGAGCAGATAGAACGCAAAGCATATTTTGGAACTAAAATCGATATATGGTGTACCGGTGTTTTGACTTATTGGCTTCTCACTGGTATATTCATTTTTTGATTCGAATTCGTATTCTAAAACTATTTAGGACAACCTCCATTTTCTGACGATAATGTCGAAGTTCTTTATAGTAATATTAAAAATATGCACTTTAAACTTCCGGAAGTATCGAAAAAGGCGAAGGAATTTATTTTATCTGCTATGGCATCTGATCCAGACTCCCGTCCTGATGCTCATACGCTTCTTTGTCACCCCTGGCTTACAGGAGAAGAATCTTCGATTAGAACATTTCTTCGCTTCTCGCAGTTTGAAATACCTTTTCGTGAAGGCCTGCACCAAAGTATAAAGCATTTTGTTGCTTTTTTGAAAAAAGTAGTGGTCAATATTTTTTCAGATGTTGGTATTTATTGTTATGAAGTTGGCAATGGTCATTCGATCGAATTTTTAGGAGACAGAAAACCTCTTTTTTGCCAAGCATGCATTTCTTCAGAGTATTACTTGAAATTTTTTACTTGTTTCTTTTGTGAAACTCGAGGAAATGTTACTCTTGGTAAAATCTGTTTTGAGCTTCATAGAGGTCGATCCATTCTTTTCTTAAAGGTGGCTCACAAACTGCGGGATCTCATATTGACTGCTGTAAAATGAAGTATCACTTTTTATTGGAGTATCATCCAAAGCGGTATTGACAAGTTTACAGTTTCTGGAGTAGTATGAGTTATCTTTTTGGATTTTTAGTATTCTATCCCTTGGTTTATTCATGTGTTTATAGTCGAACGGATGACAAACTGCGACTCAGCTAATTGAGCTTTCCTAACTCTATTTGAGGAATACCTGGTAAATTGGTCAGCAGTTAAGTCATTATATATCTAGAGTATATTGCACGAAGCTTTTTTCTTGGAGTGAGCAACCACATAGCAAGAGTTAGCTGGAAGTATCCATTTTGATAAAAGGAACTTAGGTGTATCCACCGTCGTATTCCTTATTGGAATGTTTATGATTTCACAAATGATAGTATCGATATGTTCGTTGCTTCTCGAGTTGGTTGCACTGGTTATTTTGTGTGTTCTGTGCGCAAAAATAATTTTTTTTCATTTGAAGGGATTTGATAGGGTTTAGGTTTTGGACTCATTAAATTTCAACATTTCGCTGTATGTATCATCTCCTATTTGGAGGTAACGCTATTGAGCGCTATTTATTGAGGACCATTAGCCATCTAACTATCGCCTTATCCTGCTTAAATTGTGCAAGTCCTTGTTTCGTTCATAGTTGTTCTGTTTCAATTGCAACACTGGTTTGATTTTCTTTCTCGCGTCACCAACTTGTATCAACTGACAAGTGGGGTCTTGCATAAACATTTTATTTCTGGTTGCAACAAATATTACGCAGCTATTTTATGAAACTATTGGCTTTCGGGACAATGTATTCCCCATTCTCTTAGTTGGCGCCAACTTCCTGATCACGAACACAAGAGCTTCTCCACTGGACCTTTATGCATCGACCCCCGATATACAACTCAACAATGTAGTCTACAGTCAATCAAGTAGTTGCTAGAAACAGCGAGCTACGAAAGAATGAAACATAGAATTGACAAATTCTCAGATAGTTTGAATAGTGTCGTTGGTCACAAAGTAAATTTCGAATGTCCAGCGCTACTGGAAATTCAACGTGTCTTCATTTGCTGTCTTCCAACATTTCTTCGTAGTCTATTCGAAGGATCGTAGAAGGCTAAAGCACCTTTTTTGGTTCTGATAGTCCACTTGTTAATTGAAGTAGAGGCTTTCGTGGTCTTGTTGAAAGAACTGACAAGTCAAGGGGTCTCTTACACTCATGAGTAGTCGCAAGCCTCGCAATGGGGGTCTTCCCTTTGCAACTTCTCCAAAGGTTTGTAGCAATCAGCCTAGGTTTATTTTTCATAGTTCTCACTCAAGCTAGAACCTTGGAGTATCACTGCCAACAAACATATCACGAAATGGAAAGCGACAAGAAAACTTATTCCGACCTGAAGAAGCCGATCAGAAAGCTTTTGGCAACGTGAAGAAGGAAAGTACTCCTTTAGCGGCTATGTTTGGCGACGACTCTTCAGAAACAACCGAGGATAGGACGGTAGGAAATATTTCGAAAGTCATAAAAGAAAGGAATTCTGCGGAGTCTTCTTGGTTTGGAGAATATGAATCTAGCTCAACTGAGGAAGGAAGTTTTCGTGAAGTTGCTAGTGAGTCAGAAACTTCTGAAGAAGAGTTTGAAGATGATTTCTTCGGCACTGCTAATGGTGGAGAAAAGAAACAGAACACAACCAGACGGGAGAACACTCTTAAGTCTTTCAATTTGCCAGAAAAGCCAAAGGAACCCAAGGAAAACACGAAAGACTTTATTCCACCTCACTTATTGGTTCAAAGGGAAACGCAGTCCTTATTTGAGAGACCTTGTTCGAGAAGAATGATAAACTGGACGTGAAATCACGTTGTTTAGCAATATTGTGGGTTTATCGAAAGATGCTTTTAAGTAGCACGAAGATGGTGTTCGTTTCGAACTAAATGCTGACTTTTGAAGTTGTGAATATTCCACAGTTAGTACAGGCATTACTAGCAGTATAAAAAACATGTCTTCTAACCGCAGCTACCAAAACTCGTTGTTTCAAACAGTCACTGTAAAGACCTAAACCGAAAGAATACATCCAAAAATTTTCCCTGTTCGAAGCACAATGTAAGCGGCAAAGCTGTTCTTTCCAATATCCGAAACATAACATCCAATCTTGGTAACTTCACCAGTATCGATATCTTCGACTGACTTCGTTGCCACTATTTCCATTTTACCTTGAGAATAAGCAAAGCGGACTAGACTCAATTGTCCATTCGACTCAAGAACGAGAATATGACATTTATCCACTCGTGACCAGAACGATGCTTGATTCCTCCATTCCATCCGCTTCAAATGACTCCAGTAGATACTGTCAATCACATCGTACTCCATTAACCCATTGGAAGACATCCAAACCAAACCAGTAGTATATCCACTGTTATCCCATGGTTCACAAAAGCACAAATTGTCCCTGACGACCATGCTTCTGAAAGTACTTGACAAAACCGAGGAAATTTTTATCAAAGGACGTAATACTGGGTCATCTGAATGACGACAAATAAGATCTAGCTTCCACAACAGTACATAAGCATTATCTACAACAGCTGCAAGCATAGTTTGTGAGTCAACAGGATCCCGTTCCATGGCAATATCATGTACAATATCTTCTGCATCTAAATCATAAACAAGTCTACCTGGACCGGATAAGACACAGTTTGAAAGAGGGCCCGATTCTTTCTCACAAGCCCAACAACGAATAGTTCCATCCTTTGATGAAGATATAACTGTGTTACTTTCTGCCTCAAACAGAACACTGCAGAGTTCCCCTTGATGAGCATCTATACAGATACTAGATAAGATACCAAGAGACACAGAATAGAACAAAAGTGAACCTGTATCCGTTCCAAGTATCACACAATCAGTGGAAGTTTCTCTAACCACGGTAAATTTGCAGTTTCTAAGGCGTTCTTCAATTGATGAAGCAGAAAGGGAAAGTCTTCTGAAGTGTTTGCCGACGTCTTCTGTATTCAAAGCATGAGACAGAAATGCGCCGTCATTCCAAACTGTGAATATCATATCTGCAGTAACAGTTGCGTCTACAATGAAGTTGCTTTCGGCAGAAACTTTGCTAAATTCATGCAAGTTAAAAATTTCTCCGATGAAATATCTGCTTTCTTCAAGAATGCCTTTGCTAACATCAAAATTTCTGGATGGATGAGGGACTGAGAAGATTCTCTTAGGAGTTCGCCCGAACTCTGCAGCAATATCTGGTCTTTGCGTTTCAAATACATCAGTAAAAAATAGGTTATGATTCTCAAGACTTCTAGACTTATAGCCAAACACAAGATCAATCCAAAGGTGAAGATGCTCACTAACATAATCAGATTCCAACGCCTTTCTGTTCATTCTAATATATTCCTGACGTATAATTTAAAACAAATATTAGGTTCGTGATCAACAACCATACTGAAGGACTTCCATTGGCCCACGGAGGTAACTCAACATTATCCACCTTTCTACCATCTTGACAAGTTCCAAAATCAATACCATATTCATTCACTCTAAAAATCTTGAATGACAATGGAACTCAATAAAGCTTACTTACAAGAAAATTCCTGGGTACCATGTACGTCCGCTGAATCTTGTGAGACTGTTTTCAGGTAACTCATTTTCGACTATAGAAAAAAACCTAAAATGCATGCTCATGATTTCAACTGGTAATTGTGACAGATAATAACATACTCTGGCACAAGTTCATTAAAGTTATTCACTTGGTTATTTACATTTGTCCAGGTTTCTGATATCTCTTCAAACCATAGATGAGAAAACCAATATCTTTGAAAACAACAAACACAACATACCTCGAAAAAGGCGACCTGGATGATCATATCGACCATTTTGCAATTTTAGCATAAGAAATGGTGCGCTCCGAACAAGAAAATGTACAACGGAACAAGGAGAAGAGTAATGAGAGCCATATAAAAATTTCGGCGATGGCATATCATTGCATCGCTGCATTAAAGTACTCAATCTCTCGATATTTAAGGCACCTAAAGAAAATAATATATTGACATGAACTTCACAACATCTGTTGCATTTACCGATGCTATTATCCAATTTTCGATAGCTTCGTGAGTCTTCCAGGTCAATACTTTCACTTTTGTAGTCTGACAAAATCCATGGAAAAACAGGATATTGAGAAATGTCTAGAAAAGTCCTGCCACTTTGAAAGTTGAGTGCTAGCAGATACTCGTAGTTAGAAATCTTCCTTTTCTGCCATAAATGCAATAAGGATTCTGGGCTCAAAGAAGCTGACAAATAAATTAACGAATTCTTTTGTTCCTTTGCTGCAGTTGATTCCATCAGCTGTTTGTATATATTGTCGCGTGTTTCCTGATTCTCAAAGACCACCATCCAAAGAGGACCAGAGTCTGAGAACCAGAATTCCAATGCACAAGGGAAAGAACGGTACTCTAGCCTTCGCACACAGTGTATAGAGGAAATAGAGTATCTTTCCACTGGTGAAGAATCAAAACCTCCTGAATGAATGGGCATAAAGTATACATTACTAGAACAAGTGAGGCCAGCAAAAGTGTGGTTCTACCATTGCTCTTACCAAGTAGTCAAACGAATACGACCATGATCTTCTGACAAAGGGTAAACCAAAAAACAAGACTCGTCAAAAATCGTGGATTCGCTGAGACCAAATTGCAACCAAGTTATATCAAACGGAGTTATTCTCCTTCTTGAAACAACAATTTCATGCAATCGCAAGTCACGTTCCTCTCTTTCTAACTTGTTTGCCATCAGAAGCTCACTACACAAAGTGTACACTACTTCCAAGGTCGAGTACGGAGAATGTATAGCATGCAAAGCTCTGAATGTTTCACGTATATGAGGGTGATCATATCCTTCCTCCTTCAAAAAAGTTGCTATATTACTTCGCAAAAAGACAGTATTAACTACAGAGCGCTCTGGAAAACATTCTTCAAAACACTGTTAGAATCATAATATAAATGTTTCAACCGTATGCGAGTTATATACCTTTTATGAGAGAGACGTCACTGTTCTGAGAAGACAATTCGAAGATTTCAGCATATTCTGCAACATCTTTTAGATTCAACCCTTCCCCTTTTAAAAGGTGAATATCCTTCTAGCGCTTAAGTTTGGTTGGGATAGTAAAAATAGTATTCCTAAATACCTTGAAAAGAAGCTTGAGGATAGGTAAACTCCAGTCGTCAAAGTCAAAATATAGAGCGTGGGTAGCAACCTGCAAATGATTAACTTATAGCGAACAAGGTCGAATACAAGTTACCTTCAAACGACCTGTACCTCTCAGAGTACCAAAGCTTTCTTTCTGTTGCGAACTAACTTGCTGATATTCTGCAACAGTATCCCAAAGAAGAACTTCTCCTTCTTCCAATGTATATACTGAAAATCTTCGTTCACCCACAATCATTATCTCAATACTTGCTACAAAAATTTCATCAAATAACTAAACAAATGTAGTAACTGTGAAAAAACTACAGTAAAGAACCGCTTCGAGACTCAATGGATGCAATTTTCTGAAAGTAAACAGTGAGAATTATTTTACTAGAAGGTTATCTGAGAAAGACATATCGCTGCAATAGGCAACCAGAATATTAAGGATGCATTTCAATTTCACATAATCGGAATTAGTCCCAGAGACAAGTTTCACGTCTCGTCAACTGTCCTCTTCGCATTGGTACTCGTCGTTGTAGCTACTCTATCGAGCATTTATATCATAGGAACATTGGTTTGACTTTTCGTATTACGAAAAGCGTCAGTTATAGACCCTGAAATTACAAGCAAAGTACTAGATACTTTTTGAAAAATATGCCTATACAATATGGCCCAAGAGGCATTTGGAACTGGAAAGAAGTACAGGCACTCTTGAGTTTGGCGATTCCTGTCTCTATAACCTATTTGACCTTTTTCTTTATGTACATTGTTGATACTCTTGTAGTATGTAGCGTGATTCCAGTGTTGTTTTTGGAGGTATTGATAAGTTGTTTTGAAGGTTGGGAGACTGGGTAAGACGTATCTTGCAGCTGCTGCTCTAGCTAATACTTGGTGCAACTGCATGATACTTATGGGGAAGGGAATATTAACTGCACTTGATCCTTTATGTGCACAAGTGAGCATATCTTTTGCTGTTCTTTTTTTGGCTCAATTGTCAGGCATATGGTGCAAAACGCTATAGAGCTGTGGGAATAGCACTTCAACGAGGCTTTCTAGCCATGGTTTTAGTCACCTTTCCGATATCTTGGAGTTGGTGGCGAGCTGAAGATGCGTTGTTGTGGCTTGGTCAAGTAAGTCTATGCGTTGGTGAGAACAATTCAAGTGTTTTGACAGCATTTTCTTAATTGGCTCAGAGCGTTGAACTTTCCAGTTTAGCTGGTATTTTTGCCAGAAGACTTATTCCTTCTATACTTCCAAGTTTACTTTTCGATTGTTTACAAAAATATCTTCAGTCTCAGAGTATAACCAAACCTTCGCTCATTATAGGTCTTATCTGTAATGTCATCAACTTGGTCTTAAATGTGGTTTTGGTGTTTGGAATTGGAAGCTTATTTCTGGGACTTGGATTCGTTGGCGCGCCTATTGCTACTGTGATAACTACTGTTGTGCAATTTTTTTTACTTTGGCTATACATTTATTACTATAAGATTTATGTTCTAACGTGGCCTGGATGGAGTTGGGAATGCCTTCAATGGAAGGATACTTTAGAGGTTTGTGCATCATACACTATCTTGAAATCGAGCTTACAGTGACTAGTTTTGGAAATTGGGAATACCTGGTGCGCTTATGTATATTGGAGAATCATGGGGATACGAATCTATCTCTTTGCTGTAAGTAATGATATCAGTTGAGGAGTATAATCTTGAAACTCTTTAATAGTGCTGGAATTTTGGGTGTCACGTCACTTGCGGCTCATAATATACTTTTTAATATGATCGCTGTGGCCTTTTTTTTATATTTAGGTATTGGAGTTGCCTCTTCAACCCGAGTAGGAAATGCGTTGGGAGCAAACTTGCCTTTCGAAGCAAAACGTGCCAGCTGGTTGGCTTCGCTATTTGTAACTATTCTTGGAGTATTATGTGGCATTTTTCTCTACATTTTTCGCTTCAATATATCGGGTTTTTATACCGAAGATAACGGCGTGATTCAACAGGTGGCGCTCACAACCCCTTTAAGTTGTATCGTCACTTTGCTTGACGGCATACAAACAGTTAGTTCAAACCGAGAACGTTAAAAATAGAACTTGTGCTAATAACTTGTAGATTTTTGGAGGTGTTCTGAGGGGAATGGGAAACCCGGTTCCAGCAGTTGCCTGTTACTTGGTTGGTTTTTATATCATTGGGTAAATTGTTTCGTAACTTCCATTCCTATTACTAAAGCGTCGGAGGTTACCAACTTCTATTTTATTAGCTTTTCGACTGGGTTTCAGGTTAAATGGACTTTGGTTTGGCTTAATGATAGGACTGCTTTTCGTATGTATTGCAGAATTTGAATATTTGAGGAGGCGCAATTGGGTTGAACTAGCGAAGCGAGCCATGGTAAACTCTACAAGTTTTTGTCTTGCAGGCTTTCTGAAATTGCTCTGTAGTATACGAGTGCTCGAGATTCGTCAATGGAAAATAACGTTTCGGATAATCTGTACACTATTGTTGACGATTTGTCTTCTTTCACACTAGAAGACAACAACAGTGATATGGAGTTGAAAGGTGCAGAGATTGCCGATTCCGATGACCATCATATAATTTGAGCTTTTTTCACATGATTCCATCTTTCGTTGCGTTGACTTCAGTAGATGACGCCTTTTTGGTATTAAAGTACCTAGACTTGATCCTAGAAGGATGCTTTTTATATAAAGGTTCCAGAATACTTTTTTCATTCAAGTTCTTTATTTCTAAGACTCTGGTCTCCTTGCAATTCTATGCAATTTCATAACAGGAGGACGTACGGTTCCTTCTTGAGAATAGAGAGAAGGCGTCAGTACTCTGTAGCAACAAATAAATGCTATTCGGAGAGCTTATGAATGTAAATTAAAATATTTAGTTAACACAGGTGCAACTCTAAACATGCAAGAGCTTGAAACTCGTTGTAAGTCGCTCATCTCCAATGATCTGAAATGATAAACTTCATGGAATGGGAACCACAAATAATTTGTTCTTTTGGGCACGCAGCGTGGATGAAAAGCTTGGCTTTTTGTCTGCAGCCTCCAAGTTTTCCATGTTGTCGTAGAAAAGTAGTTTTGTCTAGGACAGACTGCAGTGGCTTTTGTGAGCATACGAAGAGTCGATATGATACGAAGCTTAGTGTTTCGAGGCCAGGTGGTTCCCCTCATAGACCGTCGTTTCGTTCTTTTTTGAGTTACTTTTGGACAAGGAAGAGAAGCCCCAGCACTTTTCGAAATAACCAAATTTTTAGCGGTGGTACAAGTGATGGTGGTGGTGGTGGTCGATTTGGATATGTTTTTGACGAACATGAACCTCCAAGGAGAGACTTTGGCATTCTGTTGCTGTTAAAGTCTACCTTGAAGATGCTTCAAGCTAGTCGAACTTTAGACGGTTTTTACACTTTTGTTGTTGTGTATTCCTTAGTATCTTGCCCAAACAGGCCTCAGTTGGGCTCTTGTTCGGCAGATACCAACACCAAGGGAGACCTCGTTCAGCCTGAAAAGTGTCAGAAGTACTCAGCATTCATAAGTGAAACTACAAGGCCTGCTGTTGTATTGCTTTCGTTTTTAGGAGCAAAACAGCGTCAGTTGAAGAAATATGCAGACTTTTATTTCTCCAAAGGCTACGATGTGTATATCGTTTTTAACAATCTACCAACTGCTATCTTCCCAGCTATAACTCAAAGACAAGCTAGAAAAGTTTTAGACATCTTGGAAAGAATTCCCGACGGACAGCCCGTTTTTGTACACGCTATTAGCATCGGTACTGGAATATGGGGTTTAGTTTTGGAAGAATTTAGGAAAAATAACAAGAGACTGGAGCATCTCAAAGGGAAAATATCCGGAGTGATTTACGATAGCGGTCCTTCGAACGTATCGCCTAGCTTGATGGCAAACGGTTTATACTCCGCCTGCCCTAAGGTATGAGTTTGAAAAGCTCTAAAACGTACTTTATCTCTGAGAACTTCTTAGTTATCAAAGGAAGTATGGAATATAATAACTAGTGTCACATTTTTGTTGACACGTGCTGGTGCCAAGTTCCGTGTTGGAGAGTTAGCTCTTCAAGATCACCAAGTTGAACAAGCCCCGCAGCTATATTTATACTCTCGGGATGACCACGTCATCAATTCTTTGCATGAAAGTGTTCAAAAGTTTGTAGAGAAGAATAAACAACGAGGAGTAGAAGTATATCAGCAAGTTTGGGAGAAATCTTTGCACGCTACTCATCTTAAAGTTCATCCCGAAGAGTATATGAGATCTGTAGAAGACTTTCTCAACCGGTGCTTGCAGTTGAGGAATAGTGTCAACCGATGTCTTACTCCTCGTTCGGTTCAAGCTTACTGACTAGCAGCAATAGTTTCCGATATTAACAGTTTCCTGATTTGTTTCTAATAAACGATGAACTCGTGGAATCTCGTCAGTTTCCAACCATGAACGACTTATTGTGCTAGGCAGTCCTGATCAGAACTTCTTCAAGCACTTAGAAGTTCGCCTTGAGTGGAACCAGATTTGAAAACAATCTCTGGTAGCCTGAGAATACAATATCATAGACAGTTTCAAGAAACTCTATAGTAAGCTCTCTGAGGTTTTTCAACACACTTAGAGCTTTTGACTGTCTAGGAACGACTGTTTCTCCAGGAATTAGGAGCAGCCAATCCCACTCCGACTCTTCTTCTGAAAAAGTAGCAGAACTATACTCCAATTGAGAAAAAGAAGGTGACCGAAAGTTCATGACTACTTTCTCACACAAGCAGAACGCTTTAACTTTGAAACTTTCTGTTCGGCCCTTGTTGTCAAAGACAGATTTTCATCTAGAAAAGATGTTGCAAAATGTATAAAGTTTGGAACATTTCAAGTTGCATTTTCACATTGCAACTTTTTATGAGAATTATAGCTTTGTTTTTTCTACCAAATCTGTGCCAACTCGTAATAAACTTATTCTAGTTGTTCCAACAGTGGGGTCCAACTAGACAGGACACTCTCAAGTTCGTTAAAAGAATGGCACAGTATGCTTGCCTTCAGATGCTTCTTCATATAGTGTATTGAAGGACTATCACCCAATAGCAACACCACTCTACTGTCTTCATCGATATTTAACATGGAACAGATAAACTCGAAGGCGCCTATACTTGTGACAGTTGACGGAGCAATATCGAGAGATCTCTCGTGACTTCCTCGTCTAATACTTGCCTTTAAGCCATTTTCTCTCAGTTTCTGTAAAAGCAAACTAATGAGAGTCTCTTGGCCAGTTTCGATGTCCTCTGACAAAGTGTACTGAAGAACCAAAGGAATCTTCGGCATAGAACTTAACGGAAATTCAGAAGAATATATTTTCCTGCATTCCAAGTAGCCAATTTTAGCCTCTTTCAGTGTCGACTCAATAAGACTTTGAACTGGTTTTGGCTCCCACTCCTTCATGACCTGTTCCTCCCAAGACGGATCAGGTTCTCTGAGAGACGTTTCAGTAACATAAGAAACAAGAACGGCGAAGATACCTGAAGCCAAGTTGAAATATTTGTGCTCCTCCAAACGTGATGATAACCTCTGGCTTCAACTCCTTTGCAAAAGACTCAGAAATATGTCCTTCAACCTCCTGTAGGCTATCTTCGGAAATTACGAAATAGTGAAATCTTCCAAAGTTTTTCTTTACAATAGAGAGACCTTCAAGCAAACTAGAAACTGGTTCGTTTTTTGTGCTTCTTGACAAGGTATTCACGTCAGCTACTAAGAAGCAGACTCTGTTGTCTTTTATGGAAAGGGACGACCTTGTAGAGCAACACAAGGACGACAGGTAACTTGATGTTCTGCATAATTGGTATCGTTTCGAGGATCTTTTCAACAGAGAACGCTGGAAAAGCCTGGAAACTTGAGTTGGCCTCGGAAAAGAGACTCTCTTGCAGCACTCACAACGAGGAAACCACGTGACCCATGAGAAATAAGCCATTAACTATTACTTCTTCTGAACTTCATACTTAGAAACAGAGTTTATTCCAAACAGTAAAGTATCAGTATTTTTCTATATTGCAAACAGCTCTCCATATTTACGAAAGACAAAAATTGCCGCAGTAAAAACGCCTAGATTGCGCAGTAATCGTTTGTTCATCTACAAAACGCTTTCAAATTCTGCTTGAATAAAAAGAAGAAGCAGACCTGTCTATACTGTTCATTGCTCCACTCACGCTTCAACAATTCCTTTATGAGTTGGCTCACTGTAATATCCCCTTCTCCGGCTTCCATGCTTCCAAGCTTAACAATTAATTAGAAACGTAACGCCGCCAGTCTCTAATCGAATAAGTATTCTCTTGGGAGGGCCTAGTGGGAAATTATTTAGGTGCTCAAGACTGACTCTTAAAGTTTCCCATACAAGGATCGAAGGCTAAAAAGAGTTGCTATCGTTAACGCAAGAAATTTTCCTAAACGGCATTGCCGTAGTTGCCATCGGAAGGACTCTTTTCCTTGCTTTCATCTCTATTATCACTTTGATGTTGTTCACTGTAATGTAGATGGAGTTGAGTGTTCTATCTTCACAGCTTAGTCTTGAACTTCTTGAATATTAACAGAATCTTATTGGATGCTATTTCGAAGATTCTGTTGTGAGTTCGGTTTGATCAAGTCTGTTCTCGCAGAGAGTGAAGTTATTTCGTAAAATGATATTTGTGACGTCTTTTGGAGATAACCGAGTACTTTCTAGAAACTGTATCAGTCAACTGGTCGACGAGGGAAAACCAACCTGTGCAATCCTGTTTGTTTGGTATCCAAAAAATTATTGCTACGTTAGTTTCTTCTATGAACAGTGTCCGACGAATACGGAGTTGAAAAGATTTTTCTGAGGTTAAAGGAGGAAACTTACGCAATCCTTTTCTAAGTTTTACTCTAAACTTAGCATGCCTTTACCATAAAATTTCGTGTGACACTGAGAACATTGTTGTACTAGGAAGACTCCTACTTTTTATATAATATCTTCGTCATTTCATTACACTTTCCTTTCGCATAACTCAAATAGAAAGTTTCTTCAAACAGAACGAGCTGATGTTATTTTTACTGGTGCAAATAAATTTCAAGTAGTTTTCCAATACCCGGAAGTACAAAACATTTAACCTGTTCAATGTGAATACGCTGGCAAACATAAAGTTACAACACTCAGTTCGAAATAAAGAATTGAAAGAGTATCAAATAGACAATACTATAAGACGTCCTCTTATCTTCATACGGTTGTAATTGGGTATATTGTCACAAACAACTGCAAATAAAAGCAAAAATTTTAAGCAGGTACGATGCAGCTGTGAAGATAAGTTAAGCAGCCAATGATACTACGAATACGAACTTCGCAGATAAAGAGGCTATGAAATCTGCTTATTAGCGAATGCGTTACTGAAATTTCCATAATGTGGTTTTCATCTTATTACTGTCGTGTACCCTCATCAGCTTTGACAACATCTTCATTTCTTGTCGAAGCTGTTGAAGTAGCTTCATAAATAGTAGAATCGTCCATGGAGACTTGAGGGAAAGGCCTAATTGACCAATAAAAAGGAAGGGGAAGAAAGTTACTTGGAGCTATTCCACTTGTTTCATGGCTAGTCTCTACATGGAAACTAGCCTCATCATTTCCAATTTTTGCAGTTGCTGGCACCTGTTCAAACCATTGGTGCCATTGTCGAACAACGTTCTGCTGGAATTCAAAAAAAGATTTTTGTAGCTGCACAGTAGAATCATCCACAGAGAGCGCATCCGAGCCTGGAATGAAATTGGGAACATATACATTCGCAAATTGTCCTGAGCTATCAAGGTCTTGAACCTGTTGGGTTGCATTCGCATACCAGTCATTGCAATTTCCATCTCGCTTATTAACTTTGGAATCAACTTGCCCTCTCGAATTCTCTTCCTTCTTCTCTTCATTAAATGCCGCTATTTCCTACACGAAGAAGTTAGCGTCTTAAAAGTTTTACAGACACGCAACTGACTTGTTTCTTTGTAGCAAAGGCGTTCTTGTTTATGTTGTAAAAGTCTCCATCAGCTTCATTTGTACGTGTTAATTTTGATTTTTCCTCTTCTTCTCTTTTGTACTGTCTGAATAATGATAAATCTCGCTTACGGCTAAAATTACTCTTCTCCTCATATAACTTAGTCGAACTAAAGATTTGAAGATATGTTATTTCAGATAAAAGCCATTCATATGCCATCTCTCCATTCCATTTTTGGGTTTTTTGAATCAATTGTAAAGCAGACAAAATATTCGCAATATCATAGAGTCTTCGAATACCGGTCTTCGATTTCATGTCTTTATCCTGTTCTCCAAGCAACAAACGTGTTATTTCTTGAAAACTTATGATACTTTCGCTCGACTCCAAAAACAATTTGATAAAACGCTGTGTTAATACTCCCAGAAATTTATCATTTTGGTCACTTCGATGACGGAGTAGTCCTGACTCTCTTTCAGCGTCATCATTCTTTTGTGATGACAGGGAGCATTCATCTGAAGAACACGTTAAAGACTCAACGGCCTCCATTGTTGAAGTGTTCTGTTGTTTGACGTCATTTTCCACCTCGCTAGAAACTTTCAGAGCAATCAGTGTAAAGGGGATTCGATCAACTCCCTGCCACTTGTAGTGGTTACGTTTCTTCTTTACTACAATACCAAGACTTTCCAAAACATTGACAATATCATAAATTCGCCTGCGCTCAACGTGTAAAATTTCCGCTACTTCATCAACAAAGAATTCTTCATTGGAGTGATTTCCGTAGAGTTTTATAAAACTATGTATCAAGTTTAATCCAAAAAAATAAAATGCAATATTCGCTTACTTCTCGCATAATAAACTAAGTGACTTGTATCCTCTTGCATTGCACGTTTTGTTATCGATGACGGGAACACTCTTCTTTCGGTCATTTTCTTCCTTCTTCCAAAGAAATTTGCTCAAATTCGCCTTTGTACAACTTTCCATATTCTCACTTCCAAAGAAATCTTCTAAGTATTGTGCAGTATCTGTAACGAGGAATTTCAAACTCGAGTTGTTCTCCTTTTCCTCATCTTTGTGAGCGTCACACTTTTCTTTTTTCTTTGAAGACAATGCTTCATCAAAAGGCTTGTCGACCTTCATCGTTTGTACTTCTAGTTAAATACCACTCATCAGTAAACAATGAAAAAAAAGTTGAAACAGAAAGACTGAATCAAAAAAGAGTGCTTACCAAAAGCAGCTTCGTCAGTCAAAATAGGGCGCCCTGAGCCCTCACTTTCAACTATACTTTTGCTGTAGTCACAAGAGCCTGTAACGCTATTTTGTTTTATAACGCACTGTCCATCTACAGAAAGACTGAAATTTGTTTCAGTGGGTTGTACACTTGCGGCAACCTCAGACGGTGTTGAAGACAAACTTTTTGCATAGTTCAACTGCGCTTCAACTGGATTGACAAAGGAGTCTACCGAAACTCTGTGGTGTCTTTGAAACAGATCCATAGAGGAAAGTATACTCTCTATTAAAACTCAGCAGTAGACTTCAAGTTTCGAGGAGTCAAACTGCACAACTAGTAAAGCGTCTATCGAGAAAACTTGTACATAAGCAAAGCCTAGAAAGACAAAGTGGAAGCACTTGAAGGTCTCTGTATCTTTCAAGCAAAAGTTCTTCGTAAAAAAGAGCGACAGATGAACAATGCGATAGCAAATTCAAAAGAAAATGACAACAAATAGCAACGAAAGCAAAATTGCTCAAAATTTCTATGAAGTGAAATTTGCCGCCTTTCAGCAATTTGGATTTGCAGTTAGAGATGTTGATTCGTCACCAGTTTGCTAAAAGTTTCATAGAATTCATGTTTTGGATGCCTTGTTTTGAGATTATCGCTGTTATTTAGTTTTCACTTTTGTAGGAGTAAGGAAACAAACATATCCAAACTTCTTTCGTCCTAATTCACAAATTCGAAGTAGATTATGCTTTTGTACCTATGATAACATAAACCTCAGGGAAGCAATCATGTTATTTTGTTAAGTTACTAAGTTTGGCAATCGAAAATTTTTAGCTCGACTGGCTTCGATTTCATTCTCTTCGTAGATGGCTTTCTGGAAGCGAAGGTACATCCAACTATCTTTCTTGACCTAACTAAGCTATCATTATTTTGACCGTCAGATTACAAGGGCTGTCAAATAACTTTATTTGGAGCAATATACATTATATCCTCAGATCTTAAATGATATTATTGAGTGTGAGAGAAGACATTCTGACCATTAATGGTTTAGAGGGAATAATGTCCTACGAAACCAAAGATACGAGCGTCACTTAAATACAAGTAGACGGAGAGATGCTGATATCGTATTCTGCTGCCTAAGAAGCTAGTATGCGTTATTGTGTATTGTAGGCATATCTTCGTCACTTAAGCTTCTGGGTAAACTTGGATCATCTGAGAGGTAGATTCCTAAATATTTGTATTCAGCAACAAAGGTGGTAATGGTCCTCAATGAAGCTGTCAACTATACTACTGTTCCAGTTTCTAGCTACGATTCCGCATTTACGAGCACCCTCATAAACATGTCCCGAATATCACACCATTTTGGAAACAAGTAAAAGAAATGGTCGAGTCACGGAGAAATATATTCAACGCACCAGAGTGGTGACCAGTTTTTTAACTTGTAAGATTCCTGTTTATCTCCGTTGTGGTGAAACATTGCTTGGTTCCATTGACCTTATAGAGCAGTGACTGGTGGGACACGCATTAACAGTTATGTTGAGCACTTACAAACGCAATCGTATGCTGCGACTGTTATTTAGTCGTCGTCCTAGTCATGCCGGGGCTTATGCCTACTGTTGAATCACTGTCACGAAACGCTCTTTTATTTGTAAACGGTCCGCATATACATATCTGGACTCGTTGGATGATCACGTGTCTAAAAGTTTCTCGAGAACCCAGTTGGAGTAAAGCAAGTCGTACGTGGTTAATACGTCATATTTCCAAGGAGGTTTGGAATGCGATTACTTGAGATGATAAAGATGCTGCACGATGCAAGACAAATATTCAAAAATGCATTCAAAACAAACCTTCTAGTCGTAAACCCGAAACCCGGTTTCATCATTGGAAAACTACTTACAAAGACTGTTGTTTGGTAGGTACACGACGAATTGCGTCTCATAAGGTTCAAATTTCGATCGATAGTTTAAGTTCAAAAAGTGTTTCCGCGCTAGAGTTGGTAGTTTATATAGAACTCTATGTTTAACTCGTCAAGGTCTCTTCCCGACTATTGGAAACATTAGTGACCTACTTGAGACGACATCTCGTATGCTGCTGTAGTCGAAAGAGTCTTCTCCACGGAGAAACATTCACGTGCCTCTGGAGCTTGTGTAAGCAAAGTGACTTGTCTCGAACCAATTAGTCATAGTTTGAACCAAGTTAGGGAGGATCGCTGGTTGGTGGCTTGAGGCTTGCTAGTGGGGAAGCCTATTGACAGCAAAGGAATGCCTCGTCGCTTTACGTCCGACAAGTATTTGCAGTATTAGGTGGGTCCTCTTCATTCGAGTGATAAGGCTCCTTGAGGTTGGATGGATGGCAGTGTTCATCTACAGTACCAGAACCTTGAATCTCTAACTAGTGGGTTTTTTTTTCATTCAAGTATCCCTGGCTATATCTTAGTTGCTCGACATTTGATACAAACTATGCCTATACGCTTTATAGTAATATCCTAAACATCAGCCCCGCTCCAAAATCGAGAGCTCAATTCGTCAATGATGCAAAATGTAGGAATCGAAATATGACTGGAGAATGGTCAATGTTATTTATTTATTATACTTTTATATTTTTGTGGGAAAATAAACATTTGACTGTTCATTGAAAAGAATCTGACCATCATGTCTTTACAAGAGCTTTTCGAAGAAACATTAAGAATCGGAGAATGTCTTTGGACGCATCTAGCTCTTCGACTTTGGCTCCATCTCCTATTGACAGCCTTTTGCATATACCTTTAACTGGATTTAAGTCGTTCAGTTTTCTAATAGGCAAATCTTCTAGTTGTCATCGTCCACTGAATCAGGAAGTAATTTTCTACATTTTTTGTACTTCTTCTATGTCTTTTAGAGTGAAAAGTCTTCATTTCCTATATTCACAAGGCTACCTATTCAACTTCAATAGGAGAGGCCTTGATCTACATGAATAATTGTATAGGAACAGTAGGATAATAGACAGTTGAACATTATTAAAATTGAATAGAACTTGCATTTGCAGTCTTCTAGTATGGTTTGACACTTGTTTATTATAGAACACTTTTGTTATTTCTTCAAGGTGGACTGGAAATGCATTTTTTCTGAAATAAAACCCTCTTTCATTTTCCATTCATATGCAAATTTTCTTTGGCTTAAACAGTTAAATCAAATCATAGACATACTCTTCCTATTTTTTAAAAGTTTTTAATTCATACGACAATTGACAACTCATTTTGATTTCACTTTACAGCTTTCAAGTTTTAGAATGGGAAAATCGGCAAAGATTGCACGCCAGTCTCCTGTGATTCGCAAGTCGATCGAGAAAGGAAAAACACAAACGTTATCGCAAAAACAAAAGGCGCAAAGAAACTTGAAAAAGATAAAGTCATCGAAGAGAGCTGCCAAAAAAACCGCAATCTTGGAGTATTCAGGGAGGAAAGGAGGTGACGACGATTGATATAAGATCCAGTAAGAATCTACTTCATATTGCACTTGTTTCACAGTTTGAACTATTCAAGAGTACTATTTATCGGGACACTTTAGATAAAAGCTTTTTATTGCTATTAACTTGAACTTCTAGAAAAGTCACGTTTCTGAGTTACTTGTAAACCTCGAAGACGGTTCAAAGCAGCAGCTAACTCCAAACGACGAGGTCTCGCATAGTTGCCGAAAATAGCCCTACCCGGTGCGATACAATCTAGTCCTTTTTGATCAATCAGCACTTCAATAGAGTCTAATAACTCTCTAATAACGCGCTTTCCGTCGATTAATCCAGCATCCAACAGCATATCCAGTGTATCAGCGACTGCTCGCGTCTGACTTGGGTCTACAAGTTGTTCGACTGCATCAAGTTCTATTTCCCCCGAACCGAATTCAATTGTATACAAGTCAGTAGCACGTATGCGTCTTCTGCCGCCACGTCTAGCACCTTCTAATGAAGCTGGTATTGGAGCCCTCATACAAGGCAGCATAAACGTGTCTGAATCCTTGCGTTCCGCTTCTATAGCCATAGAAGGCAATTCAGTCACAATCTCTTTCGCGCGTTTTGTGACATCATACGGCCGATATGAATCCATAAGAATAACTGTATCGCAAACATCAAAATAGTCACCAGAACCGCCTATCACTAAAATTGTTGATATTCCAAATTTTTCATACATATCACGAACTCTAGATATGAAAGGCGTGATCGGCTCTTTATCCTTACTAACTAACACCTTGAGAACGAGTAAGTAAATTAATTGGGTTTAAAACAAACAAGACCTACCTGCATACGTCTGTCACGAATCATGAAATTAGTAGCACATGTATCTTCGTCAACCAAAAGTGTAGTTGCACCAGCTTCTACAGCTTCCATAATGTTCGCTGCTTGTGAAGTGCTTCCCGAAGCATCCTCTGTGGAGAAAGATTGCGTATCCTTTCCAAACGGAAGATTCTTAATGAAACTCGAGATATCTACGCATGTCACTGCACGTCCATCCTCAGCCCGAATTTTGGTAGTATTAGGATCTACGCAAACAAATTCTCTACCATCACCTCTAATATGATTATATATACCGACTTCAAGTGCTTGGAGTAAGGTTGACTTTCCGTGAAAGCCACCACCAACCTAGTAGAGACATTTAAATCGGTTCAGCATTCGAAAGTAACCCTTACAATCAGTGTAACACCTTCTGGAATGCCCATGCCAGTAATCACACCATGATTAGGAAGACGAAACGAAACTCGCATACTTTCAGGACTTTCAAAATGTACAACACCACTGCCTATCAATGGCTCATCGCTAGCTCCACTTTTCCTCGGCAAAACTGCACCATCTGCAACAAATGCAATTAACTTCATAGACTTTAAATTGCTTCGTAAAAATTCTTGGTCTTCCGCTACTTTGATATGATCCATCAACTCATCATAATCCAAATTTTCCATTAGACAAGATGACGTCACGACTTGCGGCAAACCGTCGATGAGGATTTCCTTCGCACGATTACCCTCTGATATGTTGTCACTCAACATTCCAAAAAGTTAAAAGCACAAATACCAATTGTACGTCCTCTTGCGGGTAATGCTACTGTAAAGCGCAATTCGACAAATTTATCAGTGAAAACACAAGAAGAACGTTCCAAAATATGCTGCTTCGGCTTGTCTATGTTCAAATTTGCTCCCTTTGAACCACCCCAACCTCTGTTTGGAGCAGCTTTATCTAAGTGAAGACCATGACAACTAGCCCAAAACTTCCGTGTTATAAAATCTCTTAAAGCGACTTCTCGTGGTTTGGAATTATAGGTTTGCTCAGGAAATCCTGCAATATTACGAGGAATAAGTACCCTGTCTAAAGTTAACTTCATACTATAGACAAGTGTGTACACTTACCTGAATCTTGAAGGAGGTGCAAACGGATCGCTCTGAATGTTCTCCACTGCTAGGAAGAATGAAGGGTGTCTCCAACCTCCATAGAGATCCTTGTATGCTGGATATCTTTGACCATCGATTCGAATCAGGAGCTTTCCCACTGTTAAAGTAACTTTTAAAGAAAACAGAAACAAACCTTTCGCAAATCTTCCCAAGTACCACGCAATTCTTTGGAACCTTCTTCGGACCGAATGTCTTGAGTCTATAAAAAGACAATTAAACTGGCAATGAAAAACATAGACTATGCAAACCTCAAACAATTCTTTGCCGGGAACCTCCCGGGTATATTCTGGTAATACATAACGTGGTCTTCTGGAATCTTGAAGCTTTCGCCCAGAAGAAACACCTCTTTTGAATACAGAACCCACACGTTTCTCACTCATTAACTGTCTACAAGACCTTAGAAAACCCTTAAGATATCTAAAAAAACTAAATAACTAAACCGATACCCAAAAAAAGAGGAACTGCGAGAAGTGAAACCGCACAGGGAATTCCACATTCAGAAAAAAACAATGCGAAGAATAGTTTATTCTTCTTCCGATGACATTTCAGAATATTTGTGACTCTAAACTACATCATAAATTTCCGCGATTTGCTTGTGCTTTCTCTACACCCTCGAAGAGATTTCTAAAGTTACCAGCTCCAAAACCTTCGTGATTATGACGTTCTATGGCTTCAAGAAAAAAGGTCGGACGATCTTGGACTGGATTGGATAAAATTTGAAGCAAATATCCTTCTTCATTCCAGTCCAAAAGTATACCAAGGCGTTCAAGCAACGTCCAGTCCACTTTGACCTACAGATAATTTTTCAAACTTCTAAAAATGCATATATATTGTGTTACATACTTTTGAACCAACTTTTTCTTTGGTTTGTTTATAATAATTTGTAGGCGTTTCTATAAATGTGAGACCTCGCTTCCTCCAAGCAGAAACATCTCTGATGATATCTTTACTTAATAGTGCAACATGCTGAATACCTGGACCACCACTGTACTCAACGAATTCCTGTACCTGGCTTTTACCCTTTCCTTTCGAAGGCTGCGTTATCGGCATTTTAATAACTTCATTTGCGTCCGCGATAACTACTGTACTTAATCCTGTGTACTCAGTGTGAATAACTCTGTCATCTGCAGCCCAAAAACGATGAAATCCCAGAACACTTTCATACCACGACACGACTTTCTCTACACCATTTTCACCCTGATTACAAACGCAATGGTCAATCCTTACAAAATTGGGTTGTGGAAGAGCTTGAATATATGGATCCTCGTGAAGCTGTTTGAATCCTGGTAAAAACTTTCCAGTATATTGACGTCTTTCTACAAAAGTATGCCATATACCTCCAAAAGGAGCTTCGATGGTTGCTGTGATCACTAGACCATACTCATCCTGTAGTATTTGGGGTTCCTTGATAATTTTTGCACCTTGAATAACACAATGTTCAAATGCTTTCTTGCAGTCGGCAACCTTTCTTTTGTTAATACTCAAACAGAAAATCAAAAAAGACTTACGCGGAAAGCTACATCTTTAACAGCGTCTCCGTGACTTTGAACAAAGTTATGGAAGTTGGTTTCGTGAGCATCAAACGTACTGGTGAACACAAAAATGACACCACCATTTTGTACAACATATGAGCAATATTTCCTTGAACCAGTTTCTAAACCAGAATAAGCAATTGGTGAAAATCCAGCGCGACATATAAAGTACGAAGCTGCTTGAGTAGCGTTTCTGGTCCAAAAGGACACATGGTCGAAGCCTAAAATTTCGACAGACATAAGGCAGTTTCGGACAGTAGAAAAAATCTACAGATATGCTACGATTTCTAATTGATTGATGATGTTCAGAACTTTGGACATTATTGTGTAAACTATTCTAGGTTCAGAAAATCATCACCCTAATCAATGAAACTCGCAGCTGTGCAATTTTTAGACTAGTATATAATTCAAAGACATAGTGAAAGCTTATACGACATCTCTACAACTCTGAATAACTGATTCTCTTCTGTCAAAAACAAAAATTGATATATGTATATATACTTATTTATTTATGGGGGCTTATTCTCACTCAAAATACAAAGGAGTCATTTAAAGATTCGAATAGAATTATCAACAATCACGGCAATATTTACGCACTTTGTAGCTAAGATTAGTTCCATAGATGCCATCACACCAAGTAAATATGGAAGCATAATTTCCTGAATACAAATAATGATGATAGTCATGGTGTTCGGTTCCACCGTAAAAGGACAAAAAAGAGTTAAGGTTCCAAGGAAACTCATATCCAGAATGAATATCTACTGCTTCATACTGTCTCATCATGAGCCATACCCATAAAGTAAAAAGATGCGGTCCAACTACTAGTGGACCCAAAAACGTCGGAACGCCTAAAAGGACCACTTCAAGAGGATGCGCGTAAGTGGCAGCTAAAGCAAACGGAGCACTATATTCGTGGTGCACATAGTGAATGTTTTTATATGCCCAAGTTGTATGCAGCCAGCGGTGCAACCAATAGTTCCCGAAATCTTCGACAAGAAAGAAGAAAAAGACTTGGACCACTACGATGAAAAGACTGGGTAAAGGAAGTTCTCTTGTGACTCCTATAGCCTTAAATAAAGGATAGCTCAAAGCTATCATCGGCAACATGACAAAAAAGAACAAAATAAACAAATTAAGACAACACTTTTGAAGGTTCTTCACCACGAATTTAGTTCATGCCCAAGGTTCTCTTAACACACTCACCGCCTTGGAAGGATACCGAAAAGTCTGCACCTTGTACCTTTCGAAAAAGGGTACTTTCAAAACATCAAGAAGAAAATACGGTAGACAGCCTAGAAAATAACCGCAGACAAGTGAAAAGAACAAGCCCCAAACAGTCATTGTGAAGTCACTGTAACTACCACAAAGAAACGCCCTAAAGAAAATCACACTATACATAGTGAAAAAAACTCAAGGTACCTACCATCCTTTGTGAACGAGTCCAGAGGAAGTAAGCAAAGCTAAACTAGTCAATTCAAGAATCATTCGATTCAAGCATCAACCAGCTGTGTAAGACAGCGGAGAAACAAATTTGGGGGCGTGCATGAAGAGTTTCAAGAGGCCAAGATATTCTCTAAGAAGAGCAACAAGGCATGGAACAGGGCCTGTACCAACTATTAGTAGGAACCATGTATTGTTTCGTTTTCCTGTCAAGTGTCAAACCGAAAGTAATATAGCACAGTCGCAAAAGCTACCAAGTCAAAGGTCGTCTGTCAATGCCTCTGTAATCGTTGGTAACTTTTCAGAGCCTCCGAAGTCTGAATATTTTGTGAAGTATAAGTATTCACTATATAGAACAGGAGTGAGACAAAAACACTCGTTGCAAACCAACTTTTTCCCTCAAAGTTCACCAGTTACTTCGCACTATAGAAGTTCCTTCATAGGGAAGGATTTAAAGCACACGCACTCTACCACTTTTAAAAACAAAGTGCTCGTGAACAAAGTAAACGTTCAGTCAAATAGTAGTAGTGCTGAACTAGTCAATAATTCAGAAGAGAGCAACAAGAAAACCAAAGAAACACCTTTGAAAGTTGCTCAAAGTGGCAAAAGTTACTTTACTTATGGCAGAAACAAGAAACTTAAGTCTGAACTATGTTTCTTCTATACTAGGTTTGGACTCTGTACAGATAAACAGTGTCGCTTCATTCACGACCCTGAGAGAGTACGCAAGCTTCAAATGGTTTACTTATGTCTTTGATACAGTTGAGCAGGTTTTTGTTTGTCGACGGTTTATTAGTGGCTCTTGTCAGAATCCGGGTTGTAAATTGCTGCATACCCGAGAGGAGAATAGGATGCCTGTTTGCTTGAGGTTCTTAAGTGGGTTATGTGGGAAGAATAACTGTCCGTTTGTTCACGTTAATATTGGCAAAAATCCTGAAATATGCAAAGATTTTGTCTTCAGGGTGGGTTTGTACCATTTGCAATGTGCAGAAGATAACAATGGAAGTAGGGTTTTTGTAGTCAGGGACGTCTATGTTGCAGACTGCACACTTGGGATTGCGTCGAGGCAAGTGCTTGACGACTCAGATTTCATTCTCTTATATCATCATCTAGTTTTGGAAAACGGGTCAATGTTCAAATTTTGAGAAATGTCCATTGAGACACAAATTGTGTCAATTTGGGAAAAGAGAAAAAGTTCCATAGAATGGCTCAAAGAGCCTAATAACATGCACAGTTTGGATAGTCATGTGAGAGTTTGACCTCGTGGACCTTGACTGAATATATACCCTTCCAAATTTTCCAACCTCTCAGCCTTTTTGCTTCTTTAGTAGCCAGAGTGAGAAAGGAAATAAAATCCAATCATTAATTACATTCACATAACACTGATACATTTGTTAGTCATATATATTTACTTTTTTAGTCTTAGTTCGGAGTAACACCATGTCAGCTAAATTATGCCAACAGGAGAAGTGTCTCGTCACAAGACTTCCTTTGTGCGAAGCCTTTTCTGAGGGAAATCACTGGTTCCATCAGGGAAATCTTCGGATGCATCAAGCTTCGTTGGTTCTGCTTTGATTTCAAAACCCAAATCACTACCTGAAAAACTTTCCTTATGTTCAAAATTCTCCAGAGTAGAATCTTCAACCTCGTTGGCATTCTTGTCACGATCTTCACTTTTCCAATCATGGCTGCCTCCTTGAGACTTCCAAACTGAATAACAATCAACATGAAATATTTTTGTCCCTTCATCACCTCCTTCTTTGATAGCATCCTTATATACAAGAGCTTCCAGCTCGTCATCCCATTCCATTTCGAAACAGTCTCCACAAACAAAACATCTGTCTTCACAATCTCCTGCAAATACTTTGTTCTCATGTCGGTGTGTTTGATTTGCTTCCTCATCTACCTTCTTCAATTGTTGCTCTCGTTTATCTATGTTTATTTGAGAAGTGCCATCCTCAAAAATCATTGAAGATGAGATCATTCCTGAATTCCTTACAGAAGTGGTTCCTTGTATCCATTCATGAACACTCGAATACCACATTCGACATATCCCTCCTTGTCTCCGAGCTCTTAATCTTTTGTTCCACTCAAATAACCAATCTAGGTGTTGACGCAAGTCCTCTCTGGTTGCGAATCTGGAACCATCAGACTCACTCACTATTTGTAAGTCATCGTAAAGCTTACAAACGATAAAACCATGATCAAGTCTTCTTAAAATATTGAAATCTGTTATGATTTCGTCTTGCACTTGACAACTACTACTGACATCGCTCTCGAATTTCGAATTATTTGGAAAAATTTTTCTCTCTGAAACTAGTAGAGAAGATTCCGAATTCTGCGGAACGAGCTGGCTGTTGTAGCCTGACATAAGGGACTGGATTGCGTTCGCAATTACAGCTTCTTGTTCTTGGGCTTGTTGATTTTCTTGCAGAGTTTTTATCTGATTGACTATATTGTCGGTGTGCTGTTGCAGATATGGTACAAAGTTTTGTGCAATAATGTTAAAATTTGCATATTGGAGAATCACGGTTACAAGAGCTTGCAATGCATTTAATTGCTCTTGTGTTGGCATCATTCCACGGACTAGTTGGGCATTGATGGTATCTACTAACAGTTGAGTTTCCACTTGAAGCTGCTTCATCAACTCCGATGATGTGTCCAAGCGTGAATGGACACCACTAGCTTGCTTGCTGCTCGACTTTCTAGTTGGTTCGCTCTATCAAACAGTTAACTACGATATTATTGACACGTAAAATTAGCACTCACATTGTTATTCAATATTCCATGTTGCTGTAGACGCAAAAAGGCAGGAATTCTATTTTCTTTGGGCTTGGGCACTGGAACCTTTTCCTGGGCTCGTTCTAAATAAGAAACATTATAGTTTTGTGGTTTGGTATCGACATGACTATTTCCTGCTGTGGTCCTAAGCAAAACCTGGGGATTGACGTGTACAGCTTCGTATCCTTTCGTATTCTCCTGTATTTGTTTTTGAACTTCATTTGCTCGGACCTTCAATAATGAGATCAAGTTGTTTCCAAAATAGGGTGGCCAGGTTTCCAAAAGTCTCATCATGCTTTGTCTCACTGCTTTTGGCACGGTTCTGAAAGCCGAAAGAAACGTCGTCTGAAGATTCTTCTCGAAGAGGCTTCTGTAAGGTTCCCCAACATTTTTAACTATTGAATCTAGAAGATATAGTGCTGGCAACTTTTTATCTGGAGACACGGCCGCAATTCGTGACTCTATAGCTTTCACAATCGCTGATGCAGCGTGTTTATTTTCTGCAGCTATAGCAGTAAGGTTGTCGATGATAGGCTTGGAGTTGAAAGTGAGGTCTAAAAGAAACTCACTGTACTCTTTAGAAGCGTCCAAATAAGCACTGGGAGAGTCCATGCAACCTATGTGTTAGTGAAGGTGTTTGAGAGTCCGCTAAAAGTTGTTCTAAGGGTTACGAGTTCTAAACGAAGAGGGACGGCGCTCAAGAGATAACGGACTGCAGTGTTACTAGGAGCTGGCTAAAAAGGTTGCAACCTGTTTAAAGGCAAAGTTTGAAGTGTCTATACGTATGCAAAATATTTCGGAACCTCAAACCAAAAGGCTTTATCGCCCAAAATTCAAAATATACTTTAGCTTCAGCTGCGACAAACAAACCTACGGGAATGCCAAAATCGAAAAATGCCAAAGAGCGCCTTGAGAGAATATCGGCCTTTCAATTTCAGAAAAGATATCGAAAGTTTCTATCATTTGTTCATGCCTAGGAAGGTGATGTTTCTTCGAGGAGGAACAAGATTCAATAGAGAGTTAGGAAATAAAGAAATGCTGATGGATAGCGAAGTAAAGTAGGTTGGAGAATTTTGTAGGAATACGCAATGACAGATAAACCGCATGAGGAGTCCAAGAACTAAGACAGGAAGTTATAGAACCTCAAATAACCTTTAGGAAGACACAGTCTCGTTTCTGTAAGAATAATTTATAGGATTACAAAGACTAGTTGAAACGTATATATAAGTAGATTGGAAGACCAAAGATACTTTCGGAACATTTTCTTCAAATTCTCAGCGCAGGTTGGAGTTTTCATTGACCGGAACCAATTGCCAACTTACTTACATGTGCAGTACACGAATTGTGAAGGTTCTTTCGGCTCCTTTATGGTCCAGGTTATTCTTGAGACGCCAAAAATATGTTTGGTATTCGTTTAATAAACGTTATTCTAGAGAACTTTCTTCGCTTTCCGCGGAGGGAGCAGAAAATAGTAATCTGGAAAGAGATATCAACAAGCTGCGAAACGTCGGCATTTCTGCGCATATTGACTCCGGGAAAACAACGCTCACAGAGAGAGTTTTGTTTTATAGCGGAAGAATAAGGGAAATACACGAAGTTAAAGGGAAAGACGGTAAGGGTGCCACCATGGACTTTATGGAGCTCGAAAGAGAAAGAGGAATAACTATTCAAAGTGCTGCAACATCTTGCTTCTGGTAAGCCGTTAGACTTGAGAGTTTTCCTTTTCGGTTTTAATGGTTTTATAGGGCAAATCATCCCATCAATATAATCGACACCCCTGGTCACGTCGACTTTACTATCGAAGTTGAGCGAGCACTTCGAGTGTTGGATGGTGCTGTGCTAGTTTTATGTGCAGTTGGTGGTGTACAGAGTCAAAGCTTAACTGTTAGTAGACAAATGAACCGATACAAAGTGCCAAGGATAGCCTTCATAAACAAGTTAGATAGACAAGGAGCGAATCCTTTTCGTGTTGTACAGCAAGTATGTATTTTTTACTTTTCGTCCTCTTTGCTAATCTTTGTGAAGCTCCGAGACAAACTTCACAAGTGGGCTGCTCCGTTAGTTATTCCAATTGGTCTTGAAGAAGAGCTCAAAGGGGTCGTTGATATTATACGACGAGAAGCCTTATATTTTGAAGGACGATTTGGAGAACAAGTTGTTAGGAAACAAGTTCCGGAAGCTTTGGTTCATGATGTGAGGCCTAACATTCGTAAATATTTTTCGCAGTAGTGACCTATTTGCTTTTTCATTTCAGGTAGAGAAATATCGAAAGAGTCTTGTTGAGATGATAGCAGAACTAGATGAGTATATCGCTGATAAATTTCTTTCAGAACAAGAGATTTCTGAAGAAGAGTTGACAGGAGCTATTCGGAAAGTTACTGTCAATTTACAGTAAGTTCACGATATCTTCGAACAAGCATCTTAACTACTTTAGGTTTATTCCTGTCTTTATGGGGAGCGCTTTGAAGAATTGCGGAGTTCAGCCTCTTTTGGATGGAGTCGTTCAGTACTTACCGAATCCAAAGGAAAAGGAGAACATAGCCCTTCGCCTTGTGAGAAAGGAAGTAGATGGCGAAATGAAACAATTAGAAGAACCTGTTGTATTAAGTCCTTCAGCCGATGAAAAACTCGTTTGTTTGGCATTTAAACTAGAGGATGGACGATATGGACAGCTTACTTATCTTCGGTTGTATCAAGGCACTTTAAAGAGGGGAGACTACATTTTCAATTCTCGTACGAGTAAAAAAGTGAAGGTGCCAAGGTTGGTTCGAATGCATGCGGACGAAATGGAAGAGATTTCAGAGGCTGTTGCTGGAGATATTTGTGCGGTATTTGGTGTAGAATGTGCTAGTGGAGATACATTCACTGATGGAAAGGATACGTTTTCTATGGAGTCCGTGTTTATTCCAGAGCCAGTCATGAGTTTGGCAGTAAAACCCAAATCTCGAGAAACTTCCAACAACTTTACCAAGGCACTAGCTCGCTTTATGAGAGAAGATCCTACTTTTCACTTTTTCAACGATTCAGAAACTAAGCAGCTGATCATCAGTGGGATGGGAGAACTGCACTTGCAAGTTTATTTGGAACGAATGAAACGCGAGTATGGAGTGGAATGTGAAGCTGGACAGCCTCAGGTTTGTTTCTGATGTAAGAACTTTTCGTCGACAGCCAACTTAGAAGTTTAGGTTAATTTCCGTGAAACTGTGACAAAACGTACGAAGTTTGATTATTTACATAAGAAGCAGACTGGCGGTGCTGGTCAATATGGTGGAGTTATTGGGTGAGGAATCAAGTCATTTGTATTTTTTCGAAACTGAAAGGAACTGCAGTTATATTGAGCCCTCAGACGATTCACTGAATAACGAGTTTGTCAATCGTGTAGTTGGTAATGCTATTCCTCCAAACCTGATTCCAGCTGTTGAAGCTGGCTTTCGTGAAGCTTGTGAGAGAGGTTCGTTGACTGGCCATCGAGTACAAGGTGTTCGTATGGTATGCTGCCTATCTGTATGTTTTTTTAAAGTACTGAAATGTTATTTGAGGTATTGGAAGATGGAAAGAGTCACTCCGTTGACAGCAGTGAACTGGCATTTCGAATCGCAGCTATTATGGCGTTTAGAGAAGCGTTTCCTCGAGCTGAACCTGCAATTTTGGAGCCAGTTATGACTGTGGAAGTTCAGGTTAGAAGATTTTTTAATGATAGGATGAAGTTTGATATATCGTTAGGTCCCTACTGAGTTTCAAGGAACGGTCATGGGGGCCTTGAATAGGCGGAGGGGAATTATTATTAGCGCTGTGGATTATGGAGAACTTTCCGTTATTCAGGCCGAGGTAGCGTAGCTTTTATTTAAAAGTGCAAAATCTAATTTGAACAAGGTGCCTCTCTATGAAATGTTTGGATATGCGACAGAATTGCGTTCTATGACCCAGGGAAAGGGTGACTATACTATGGAGTATAAAGAACATCGAGAAACAACTCGACAAATTCAACAAATGTTAGTCGAAAAACATCAAAAGGAACAAGCGGAACGAAAGTAGTTAGATTTATTCAAGTTTGCTAAATGGAGTGTTGAATTTTGTTTTGGTCGAATATTATAGGCCTAGTCTCCGGTAGATATTACGTTTTTGTAAAATGGTTTCTTTTCTAGGAGGAGGAACTACGACACTGTTACGATCATTCCTTAATAATCCAAACAAACCTGTTCCTAGAGGCACAGGCATACCCATAATGACACATTCTGAAACCCCAACCACATCATCTTGTGTCTTATATAGAGCAGCATCAAATAAATGATCCACTGTCTTCTCAAATGAAGCCAGCATTATTGCCGAGGTCTTCATCTTTCCAATTCCGAACCTGGTGATCCCTAAAATTTCACCTCGAAAACTACCAGCAATAAACTTTTCTGCAACGATTAGGAAGTCACAACTTACCTCATCACATCCGCCAATAGCGCAACATGTCTTGTATCTATTGACATGCCATGACTTGCCATAGTGTACTGAATTTCCGAGGCAACCGTCTTCCTGGCAGCTTCAATTCCTAAAACCTTCTCAACAATTATTACATGGTTGGACGTCGTGCAAGTTCCCTCAACTCCCGCAGTAGTCATCACTGATAACAAGTCAGAGCCTTCAACTAGTAACTGGTAAGATTTGTCGTCTTTCTGATGAATCACAGCTCTCTTAATGGACGAGATCCCCTTGTATTACATATTCAACAGACTTTTGCATTCAATGAAGTATTCTCACTTACTTGTACAACTACATGAGGTAACTGACGTTTCAGAGAATTCATTTGGAAATATAAGTCTCCCGAGGCTTTGGATGGAACAAATATATGCAATCTATCATCACTCACTACAGCAATATCTATCGACATCAGTTACAAAAGCTGAAAACGAGATTAGAGAAATTTATAATAAATTTACCGTTCTCCTTTAAACGTAACTTTGAATTGTTTACAATCGCATTTCGGACGACATTTACATCAACATCTAACTGTAACCTGGAGATCAACTCTTTGTCCAGCTGCAGTGATATATAAACTTGATTCCTCCGATAGACTTCCTTTATAAAATTGCAAATTTCTCCCAAAGTCGTCCTTTCAATTCGTCCCTTGACGATTCTCGCAATAGTGATATCGTTAGGAGAAACAAGCTCTGCGGTTATAACAGGAGTATTGATGATTGGAGAAGCATTGATAATTTCTTTGATTCTTGGAACTCCCAAAGTAATGTTCATAGAAGCAACTCCAGCAAAGTGAAAGGTTTTTAGAGTCATTTGTGTTCCAGGCTCACCAATACTTTGTGCCCCGATCGCTCCCACCGCAGTGCCAGGTTCTATCTGATTCGAATTGAATAAAACTTCATTTACTCATTACATTGTATGTACGTACTTTGAATCTTTGCAGTTTGTGAACGATTCTACGTACCAAAGCATCCAATTGCGATTTTCTCAAACCAAACGCCGCATCGATTGTGTCTCGAAGCATAGAGCCTGAAATTAGCTTTGAATAAAAGACACTACATGACGGTTTGCAAACATATACCATTTGAACAAGATGACGATATTCTCTCAAGTTCCATTTCATGCTTTCTAGCGATGGATGAGAGGAAATTTTTAACGTCCCTCAGAATCTTTAAATGGCTCTCGCTATCTTCAAAAGCTCCAAAAGAATGAAAAGTTAGTGAATCGGCATAATGTATCACTTCATCTGGATTCAAACGAGGCTCTCCTTTGCCTACGTGTTGAATGTCATCCGTGCTCAATATGAAATTGTATACTCGAACTTACTCTTTATTGTACCTTCAGCCTTCGAATCTTCTAACAGCTGTTCCAAATTCAAGGGACAGTTTGCACCAGATGCACCCTCCACAACAGTAGGATCCATGCCATCGTCCCCATACAGAAACTGTACAACTGTACCGTCACTATAACGGACAGTGTTATCATAATTCACACTTAAATCTTCCAACGCCTGAAAAATAATGTCAAAATAAAATAATGCTTTCTATTAGAATTCAACCTTCATCAGTCTGCGTTGCATATATCCTGTCTCAGCTGTCTTGACTGCTGTATCGACAAGCCCTTCTCGTCCTGCCATTGTGTGAAAGAAAAACTCTTATAAGAGTAAATATATGACTTTGAGTAACTAAAATCGCTGCAATTTTACCTGTGGCAGTCATTCCACTAAAGAAACTATTCTTCACAAAACCTTTGGCCCATGGAGTTCTTGCACTCATTCCACTCGCAAAATGTGGCAAAGCTCTTCCAAGAAACCCATCTGGTACACGACAACCATTCACTGTTTGTTGTCCAACGCAGCTAATCATTTGAGAAATATTTATGTTGCTTCCCTTTGATCCGCACAATGCCATAGCCATTGCACTATTAACCTGGGCAGAGTCACCAAGTTCAACAACTAGGTCAAGAATAAATTACCTTTGGGTCGATGGCTGCAATGCAAACTTTTCCAGCGTCTTCTCGAATTTTGGATAAGACGGCATTAATGGAAACTTCAAGAGTTTGTTCCACAGTACAACCAGGCCTAGCCTCCAATGTTCTACTTTGAAAAGCTTCTATCAAATCATCACAGTCCTTATATCCTGCACGAAGTAGTTCATCTTTTCTGGCTTGTAAACTACAGGAGGAAAGTGACCAGCTTTGTTTGCTTCATATAAAGCTACACTTACATCACAGATGGAGTAACATCATCAATACCCAAAGAAAATCCAAAATCGGAGAACCAACGAGAAGCAAATTTGGAAATCATTGACATAGCACTGGCTGCAGCCGAATTGCCTCCTAACTTGAATGTTAATGTTATCCAAAATAGCTGAAACAGCAACTACCTTCTCTTGAAAGTAAATAAAACAAGGAACGTTTGGAACCACTACCCAATGAAGCTTTCCCCAGCTGTCCACATAACAGCTCTCCATTACGAATATAAACGTAACCATCATTTTTGCAAAGATGAGGCGCCAGGAAGTTACTCTCATATCCCGACTAGAATAAAATTTCATCACCTACAACCAATCCAAAATAGGAGACCTACTGGATGTGACCATTGTTTTTCATATACATAAGCAGTCATTGTCTGAAACCCCGGACACAATCGTAGAATGAACGAAATTGCTTGTTTTCCAGTCCACATTTCAAAAGGTTTAATTATCGCAGGATTTGGAAGCTTCAAATCATATGCGACGCTTTGCAATCCAGAAAGAAATATAATACGAGTAAATTCGGCCCTGTCTAAATACACATCTTTACATGTGAATTTATAACAAGCCTTTCAAGTCTTTGTTATTCATTTAGAAGGACAATTGAAACCAAAACTAAATACCGAAAGAAAATCTTGAGTTGCTGCAATTAGAGGCTCTCCATTACGAGGGGTAACCAAATTCTCTTGGACACACATGAGAGTGGCGGCCTCAGCTCTTGCCTCTTCAGTCTGAGGAACGTGCATGTTCATCTCATCGCCATCAAAGTCTGCGTTATACGGAGTACAAACACATCTTCCAATACAATAAGAATGCTAAACAAAGAACTCAGAAACTTACTCGTTTAGGCGGAAAGTTCGGCACGGAAAAACTTTCACTCTGTGGCACATGATTGAAACCCGATGTAGACTTGGTTGTCTGTTGAACAAAACTATATCATTATCTCTCAAATGACGTTCAACTACAAGTCCAAGTGATAACTCTTGTGCTATCTTTTTACGATCCCCGTAACGAAGAAAACGCTTCGTCCCTATTTGACTGAAGTTAGGATTCCATAAATACACAGCTTCCAAACTTGCCGTCCTTCAGCTCAACAAAATTGGCTCCAGGATGAATATCAGGACCATTCAAGACTGCCTTCGACAACTGCTTGATATTATACTTTGTAACTCGTTCGGGAAATGTCAACTGCTTTGCAACATAAACTGGAACCCCAACTTGCTCAATGCTTAGATTAGGATCGGGAGAGATAACCTACAAGTGGACTTATACTACAAATTGACTTTTTAAAAGCATTCATTACTGTTCTGCTTGAAAAATCGACTCTCTTTCCAGAAAGATTTCCTCGGAATCTTCCTTGTTTTCCTTTCAACCTCTGGCAAAGACCCCGGATAGTCTTCCCACTAGTAGCGGAGGGTGGCAATCCAGGAAGATCAGCATTGATATACCTTTGTTTTTCTCAGCTAAATTCTAAGGCAAATCTGCATGAATGCTAGTTAATCACCTGGCACATTCCAACTGCAGCAGTTCCCAATCATCCATGACAAGTGAAGCGTTTCCACCGTTTTCCATCGCTTGTTGAAGAATGCAATTGATATGCACAATTTCAGACAGCTTCATGGTCAAATCATCCTCATTTGACCCAATCGTTGGATCAGAACAAACTAACAACGAATTCAATATGAATACAATCAAAATTCTAAAATACACACCGCTAGGGCGAAGACAAGCAGGTGGAACTGGAAAGTTGGTTAAGAGCAAATTCTCTGGTCTATTGTAAGTAGGATCCATTCCTAAGAGTATAACATCTTCTGGGGGAATTCGACTAAGGATTTCCAAAACTCTGAGTGGATTGAGATCGTCTACTGCCTTCTGAATATGCGGGCTAACGTCACTCAAATTGTCCGCGACAAAATGAAATTTTCTCAAAAAATTCTCCTAAGGAGCCTCAAAAATTTAGCAACTACCAAGGTAAACGGAACTTACCTTTTCTTCTTCAGTGTCTTTGGCTGACGAAAACGGATCGTGTATTAATTTCATCACTCCAACCTATGGTCACTTTGATAAGCATATTCAACTTGATATAGTATATCTTCCCCATAATACCTTTTTCACAGCTCCATTGGGAGAGCCACAAAAAGGACAGTGTTTTCGAGACTTGCAAAGTTTTAGAATATTCTTCAATACTGCCTTTCTTTTGGACGGATTAGCTCTCTACGAAATAGTACAATTCAATAAAACTTTTCTGAAATTACAAAAGTTACCGTGATTGGCGATCGAAGTTTATGAAGAAACTCAGAAACAAGCTCCTTTGGCAGTAGGACTCTTGAACAGGCTTTGCACACACATTGCAATATGAAGTATGTGGCTTTAAAGTAACCCATGTGAAAAACAGGAAATGCCAAGGAAATGTCGCCGAAATGTCCAACGCACGTAGCCAGTGACTCTCCACAGGTCTGACACTGGCCAGTTTTATCAGAAGGTCCAAGATGAAGGTCCAATACTCCACCAGCTGCAGGTTTCCTAAGTGGCTGTGTGTAAAGGTCTCGGCTGGTAATTCTCGTTACCGACGTCCTCGCCACATCTTCTGCTCTAGGAACACAAAATTGTATACAAGATATCTTAACTGGAGTATCTTGTTCCTTAACTACCTCTAGTTTTATAGGCTGAAACGTAGAAACTGTCGATGACATATTACACTTGGAAAATACGTCAACCGCAGAACATCGAGAAATTTTTTTCCAATTTCTCACTGTCTCTTAGAAAACTTGTGTTGATGATTTCCATGAGAAGACTCTCTTTTATGATTCCGAAGCTCCGAAGAACTATATCACAAACTGCAGATAGGTTTGATTGTGTACTTAAGTGCTGTTTGTTGTTTTAGTTACTTTAGTGGTGTAGGTCTCTCGTAGGTTTTATAGGACTTGGAGCCATGGGTAGAATATTCACTCGGAACTTTTCTTGGCAAAATTTTTATGTAAAGTTTAGGTAGCCCAATGGCAACAAACTTGGTACGAAATAGCAGAAGGGTGTTGCTATATGATAAAGATGTGGATAAGGCTCAAAAGTGTGTTAAAGGACAATATATCTTAAGGACAAGTTGAAAGTCTTTTGCAAGGTTAGCTAAACATCTTAATATGGAAGTTGCCCAAAGTGTGCATGAAATTACCACAAGAGTATGTTGCTTTGGTTTCTCTATTCTTGGATAATCAAATCTAGGCAAAATTTGTTATAACTATGCTGCCGGAGTCAACTCACGTGGAACAAGTCTATTTAGACAAGCATGATGGTAAGTAAAGATTCTGCAGTTAGTGAAGAGTCGTAAAAAATGATGTTGGATACAGGACTATTGGAAGCTGCTCAGTCTGGATCACTGTTTATTGATTGTTCGACTATCGACGTCAGCACGTCACGAAACGTCGCGGTATGTGTTCATTGAAGCATTTTTTTAAGACTGATAAGTCTTTGGGAAGAAATTCGCTTCAGAGTTAGGTCGTCAGATAAACTTCCTTGATGCTCCAGTTTCCGGTGGCGTTCCAGGTGCTGAAAAAGGAACTTTGACATTCATGGTATACTTTCTATAAGTTGATATATTTTTGTTTATTTCTTTTAGGTTGGTGGGACAGAAGATGGTTTCCGTCGAGCAGAAAATATTTTGCGTTGTATGGGTAAGAATATCGTTCATTGTGGACCTGCGGGAAATGGACAAGTAGCAAAGGTTGGAAAATGTGTAAGATGAATGATTGTTCCATGCTCATGCGTAAAAGATGGCAAATAATTTGGCTTTGGCTATATCAATGGCAGGAGTTTGTGAAGCTATGAACTTGGGCGCAAAGCAAGGAATGGATCCTCGAATTCTTGCCAAGGTGATGAATACTTCCACAGCAAGGTTGGTTACTGGTTGCGAATGCATCAAAATATAAAAAGTGTTATGGATGTCTATATAGATGTTGGAGTAGCGATACTTACAATCCGGTGAGTTTTTCGTGGACTGAAAGGGAAGTTTTAATGCCATGAAGGTTCCTGGTGTGATGGAGAATGTACCTGCTAGTAGAGATTATGAAAATGGTTTTCGAACGGAGCTCTTGTTGAAAGACATCGGGTTAGCGATGCGTGCTGCAAATGATTTGAACATGTTGGTATTCATTTGAGAATGGAAATTTTAATGACCATATGCTGGCTTTTAGTAAATTGTTGGTTGGTGAACATGTAGCTTCATTATATGAAAATATGCGCAAACAAGGATATGCCAAGAAAGATTTTAGTGGACTGTATGTATGACTTTGTTTTTGTGGCTAGAAATTAACTCTCTTTTTTAAAGTTACCGCTATCTCTATCAAGGCCCATCTGTGACGGAGGTTGTCGCTTCATTGAAGACCAAATATTGAAATATCTTATTCAGATAATAAAAAACTCCGTGAAAAGGGCAAGTTTTCACAAACCTTTGTTCGAAATAAAGGATTTACATATTATTTCAACCAGTATCTCAACGTTGGCGTTATTAGATACAGAGAGATTTGAAAGAAAAATGATTCTACTTAAAAAAAGCAGAGTGTGCTTTTGGAAATATATCGATCGAATATGTTATTTTTTCTTTATCTTATTTGTGAAGACGGCATATTGATACTGGTTTGTATTGCGCATAGTTATATATAGGAACGATTTCGAATAAAATCATTTTTTGTATATAGAGATTGTGGCGACGGGCTTTGGTATTCAAATGCCCTGGTGGCGCTGTTGTGCCTTCAACTCTAAATTACGGAGGTTATCGCAGTTCTATATAGTTAGAGAACTTCGTTCGAGTTGTGGAAATTTATGCAGAGAAGAATTTTTCCTTGTGAATAGCTCCAAGTGTCTGTTCGTCGACAAAAACCAGAAGACCGAGGGATACACTCAAGAACTAAAGGTTGCGCGCCCAGAAGAAGATGACTACTCAAAGATAGATTCCAGTAGACCAGTCGACTATGTTTTGGACGCGTTCCGTTCAGCGATAGATGCTGCACAGAAGGCTGTTCAAAGCAACCCATTAGATGGCCCCGATAGTGTGAACAAGCAACGGTCACAAGCGGAGGAGAAGAAAGACGACGCAAGAAATTTAAGTTCTTCGAGAATTTCGCAGTCGAACTACGGAGTAGAATCAAGTATCTCCACTTCATCTTCGTCTGAAGACGACATACTATTGCAGCTTGATTTGAACAAGTTGAACAAAATTGGTCTATCACCTTGGAAAGTTTTAGACGACTTCTCACAACAGCTGGAAACAGTAGAAGCACCGAACCCCGAAAAGACTCCTAGACTGGCAGAGCCGCTGAGAAGAGTGCTGCAAGAAGATGGAGTTGTACGAGTTGAAGAGCTACAAGAGAATACTCAAGAAGGACTAGATTTATCTTCGAAGGAGGAAGGTGATGTTCTTGATAGAAGCTCATTCATCGTTGAGAATTTTTTCAAGTATATTCCAGCATCAAAAGATCACAAGCTGCAGAGACTTGCCAAAAATTTCAACCTACGTTATACTGGTTCAACTTCTTCTGTAGTTCCAGTCCTAAGCAGCATATATCATGTATTATCAAGATATCGGAGGACATCTATCGATGGTTTAAGTGGCGATTTTCGTAATTCCACGACAGCTTTTACCAGATATATGTTGAAACCAGTCACTATTATTTTGTATCCAGGTGGCAACGGTCTGTATAACATTGATAAAGCAGAAGAGAAGCCTCCAAAAGTTGGTGTTCTTTCCGATATTGGGCATTTGTTGGAGAAGCTTTTTACGCAAGAGAATATGTCCGTGAAGAAGCGAATAGATTTTTCTTCTATTAATATCCCCAATGTTCAAGACAGCGGTTCTGAAGAAAGGCCATATCACAATGCTGAATATCGTTTCGCAAAATTCGGCAATTGCCTCTTTCGCGCTCAAGTTGACTGCTATGACCCATCTACAGAGAAATTTTTTGACGTGAAAACTCGAGCTTTAGCAGCAATTCGCTATCAAATTGAACGATATGAGGACTACTTGGAAAAGGAGATTACGAAAACAACAGGCTATGAGGACTCCTTTGAGAGAGAACTGTATGATATGATTCGCTCGGTCTTTATCAAATACGCTCTTCAGTTTCGAATAGGAGGGATGTCCGGTGCATTTGTTTCCTTTCATAGTATTGGCAAGGTATGTCCTGTTGACCGGTTTTTGGAATTTTTTCATCTGTTTTGAAAGGTTTCTGGTTATCAATATATCCCGTTGGAAGAGATTGAGAAATATGTCTTTGGTAATGAAGCGTGGGCGGGGAAGTCTTTTTGTTCATCGATGAAAATTTTTGAGGATTTGTTGGACAACATGACCCATTGTTTTCCTGGTGAAGATCCTATTAGGGTAACGGTCGGTATTATATTCATTAATTTTATTAACTTCGTCGCTGAGATGGAAGTAGATTGATCCTTTCAGTCACACTGGAGTTTTGAACGTTTATGTAGCCCGCCTTCGAGAAGGAGCCGCCACTCTAGAGTGGCGAAATATTCAAGAATTTGCCTTTAACAAGAAAGTAGAAGAATCACTCAAGATTCTTCCAAATGATATCAAGAAATTTCAGGTTCATATCGCCACTTTTGTAAATGCTCTTTATTCTGGTGCACCGGTAAGAATATTTTCCACTTTTAACGTTGTGTTTCATACTAATATTTCCGTCTCAAGGTTAATTATACGAAAAATGATCAACTTCATCTGTTGTATTCTATACGTGAAATTCCAGTCTGTCTGAATGATTATATCAAAGCTTTGAGATTGTCGCTGGGTCTTGAAGATATGCCCCAGTCTCGACATTTTTCGGTTTCTGGGCTTTCTTCAACAGAATTGGCCGATATATTGGCTAGCACTTCCTTTCAAGCTTTTCATCTTATTAAGTAATTTCTTCTGCATAATTAACTCTTGGAACTTTCTGACTCCTTTCTATACAGCATTCCTTTACGGGTTTGTTCCCAGAAATTATCGAATAGAATGCGCATGTCGAAGACGATTGCACCGCAGATTTCTTCCCGTAACTGACGTTCCAAGACTTTCTCTTTTACTGCCCTGTATAGTACATGGCGTAGATGTGGCACTTGTATTCCTTTCTTTATCATCCTTACAAGACGTAGAGAGTCTATGCCACACTAAAATTACATTTTAGATTTTACAACAGAAAAATTTGGTATAGTAACATACCGAGGGATCGTATAGGAGAGCAACTAATATTCTTCCATCGTTCTCTGCAAATCCTAAGAGTCTATTCCACAAACTTGGGTCTTCATGTTCCTTACAAAACTGAATTGCTTCGTTCACTTGATCCATTTCAAAAAGAATTATATCCATAGCAGTGGTCAGATCACCCATTCTACTCAATATATAAACTCTTTCTTTGGCAAACTTGTTTTCACCAAACCGTGAAAGTTCTTCCAATGCATTATCTAATGAGTACGAGCTGCTTTCTTTTAAAAATTGCAGAAGCTTCTCAGGAGCACATTCTGCGTAAAGAGAAACTTGCATGGGATGAAATATTACAGCTCTTGAAGGATCTAATGAAAAAATGAAATCGAGATATAGAAATAACCATCTAAAAAGACTCTTTAGAATGCTATGATGTTTGCACGATATTACTACCTTCGATTGCCAAGTTCCTGAAGGATAGGAACCACAACTTCAGGAGGCAGGAGAGATTCTGGAGCATTTCCTAAAAGTTCACTGGCCTTTTGTTCGGAAATTTCAAACAGTCTTCGGAGGGACTCTCTACTACGAATGGCTTCATATAGAGCATGTTCTCGAATATAGTCAAAGCATCTGATGTCTCCCTCTTCAAATATCAACTCCAATGTTTTGTCATGCCTTCCACTACTCGTATAAAGAGTCGCCATAGCTTCTTGTAACTTAGAAAGAACCCCTTCTTCATTGGAACCCAATGTCGATGTATTCTTCAATCTTTCAATCGCTAGTTCAACCTCACGACTAATAAGTCCTAAGTTATAGACATCTGCTGGCCAGGTGTTTATAACTTCAGTAAATAGAATGGGATTCACCTGCAGTAAATATCGCAAAACTTCATCATATGTCGCTGATGATAACGTTGGATCCCGGCAGGGAATGGCAAATACAACAAATTGCAGCTTTCCAATTTGAATCAGTTTCTTAATCCAAAACTCCCATCGACGTTTTCGACTTTCCAAAGTATACAAACCTTCTGAAGACTCTTTCTCCATTCTTTTGGCAGTTAAGTGTGCCTCGATGCCGCTCGTGAAGCTTTCAAATTCGGTATCTTCCCCATGAATCATGCGAGGAAGGACAATTGCCAACGTATCATAGTCACCTTTTTCCAACAGATGATTGATGAATCTTTCTCCAAGTTTCTCAATACTGAAACCACATTCCAAAAGTTGGTTAGCTGGTGCCATCTCCGCAATTTCAACAGCTTCTCGATATCGTTCTCTATCCAACATCCATTCTATTCTTTCTATATATGAAAATGGACGCAAGCTAAGGACATTCCACACAGCTCCAGTCCGTGCCTGTGAGGCATCATTCTCACTATTCTCGTCATAAACATCTTCTATATGACCTGATAGTAAAGATTCTGGTAAGCAAGTACTGAACGCTAATAGTATAGGTTCACCACCAGGAATATGAACCAAACCTTGTCTCGATGGTGATAAAGAGTTTTTCTGGAGAGGTTCTTCCGAAAAGAGAATATTATTTATCACTTTTCTTTCTGTTCTAGTTTTCGACAAATCGTTTTGTGACAGGCTGACGATGACAAGCTCCATTGAAAATGTGTCCGCAATCGGAGCAACAGTTGTCTTGTCAGCATAAAACAGTGCTTTTTGATCCGATGGTTGACCCACACATAACATAGCAACAGCCTTATCTCCAAATGGGGCAACTTGAACAATGTTTCGTACATGAAGTTCATCTTTTGAAATATTTCCAAGTACTCTAACTTGACGTCGACCTGATTTTCCTTCCGCAGTCGAAGATACTGAAATAACCTTGCAACAAGAATACCAACATACATATAAAGAATAATATGTATCGGATATCAAATGACGCCAAGTTAGTCTAGGTTCTAAAGATGCAAAAGGTAGCTCTATTGAAGAACTTTTTTTGGCCTTGTTCTCTCTTGGACCTAAAGTTGATGAAACAGTATTGGAAGCTAACCAAGAGAGTTCATTCGGTATCCAATCTGTAGGAGGATCCACAATGCACACACCTCTTTCAAAACGAACATCGAAAATTCGTATTCCTCGATTATTTGCCCAAGCAATAAGGTCACCTTGCCACTTTATACAATAAATAGGTCCTTCCCCATGATGCAGTACGGCATCCGATCCTCCTCCTAACCACGATTTTGTATGCAGCAACAATTCGCCATCAGTCGTTCCAAAACAAAAACGCTGCATTTGAGGACTACTAACTCTTCCAAAAAAAGGATCCACAGCTACACTTGACAATTCTGCTCCCGTGAAAAGACGTGATTTAGAGTAATTATATTGAAGACTATTTCTCTCCTCAAATACAAAGCTTATACACACAGTTGTGTCTCCTTTCCCAACTGACACTACCACTGAGTTGTCTTCTGACAAAGAGAGGTCTCTCACGGCATTTGAGTGTTTGCATTCTAAACTTTTGATAAGAACAGAACCCGAACAATCAACCAAATATATGCTTCCGGTCAAAGTACCGCAGGCAATTACTTTGGTACCAGCAGTTATTGCAGTTACAACAGTTTTATTTCCATTTACCAGTTGTTCCTCTCTGATTCCAACAGTGTTGGAAAGAAAATAACTAGTATGAAAAACTGGCTCCTCTTCTTCTCCTGTCTCGAGCGACATGATAAAAAGACGTGGCTTCACTTGCTTCCCCACATGTTCACTAAATGGATAAAATGATTGACAACTTCTTTTGAAGCCATGCAAGAGTTGAGGCTGAAAGCAGTCGTATGGAATGAAAACGTAGAATATCTTCGCAGTTTCCTGAGGTATTCAAAAAGTTTCCTACTCATCTGAAACTCCTTCATCCGTTGTTTTCAGGGCTCATTGCACTAGTGACGAAGACTTTGGTTCGGTAAGAACCAGTCTTCGAACTTGCAATTCTTCTTTGAAGCTTTTAAAGTTTTGTTGTTTAGAACAATGTTATTCTATTCCAAACACACCACAGCAGATGGGTTCTGTCTGTGTTTCCAGAGAGTTACTTGAAGGTGTAGGCACCCCATTTAGGTATTCACTGACGACTTGTTACAGTGCTGTCTCAGGAAGATAATAGTTGGTGGGTAATATACAGAGGAAAGAAAGATTTACAGTCTCCTCCCTACTTGGAAGTAATGTGTCGTTCAGTATCCTATGAACTGTGACTGATTGTTTTTAGAAGCGACCCTATTGCAGGAGTGAATTCAAAAACGATCCTCGTGAGTGGCTCGAAAGCTTAGGTTGCAAGTTGCAGTTTGAGTATATAAGGAAAGGTCACTCGGTTTTCTTGAGAAGTGTGAATTTTTTGGCAGAGCTGTTTCAGGTTTTTTCTGTGAATAGTGAAAATGTGGCAAACACGGATCTTTCACAGGAACTTGTATCTGAGGAAGCAATCCTTGTGATATATACGTTAATCGAAGGTGGAAAAGACTGGTCTCAATCTTCACAGTCACTTATAGTAAGTGAATACTGATTGCAATGAATACTGACAGAGGAGAGTAGAACATTCTTGATCAAATATCGCATTTTGTGTCGACCAAGTGATGATGTATTGGCATTATTCGGGAAAATTTTTGTCAATAAAAGGCACTTCTTTCTATTGAATATTGCGTAGTTTCAAACTGCCTAATTAATCCTTAAATTGGCTGCTTTATACTAGTCACTTCATTTCATTATCAATGAAGAAGTTAAAAAAACTCTCACCAAATAGAATGTAAAATGCATTGTACTGAAAAATATTTCGACCCTCTATGAACGTCAATTACGATATTTCAGAAATACTAGAGCATCTGGAAACCGACAAGTGATATTGCTAAAGATTCAAGATACAATCCAACAACAAGTTGAAGCAAATGAATAACATTTTAAGATTGTTAAGGAATCGAACTGTATTGTGCTCCTGCGTTTGTTGACTTAACGGTCCTTATATATTGTTCGTAGAATTGATGAAACAGAACATCATCGTGCAGAATAGCGTTTAACAACTCTTTCAACTGTTCTTCACTGGGTAAAGTACTTTTCCAGCCAAACCTCTCGAAAAACGCTGCAATTTCACTCACTTTATCATCGATTTCTGGTCGTTTCAAGCGTTCTTCGTGACCAGATGAATGATAAGCTAAAACCTGCAGAGCTGCTTGCAATGGAGGAAATGAATTATCCTTCATGCTATCAGACTGGGTCTGTTCATGGCCACCAAAGTTTGCGTTAAATGAGGAGTTTCGTGAACTATTATTCCCAACAGAAGCATAGGGATCGTTGACAACACTAGTTTCACTCAAAGAGCTCGACTCAACATGCTTGAGTAATGAAAGAATCTGCTTGCCGGCCTCTACTGAACAAGGTATGGTAACACTATCTTGTGATGTTTCGACACGATTCGTAAAATTAGGCTTTGACATATTTTTCATAACATTATTATTCAAAGGAAATGGTGAACCTAGTCTCCCCGGAGACAGCACCTGACGATATCTCTGTGTTGGCGGAGAATTTTCAGCTCCATTAGTTGTCACCTCGTTGCTTCTACAAGAAGACTTCAAAAGACGTAATATTTCCTTTTCTGGTGTTTGATGCACCAATGAAGCTTCACTTGTTTTCGAATATGATCCATAAAGTCTCTGATTCAGGGACAAATTTTCTGGCGCCGGCCTTTGCTGTTCCAAAAGTAGCGAAAGAACTTTCACAGCTTCAACCTTTTCTTCTTCATCGAAAAACCACAAAGCATAAATTTTGCCTTGTGGAGACTGCAACTGTATTGTTCCCTTTACTTCCTCAAAATGTGTCCAACCGGGTACAATATCAAGAGCCAAATTCTCCAACTCTCGTCGATTGAGTACAATGATTCTGAATGGAATCTCTGTAAAGGTGTCTACAATATGAAAAGCTCCTTCAATTTCACTTCTCTTCCAACACTTATTTGCCTCGTCAAAGTCGTAGACACAAACGTTGTGAGCATAGAATAGAATGCTCCTAATTCCTGAAAAATAGCGACTCAATACATGAATGTTTTGTTTCAAGGCTAACTCCTTCCGCTCCTGTCTTGAGTTGCTCTTTTCTTCTAAGCCTTTCTCAGCCATATTAGCGAGATTCCTTTTCTTCCAGAAGCTATTCGCTTTCTCTCACAAACGCACATTCAACGAATATCTTATTTCATTGGGAATTATGGGGAACCAAGTGTCTATGCCTGCAGCGAGAGCTGCTCCGTTTGCTCCAAACTTGACTCATAAACAAAGAGTAACTCGACTATATCGCCATGCTTTGAGAACTGCAAGGGATTGGGAACCAGATTTCGATTTGTTTGTAAAAGATGCTGAAAAGATACAAGCAAGATTCAAGAAAAACAAAAACGTGAGTATACACTTGATTGAGGAAGACTTCAATATGATTGCTTGTATATAGTTAACGATTCAAGAAGGTCAAAGACTTGTAGAAGCAGGTTTGAGAGAACTTATTTCAAATAGACACCCAGAACCCTATATACCTCCGTTTGCTCCTGGAGGAACCGCCTATCAACGAAACGTTCCGTGTCCACCTGAGGTAACTTTGTGTTTGTAATTTTAGCGGATAGGTAATCTTATTGAGTAGGATGTAAACGATTTACTTCCACCTCCGGAAAGGCGAATTCGATAGAAAGACCGACTCGTCTATGAAATATTTTACTAGATTTTTAGTTTCCTTCTGTGGTAACTTTGACCATCATTGCACAAGAAAAGAACATATTTTTGTATTGGAAAATATTTTAGTTTCAATCAGAGATATCTTTACGTTTCTCAGTCGTCACTCGAGGATAAACTCCCTTGAGAGTTCCACACAAACATCCTTCAAGCCTATGAACTATATCTCGTGCATCATAGAAAGTGATCCAGTCAAGTCTCTTTGACATCCTGTTGATAAGACAGACTTGAAAAATATACGTGTGATCCTTATCAGGAGGACAAGGTGGGTGATAACCTTAAAAGTTTCAGTTGCTCTCCAACTTGGCTTCCACAATGCAATCAAAATACCTGTCTTGTTGTTACTGTTTCTCAGTTCAACAGAACCTTCCGGCATGAACTTTACGTTACCACTGGCATTTTCTGGTATAATCACTGCATTATCTGTCAAAGTCATATTAATAACGAACCAATGAATAAAGTCCAAACCAGTAACACTGCGAAATATGTCAGTTAAACATCTCTTCTCTCCATATAAACAGGATAAAAATAGTACCTAACAGCATCAGGATCGTGCATCAATAATAAAGAGGTCATATCAGCGCTTCCACTCACTCCATCCAACTTGAAACGTCAGTGACAGTGTTGTCACTATGAAAACTTACCCTCCAAGTTAAAGGCACGGAATTTGCAACCTGTCCACAATTGGAACAACCAAACTTTGCAGGTATATGAGTGCCATTTCTAAAGCACGGAGAGTAAAGAGTCAATGAAGGACTGTTTCCTACAAACTATTGAGTAGGCAAGTGAAGTTGCGCTTGTTAACACAGAGCCTCATACCAGAACTCTTTCTTCGACTCGAAATGGAATAAAAAGACTCTTGAAAAACAATAAGACCAGTACAAGCAAGTACACATAAAATGACTTTACAGTTCGTTATCAGCTTCCTCTGATACACGTCCTTGAAACTTCCTTGAGACTGGCCAAGGAGATATCGTTCCTCGTTCATCTCTTTCCACAAACCTTTTGCTGTCGAAAAATAATTTATTCATATAAGACTTTGTACAAGATACTCAAATCTTCCTATTACTTCCTTACAGAGCGTTTTACTTCTTCCTTCAAGGCCTCCGAAAAACTTTGCGATTTCATCCGTAAGTTTGCCAACTTTTCTGCTAGTCTTTGCATAACCACTACGGAATTCTTCACAAAATTTCAAAAACAGATAGGAACCTGCAACAAACACTTACCATCCCAGCCAGGCCTTCTTTGCCCTTTGTCTGAGTCAACCTTTGTTCTCCTTTTCGTACCAATTCTTCTATGGACTGTGAGGAGCGAACAGCAAACCTTTGGAAAGCTTCACTGTTTGCAAGTTTCTTCACAATAACTTCATTCGCAAACCAATGGGCTACTCTTGCAACCAGAAACGACCAACGCATGTCGAGACCAAACCGATCCAATGGATTTACAACCCAATAAATAATAAAATCATTTCTTCTTCCTTTAGGGAGAATTGACTTGGTTACTACGTATGTCGTTGGAGAGTTTTGTTTATCCAAAGCCACCCTCTTTTGCCCCGTTAGATCCTCCACCTCGTCTGTTATGCGGACCAGGGCCTTGCAATCCACACCCTAGAGTTTTACAAGCTCTCGGTGCAACCGAACTGGGCCATTTGGATCCCAGCTTTCTGAAAATAATGGACGAAACAAAGGTAACTTGAAAGTTTTTCTTCCAACGTACGAGCTTTTCATACCATAGAATAGGAATTATTGAAATATGTGTGGCAAACTAAGAACGAGTTTACAATTCCAGTGTCCGGAACAGGAACCGCAGCTATGGAGGCTTGTGTCTTTAATTTGTTAGAGCCCGGTGAGAAATTTTTAGTTGGATGCAATGGATACTTTGGCGAGCGACTAGGACAAATAGGAGAACGCTGTGCTGCGACAGTCATTCGTATGGAGAAACCGTGGGGAAAAGTGTTCTCGTTGGAAGAGATTGCAGAACAGCTGGAGAGACATAGACCTCAAGTATTGGCTTTGGTCCACGCAGAAACGTCAACAGGAGCTTGTCAGCCCATGCAAGGCATCGGAGATCTTTGCAGGAAATACAATTGTTTGTTACTTTTGGATACGGTCACTTCCATTTCTGGTATTCCAGTTTACATCGACAACTGGAAGGTTGATGCCGCTTATGCAGGAACTCAGAAATGCTTAAGCTGTCCACCAGGAATGGCACCGTTAACATTTGGACCTCGTGCATTGGAAAAATTAAAAAGTCGAAAGTCTCAAGTTCCCAGTTACTATTTAGATATGTCGTTGGTTGCATCTTATCTTTTAGGTGAGAATGGTGGTTCAAAGAGATCTTACCATCATACTGCACCTATCAATATGTGCTATGCTGTGAGAGAGGCTCTTTATATCGCAGCTGAAGAAGGTTTAGAAAAGAGGTGGAAGAGACATAGAGAAAATGCAGAAGTGTTTTGGAATGGTTTGAAGCAACTGGGCTTAGAACCTTTAGTGGATAAGGAACATCGATTGACGTCTTTAACAACTGTAAAAATTCCACAGGTAGATTGTAGTTGGTTTTACTTAAATTGTCTGAAAATGAATGGTCTAGGGAGTGGATGGAAAGGAAGTAATTTCCATTTTACTGAATGAATACAACATCGAAGTTGGAGGTGGTTTGGGAGAATTGGCTGGAAAAGTATGGAGAGTCGGACTTATGGGATATAATAGTCGTCCTGATGTAGTCTTGACACTATTGGCTGCATTTGAAAATGCTTTGCGAAAGGTTGGCTATATCAAATCGAACAGATTCTAATTGTTCATTGTTATGTTTGTTGGAGTGGAATAAAAAGTAGTTTCAAGTTGTTTGCGTTCTGATCTGAAAATTCAGAATTTTCTCATTTACTTTGTTGAATACAAACTGTTCTTTCGAAGTCGGTCCTTGTCGTAAAGTATCATCATCAACTGAGCGACTCTATTCATCTACATCAAACCTAATTTTGCTGTTCTGTTGTTGAGGCGTTTGAAAAGCAACCTTTTGTGGCGTTGGACCTCCATGACCTCCACGGAAACTTCCGCGTCCACGAAAGTCTCCACGAAATCCACCTGTCGAGTTACCCCGACCACGAAAACCGCCTCTTCCGTTTCTTGAAGGTGGTGATGAGCGTTTCGACGTGGAAAGGTTAATTCTTAACTTCCTGCCTCGAATATCTGCTTGCTCATTCATATCGCAAGCCTTCCGAGCTGCCATTGGGCTCTCCATTGATACAAACGCAAATCCTTTCAGTCTATTTGCCTCTCTATCAAATGGCATGCGTACTTCCTTCACATTTCCACAGGATGAAAAAACATCATATACTTCTTCTTCCGAACAATCAAAAGGAAGATTTCCCACAAATACACAGTCATCATCAGGTACATCGTCAGTATTCATCGGTGAAAAAGAAGATGATGACTTCACAAATGGCTGAAAAGAATGTCGATCCTTGTCAAAGTTATTCGAAGCAACCTTATTTACAGATAAATCTTCTTCATTTGCAACAA